AAATTCGAAACCGTTTAAAAGTTGTAGAGAATTTACGTGACATACCTGCCCTCGGTTTTCGAGCGCGCCGCAAGTTTTAAATCTTTATTCGGTGTGACAACGCTTATAGCATACTACTCGGGCAAAGTCATCGATTTAATTGTGAAAAGTAGCTACTGTGAACAGTGTAACAAGAAAAAACACCTCGATAAAGACAGCAACGAATATACCGAGTGGTATGCTGAACATATAGAACACTGCGCAAAAAATCATGAAGGCTCCGCGTGCGCTATGGAAGTGAGCGCGATAAAAGAAATGTTTTCGAATTTCATGCAAAAGTACGGCATCAAATACCGTAATTATATTGGTGATGGGAACTCAAAAACATTTAATGGTGTTAAAGATCTCAATCCGTATGGCAATGACTTTCCAGTAATTAAAAGTGAGTGTGTTGGCCACGTCCAGAAAAGGATAGGAAATCGGCTCTGAAATGTCATAAAACATATTCTCCCCATCTACGAAGATCTTTCTAGAGACGACTTACTTGAGCGATGTTTGGGTGGTCACACGCAAAATGCGAACGAGAGCTTCAACTCAACCATTTGGAGATTGGATCCTAAACATCTTCATTCGGGCAAGAAAACGGTAGAGATTACGGGGTACATAGCAGTCTGCATTTTTAATGAAGGCTACTCATCAGTTTTACGGCTTATGAACTGTTTAAAAGTCGTTATAGGTAGGCAGAGCAAGACCTTCGCCGATTACATGGACGCGCGCCGTGTAAAATGTGAGAACCGGTGCAACTCTTTATCTACTAAAGAAGCTCGAAAAACCCGAAAAGAGGAACGAGATGAGGAGGAGGAAGCCTACGAACAACTTGAAGGACTTTTATATGGCCCTGGAATCGCAGAATAGGCGGTAAGTTAAAAAAAATCACAAAGTTATCGCTTTTCAAAACTTTAAACGGCTTTTTCTCAGAACTGCATTTTTTTTATTTGCGTACAAAATATCTCAAAAACTAATCGACCGATCTTGCTGGAATTTCGCATATATATTACTAACAATATTCACTTCTATGTGAACTAACTTGTTTTTAAAAATTATTATAAAAAACCTATTTTTTTAAACAAATTGTTATTCAGAAATTAGCATTTTTTTTCAAAAACGTGTTATTTTTTCAATTCGAGTCTTCTTGAATATTTTTTTAGTTTAAATAGAAGAAAAAGAGGTCTAAATCTTGATATTTTGCTTTTATTATGTTTCAGATCAATAAAGAAATCAACAGAATGTACGCAGATGACAAAAATGCATTCGTCCGTCAGTCCATAGCGCCGCCATTTTAAAACATAAAAAAAAATTAAAAATACTCATTTATAGTTTAAAGTTGTCCGAAACTTTCCACAAAGCTTTACTTTTATAAAATAAATTTTTCTTATAAAAATAAATTCTTGAAAATATGGTCATTTACACTAGATGACTCCTTTAAAGATAGATTTCATTGGCTATATCAGAGTGCAATCCTAAGTAGAGTATAAAATTATAATATCAAAATGACGAGAAAATAACCGAATCGTAATGAAAAAATAAGTTTTTCTCGTCATTTTGACGTCATTTTAATATCATCATGATTTTCTGTTCTGCCTGGGATAATGCTACACTCTCTTTACACAATTCTTACAATTCCTTGATACATAATGCGAAATACGAACTAATTGAAAAACAAAATATTAATTAAAAATTAAAAATCAACTGAAACCAAGAGAACTAATAAAGATATAAAACATTAACTTCTAAGTTGAATATTGCAATTAAAACAAAAAGAATTTATAAACAGAAAAGAGAGAAATTGGTAAGTTTTATTTAAAAATCGTCTTAGGCTTTATTTTTCTTATCCAGATATATAGACATATTGGCAATAGCATGCATGCATTCAATGTATATTTTGTAATACCATTGGATCGGTATAATATGATATAATACCGATTATATGATATAATGGTATACTTGTAAGAAATACGTATTTATTATTCCATACTTCGCAGCAAAATATTAACAAAATATACAGATGTTATTGCTGTAATAATTGTAATTTAATTGCGTAGCATACTCAACACATAGCATTAGATTGCTTTTTTATATGCTGCTACAATGCTTCTTGTATGAAGACACATTTTTACGTATTTATGCTATTATTTTTAGTTTTAGAATTTCTACGTATCTATATGCAGACAATATGCCAAAATTTGTCTATCTAGCTAAGTTGGCACTTGAACCTAACATTCGATAGAATTATTAGATCGCTTCAAACCTTAAAGTATACAATTTTTTTCTAAAATCTGTAATTTTTAAGATTTTATGCTCAAAGATCGATGTTTGGAATAAATTACTTAATAATAATTCCGAATAATATTTTGAGCCTATTGAAAGAGGTTAAACAAAAAATCATAAAAATTAAATTGTTTTATTTTAAGACGTAGAACCTAAATTTACAAAAATTTAAAGAAGGGGGTTCCTATTTAAAAAATTTAATTTAAATCTTATTGGACTTAATATAAGTGCTGGATCTAAAATCTAATAAGATTGTATATTGATCCTGTTTGAACCCTCCAACCTTTATTTGAAACATTTTTCGTTAAAATATATTGTACAAGAGATATTTAAGATCGTTATTTGAAATGGGACACTCTCTATACACCACAGATAGTACAACAGCACAGATTGTAGCAACATTGCATATGCAATGTAATAATGCAGACACACACATATGCAATATTGTAACGTTGCAGCAATGTTGTTGTAACTATCTGTGTTGTACGAATCTATATACATTTATACACATGGGTATATATATATTTTTTTTTAAAGAATACGGTTTTCTCGCCGCAATGGAAACTTATTGATTTTATTAAACATTAATGTTTATATATTGTGATCTTTATATATCAATTAAAATTGCTACAGTAACGAAAAAATATATACTTGCTCCAATGAATTATTATTAATTAACTATAGGCAATATATCACATAGAATGTCTTAACATAAATTCATATTAATAAAATAATTCTTACATAATTTTCTAAAGCATAATTTCTTCTAAAGAATCCGAGATCGTTAGGTATGTAGTCTAGGATCTTTAAAAAATGCTTTTATTCGTATTACTAGTTGTAAGAATCGCTTCTCAACTTAATGCAAGTTGATTGACCGGTGAAGATCGAGAAATTTCTTTGTCGTTTCCGTATTTGAATGTATGATCGAAGAGCGTGTCATTGATAAACCGAGCGAATCTCTGATGATTAGAAACCATGAAAATTGCTAGGACATAAACAAGAGGGGATTCGCTTCCTTTCTAAATTATTTGCACTTCGGCATTAACCATTGCAGCGTTCAATATTTTCCGCTCAATTTCCATTGTTGTCGTGGGAAAGTATTCTTACTCCAATAGTGGTACAAATGCATAGATATGAGACGATTTATGTGATGCAGCGATGCGCTATATAAAAAGAAGGTATCGTCCTGAATCGTAATATTTATTTCGCTTCATTGAGAAACGATTTCCGGCAACGTTAGAAATCGAAATTTACTATTTGAAGGATAAATTTTACCGAAAAATCTACGAATATCATGAATATTAAAATTCAATATATAAATATCTTTATATAATACAAATATTAAGTTTAAGGAATTAGTTTTATTAAGTTATTATAAGTTATTATTAAGATTGTTTCTCTAGGTCCCATATGTGTAGTAAATTTATAACACAGTAATTTTTGTATATCTTTTTCAAAATTTTCTACTAAGGAAGATTGGAAATAATAATCAAGATGTTTAGATAATTTTTACAGAGGTCTGTGTAATATCCTATTTCTTATTTAATTTACAAATTAAACAAGTTTTGCAATTATATCTTACGTCAATTTTTATTGGAAGAAGGGAGGTGCTCTTGATAATTATTTACGTTATTAAAATTTCCTCTATAACTTACAAATCATTTGTACGAGCTCATCCTTATTCTCCGATAAGGAAGGTAGCACAGATGTGATCTCCACATATACTATACCCAAAAAAATATGTCGACGGGTTTTTGATTATCAGACCCTTCTTTATCGAAGAAAATTTATTAGTTGCTAGATACTAGATGCAGATCGTATTCGTCATACAAGTAACAAATTACTTGTTCGTATATCAAGTCAAAGTAATTTTTTTTGCAAAGTAAGAAATTACCTTCGGTAGTCGCCAAAATGGTATTGACTGAAAGGGAAAGAATTACAATATTGATGATGCGAGTGTTACGTCCTGGAGGAGGAACGTAACTTGACGCTTGCTTTCACAAGCTCCGACATACTCGCAAGTCTGCGGTGCAGATCAAGGATCGGAATGACCCCTTTATCTGGCGCGGACGTACGTCGATGGTCCTTTATTTAGTTCAAGGAACTGAATCCTTTTACCTGGTATAGGACCGTGAGCAACAGTTGACGGAAGGGAGAATTTTTATTGAGAATAATTAGTAGGAAAACGTGATTGCGTTATAATTACAAATTGCTCATTTTATTGATAGCTAAGCGGAAGTTCACAATGAAATATGTCCGTTGGAATTCGTGAGGTTTTATAATATGTACATATATATATATGTATATATATATATATGTATGTATGTATATATATATAAACAAAAAATATATATATTTTAAAAATATCTACAAAAATTTTATGTTATTAGTGAAAGAAAATTAAATTAATGCTTGTGATACAAGGGCAGTGTGATCGCATAAAAAAGAAAAAAAATATATATATTTAAAATATAAAATATATATTGCAGATATTATAATTTTAATACAATATTAAATTTTTATATAAATTCCTAATTAAGAGAAAAAAGCACACCTTGCCACACAAATTTGGATGTTATGCATAGTACGTATTTTCGTAGTATTTTCGGATAATTAAATTGTCTGAAACTATTTGCATACACATCCTCATTTGTGATACCGGACCGTACTCTAAATGCGAACGGGCACCTCGCTCTAATGACCTACTCCTGCACTGTCGATCGACGTCGGAGTATACTTGGTCGGTTCCAGCGAAGTTGAGTTCAGTCATTGAGCGACCGTTTCCGAGGTCTGGACTGTGTTCACTACGTAAGTCTGACTCACAGGCACGGCTGATGCTAGATAATAGTGTCATAGAAAAGCAGAGCCCTCGCTTCTTGCACTAACTGGTAAGTATAAAAAGTACGTATTTCGGACACATAATCGCCATCAATACATAATTATTTTTAATCAGAAGTCGAAAAAGAGGCACACATCGACCTGTTTCGCAGAATGCAACCAAAAAAATCGAGACATGTGAAGCGAAAGAATCATCAGTGCTTTATAGTTTTGCATTTTTCATCTTGAAACAATATCGACTTAAGATAATTATATTAGATATATAAAGAAATTGTAGTCGATTATACGCATTAAAAATAATAGAAATAGTCATTTTTGTCGAAGTTATTTAATCTTCAGTATGAAATATCTACATTCATCTTGAAATACTCGTGAATATTTCCACCATATCCGGAATAGCATGAAGGTAGCGGTATAATAACCGGTTCAGTGGCTCCTTCGTTATTGTGTCTCATAACTTTCGAATGCTCTGTCTTGACGACTTCACATGTTTTCCTCCTCAAGTTGCTATGAAACGTGATTAATTAAATGGTAGGATTAATATCTATATAACAGTTTGCTATAAAATGGATAAAAATCTTAGTGATAAAAAAAAACGATTTCAACTGACAATATTAAAATCTACAACAAAAAGATGTGTATAAAATCAAATTTAAAAGATGTATATAAAAACAAACTTAAAAATTATAATTTTGTGTTTCATATATATTTACCGGAAATTTTCAAGTTATATATAATCTTAATTAATATTTACTTTTGCATTTATATTTTGCTGATATACGTTACGTTGTCTATTACTACTCGTCGTTGCAATTTATATGTATCTTTCTTTGTTACTTTCCGAGTAAAATATTTATGTGATTCTGTGTGAATGAGAAAGGTCGTTAAACTTTTACTCAGTCTTCTCTATATATAGTTGTTAACCTGAAAATATATTATTGTAACCGTCGTTTTTGCAATTGAATATTTTTTGTGAAATCATAAAATAATAAATTGCAAAACTATATTCAATTATAATAAATTGATTATAAAATATAAATATATATGTATATATATATATATATATTGTGAAATATTATTTATAAATTATTGTTTATTCAGAGTATATGATAAAATCCATAAAAACAAAAAAAATTTGCTATTAAATAATCATGTTTATGTTACAATAAATTTAAAAGATTTTTTTATATATGAATTAAGAATTAATTCTACATGATTTTGTATTAAAATAGAATTACTCACAAGTAAATATAAAACCATGCAAAGTCGTAAAATGAAAATATCTTAATTGTATCCCCAGTAGCAAAATGACGTGAAGTGACGTCTTAATAATATCATTATGACGTCAATAAGACATCGTTAAGACGTCGTTTATCGTCACATTCGAATAAATATTTGGGATAATTATGTATTGTACCAATAAATATATTGGTACAGCTACGTATGTTATAACAGAATTCTCTTCGGATGAGATAATCGTCATAATTTTTTATGTTAATACTACGTGGATTAATAATATAATTAACGATCTACAACATTTTCTGTGAATCGATATGCACTACGTATTCAGTAAAAAGAAAAATTTAATTTAAATACACATTCGAACATGTAAAAATCATATATTCCCGATATTGCATCTATAACCAATTGATTACATTTACTTGATACGTCTAGAGATTAAATTTTTTTGCAGAAGTCGGCTCATCTCTTACAATCAATATGCGTCTCTTTGTGCTTAGTTTGACGTTAATCGTGAACATGCTAGTTGTTAAAAAAGTTTCTGCCCATGGAAGACTGATAGAGCCACCATCGAGAGCCTCTATGTGGAGGTATGGCTTTGATACACCACACGATTACAATGATCATGAATGTTATTGTGGTGGTTTCACCCGGCAGTGGCAACGGAATAAAGGAAAATGTGGCATTTGCGGAGATCCCTGGGATTCTTCAACGGTAAATTTTTGTAAAAAAAGAAAATAATGATAAAATAATAAAAAAGATTGCAATACAAATACATTAGTTTCTTGTTAATTGTAGCCGTGAACAATCATAAAATAATAATCGAGATAATAAAAATCGAGATAATAAAAATTGATTATTGCAAATTTTGATTCTCAAATCAGGATTATTTAAATTAAATTATAGAATCATATACAGACATATAAAAAAAAACTTTATCTAAATGGGAATTATTAATCATATTTCTCATAATTTTCATGAACCTATTTCGTACCCTTGTAACCGACCAATTGTATTTTCGAGGCACTTTTTACGGTATGTTTGATCTTGATATGCGCATCCATTTCTTGGAGCAACTTCCTGATATTGCACGTATGAAAGTAGTCTAAAATGGAAAGAAATGTTTCTTTTTTTTTCTTTTATCAATATTTACATCATGTTTGTTATCTTGCACATTTTTCTATTCGACATATATAAATATGATGTATATCACACATTAATTATACTATGATTCATCAATACTTTAATAATCGGAAAATGAAATTTATAAGTTGAATTCATAAGAATTTATAAGTTATTAAGTTGAATTTCCAGACTTTCACATCTTAAAAAGTATACAAATTTTATAACTTCTACTAATATTTACGACTTATGACTATACTGAAAAATCAATTTGGCCTTTTTTGAAGTGCAAATATACGCGAAGGATACGTGAAAGAAAAAAAACGATAAATACATTAAAAAGTGCACGATATTAACTTAAATACATTAATAAAATACATAAAATACATAAAATACAAAATAAATAAAGATAAGAAAGAAAAAACAATAAATATTAAAATATTAAAAGAACACGATATTAAATTTCCATTTTAATATATTCTATTCCTTTTCTTTTTCCTTGTCAGCCTCGTTTGCATGAAAGTGGTGGCAAGTATGGAAACGGAGTGATTGTCCGTCGTTATCGTACTGGATCTATCATACCGGTGCGTGTGGAGTTGACGGCGAATCATCACGGCTACTTCGAGTTCCGTACGTGCGCGATGTCTTATCACGACCGGGAGGTCACCCAAGACTGCTTGGACCAGCATTTACTCCGTACCAAAAACGGATCTATCCGTTATTATCCCAGTCCTGGCAACCAAATTTTCGAGAGCTACTACAAACTGCCGGAGGGTCTGACCTGCGCTCAATGTGTTTTCCAGTGGCGATATGTCGCAGGCAATAACTGGGGCGACTGTGGAAACGGCACAGGTACATAACAGTTGTTTTTTGATGCTGCTGAATGTTGTGGAATGCATGCGCGCAATACTATTGAAATGCGAATGCATAACCCAGCGAACGACCGAAGTATTGAAAGTTGACGCTGATTTTATTATTATCAAGCATATTATTATAAAGCATAATGCACTGTTAATAATTCGTAACTCATATAGTTTATTTTCCACAACGAAACTGTTGAAGAACCTATAGTTTGAAAATTATGTGCGAATAAAAACTTCTTGTGAACTGAACTTTAATGAAGTTAACATCATGAGATTGTATATTATTTATTTTACTTCACGAATGAAAGCGCTTTAGAAATTTAATTTTAAACTTAGTTATAAAAATGTACAATGTAAAATTTCTATAAAAGAGGAATCTGTTACAAATTGAGTCTAGGCCTTTTACATTGAATAAGTTTCTGATACTATGCACAATAATAATGTGCAGGAGCGGTTGGATGTGGCCCTCAGGAGGAGTTCCGTGCCTGCGCCGACATCACCATCAATGATAATGAGACATCATTACTGCCGAAATTACCGAAGCAGCCAACTACTACATTTACGGGAGAATCGCCGACAGATACAAGTCCGTTGCCGAAATCTGGGCCGTACTTATTGTTCAGTATTATCATTGCCGGTGCATGTCTGTTGGTGGTGCTGGCCGCTATGGCGTTGCTTTATACATATTACTATCACGCCGGCCGAGCTAAAAAGTGGCTCATGGCAAGGAGATTGTTGACTCAAGATATTCCGCCAGTTGCACCACCGAGACATAAAAAGTATCATAATCACATATCAAGCACGCATCTGCAACTGTAGAGCTCTGTATCTCAATTGCCAATACCACTATTTTGGGAAAAGGAATTGTTACGAAGAATTTTGATATTTTTATATCTTAAAAAGAAATAAGACAAATTAGAATATTTATAGTAGTTAACATTTCAGAGATATCGATTATACCAAAGTTTCAAGAAAAAAGAAAAATCTAAATATTTAATTTAACGATTCGAAAAGTTTGTTGTTCATAAGGTGATTGATCCGTAGAATTGCTTTCTTTTTTTTTTTAGAAATTTTTTTAACTATGATTTTTAACTTTTAACTATCAACTATGAAAGTACTGTATAAATATTTAATAATTAAATTAATAATTAAATTTTTATTATATAAATTTTATATTAAAATTAATATTATTTTAACGATAACTTATACGATAATGATAACTTAATACGATAATGATACTTTAAATTAATATTACTTTAATGATTTTAAATAATCTGTCAAAATAATCTGACCGTATCAAAAATACTATAGTGAAAATTTTATAATTTATAGTAATACGAAAGAGTACAATCGCGTACAATAAAATAATCCAGTTTCGATTTACACGCTCAGATTTCCGCACTACTAAAACATAAAAAGTATCATCACGTATCAAGCACGCATATGCAACTATAGAACTCTGTATTTCAGTTATCAATGCCATTAGTTTAGGAAGAGAAATTATTATAAAGAATTTTTATACTTTTGCATCCTAAAAAGAAATAGGACAAATTGGAATATCTATAACAGTCGGCATCTCAGAGATATCAACTATACCGAAATCAAAAGAAAAAAAAGAAATTTAAATATTTAATTTAACGATTCGAAAAATTCAGAAGCAACCTGACTGTTTTAAATATATAGGTGAGAAGTTTATAATTTATAATAATGCTCAGAGTACAGACGGGTATTATACAGTCGAATACAATAAAATAATCCAGTTTTGGTTTACACGGGTACAGAACAGCGCAACCAACTTCCAGATTGCCAGTGAAATCATAAAATCAACATATATAATCATAAAGGAAAAGATAAAATGAAATACCCATTTTATAATTCTATCTGTCAATCTCATATCATCTACGGTTCTCATGAAATTCGAGAAAATCGATTTTTTAACGGCACCGTCAAAAGCGTAGATGATACGAAATTTATACTACAAAACTATGTTTTCTAGGCCTAGAACAACTCAGAACAAAAAGTTGTCGATTGGAACATGAAAGAAAAGGTATGTTTACTCTTGACGGTGCTGTTAAAAAATAGATTTTATCGAATTTTGTGAGAACCGTAGATGATTCGAAATTTATACTACAGAACTACGTTATCTAGGCCTAGAACAACTCAGAACAAAAAGCTATCGATTGGAAGACGAAAGGAAAGGTGTGTTTACTTTTGACGGTGACCGTTAAAAAATCGATTTTCTCGAATTTCGTGAGAACCGTAGATGATACGAGATTTATACTACAGAATTATGTTATTTAGGTCTGGAACCATTCAGAACAAAAAGCTGTCGATTAGAACATGAAGGGAAGGGTATGTTTACTTGATCGGGGAGTATTTATATGTCGAACATTTTTTTAATTTGCTGGGTTCGACTTACGGAATTGTTCTTCTGGAACAATGTTTGGAATAACTAGAACAATCTGTAACGATAAAGAAATGTTCGATTTTTGAAAAAGGGGAGGCCAGTTAAAAAAATAGTTTTTCTCATTTTATTTGAGAACTATTTGGAATAAAATAATATCGTTTTGGAACAATGTGATACAAAGTTAGAACAACCTGGAACAACTTTCAAAAATATAATTTTCAAAAAAAGTGGAGCTAACTTCATGTACATGCTGAATGCGGACACAAATGGCTATCGTTTTTGATCGAATTTGTTGCAAATTTGCCTGCAATTTGCGGTCAATTTACTTACTGGGAAAGTAAATGTTTTTGCAAATTGTCTACAGATAAAGGCTAATGGAATCATTTTGTACAATTACCATTATTTTTTCTTTTATCGGTATTTTGATAAACAAGAAAAAACTTATATAAAAGCTCTTTATTTGTATATCAATAGTCTTTCATTTGTTTGCTTTTAAACAATAATCTTATTATTTTCACATGACAGTTTTGTGACTTTCAAGTCATAATGAGTTATAATGATATGTATGATTCGGTGTATTTGCGATAACGCTTATATTTTCTTTGTTTCTTAGTTTTATATACCAGAGGCCTAAAATATGAATACCAAAGCGTTTAAAAATAAAAGAGCAGTATGAATAAGAAACATTAGCGATAATAGATTCGAGGATTCATTATTAAAATCTGATTCGGACGAAGAACAGTTAGTAGTATTTATCCGACGCATAAATATTATTGACAGCGATGATGAATTTAGCAATAAATCATCATTAAATGAGGAAAATTTAGAATCACAACAAATTTCTTAGCAATCAGTATTCCACACGGAAAGTAGTTTTCATTTTCCTTGGAAAGAAAATTGTCCTATAGACTGTGAAACACTCTACTTTCTTATGATCTATTTCCGAAAATCATTTGATGACGAAATTATAAGTAATATAGTTAACTATATTGTATTGTTGCATCTTGTTTATGTTTATGATTATATGTTATAATTTTATGTCAAGAGCGAAAAGGAATTAGTAGGAAAAGAGAACGTCCTATTTCAACTTCTGTAGATAAACTATTAAAAGAGAAGAAGAAAAAGGGACCAAATAATACTTCTAGTGAAAAACGTGTGAAAAAATTAAATAGTACATTAGCCAATTTTTTCGAATAAGAGGGGACGCTGCTAAAAGCCAGGTTACGAAGAAATTGCAAAAATAAAATGTTCGGAATGCAACATACATCTATATTTAATGTCAAGCACGAACTGTTTTATGTTTCCATACTTAAGCTTTTATATATACAAGACCAAACGTTGTATGCCGTTGTAACTCCAAAGTTATAAAGCATATTCGTTATAATAAAATCATTAAAACTATTAAATTCATTTGTATTTAAAAGTTGATATTTGTTGATTTCACATTACACAAATTTTTTTATAGCTACGAAAAAAATTCTAGTTACAGAGGATTAACGACTCCTTCAAAATGAAAACAGAATATCTACAATGATTTATATATACTTTTTACTTTTCACACAACGGCGACGTTGCATACAAACATGGATTTTTCGGAGCCGACTGAGACATGACGTAATGCTATATATAGGCAAATTTTGCTGTCCAAGTCCGAGATCATCCCATCGTACAAAGCTGTTTTAGAGCCACAAACTTTAGTTAAGTGGGGATAAAAAATGAAGGTCCTTCTCTTTCCCTCTCTCCGCTCTCTTTCACTCTTTAGTTTCGAAAAGCTTATAGATAGGAAACATTTGAATTTGAAAAATCCACATTTATATGGTAAGGGTTGATGAAATGGTATTCTACACTACTGATATATACCACTTGTTATATCTTGTTTATATATATTGTTTAAACACTTTATAAAATTAAGTTTCCAACATGATAAAGTAAACTTTCAGAGAGCAATACCAAATATTTTGTTAATTATTCAGTTTAGGAGAAATAAAAGTTAATACACTTTTATTCAGATGTTCTTTCGAATCGTAACACGAAAAGTAAGATATTCATTTAAACGAAGTTGACTTTAAATTTCTAAAACTCTTCTACCTATGAAAAAAACATATATATTACATAATATTTCCTTCAAGATCACAACTTTCACATACATTTTTTTTACAAAACGCATAATTTAGAAATCATTTAATATAGTAATAAAGTTGAGTGAATGTATGTTCATCTTCAATGTATATTCATCTCAATCCGTTTTAAATTAACATTTATTATTTAGATAGTAAAATAAATATATAAAAAACTAATTTTGTTTAATAATAAATTTATGAAAGACGTTTTTAATGTTGCTATTGAGAATTTAATATTTTACGGACTAACTACTTTAAATAAACTTATAAAAGAACAAGATAATAAAATAGCATCTGGATTTTGAAAATAAATTTTATAGTCTTTGCACAAATATATTTTGCAAGAAATTGAATGAATTTGCAACAGTCGTACAGTCAGCTGGTTAAAGGTTTGCAACATTTCTCTATTTTTTCATCGAGGAAGTCACAACTTTTAACTAGCTGGCTATATTTTCCCTACATGTGAATGCCCTGTATAAAATGTCGAATTCAAACGTATTAAAAAGTATTGACATTTTGAATACGTCTGAATTCTGCTTTCTGATCCGAAGAAAGGGATTGAAAAGTATTAGTTCCTATTAAATTTCACTGCGTTAAACGCGAGACGCGGTGGTGAATGCTTTGCATTAAAAAGGATTCAATTCATTTCAAATATGCCTTGCATTCAATCACAATCGATAATTTTCAAATGCGAACTTTCGCATTGAAAAGTATTCATTTCTTCTCCTAATTGTTTTCGGATTCAGAGGCATACAAGATTTTCACGTTCTATTCCCCGTAGTATTGAAAAGTATTGGCTCGCGATCCAATCCGAGATTTCTGCAAAGCAGAATTCATGACAAAATCTCGTGAATGTAAAACAATACTTTTAAATACATTTTATACAGGGTGTGTTCGCGATGTGTTTGAAGTATGATTTATCTTGAATTCAAGAATTGTTTAGATTTAAGTAGAGAGAATATACATAAAGGGCCATGAATAAATCGTATCTCAAGTAATATATTAACATTTTTATACTGAGCATTTATTCTTTTGTATATATCAATTTCTTTTATATACTGAAGTATTTATTATTTTATATGAAATATATATCTTGTACTTTCCTGTATCATCTATTCAGTAAATGTAACCAGTAAATCAAAATAACGTATTTTCATGTAAAATGTAGCAACTTAGTTATTGAATAACATCCTAAAATCTTGCTAAAATCTTGCTGTCATAGACTGTATGATTATGTGTCTTCCCAAAATACTAATGTATTCGTAATGCTTGAAATATAATTTTCGTCGATTCCAAAAGCGATTAGATTCGAGTAAAGCGTGTGCAAAAAACATTTGGCCACTAGTGAATCGCGTATCTCAAGCGATATATTAACATTTTATATTAAACACGTATATTCTCTTGTATATATCAGTTTATATTAAAAGTATTTATTATATACATAAAATGCATTTCTTGTATCTTTCTTTTCATATTTGTCGAGTAGATGTACCCAGTAAGCCAAGATAATAGATAGTATTCATAGTCAGTTCTTATATATCAGATCATCTTAATATATCTTAATATATTGTACAGACTATTTTATTGATTACGAAGCAACTGAAAATAAACCTAAGACCTTATATAAGGATGCTCAAAAATCTCGGAACGGTAAAATATCTCGAAAAAATCGCATGCACGCATGCAGGCACGTGTACACCACACATATTGTAGCATTTTAAATGGAGTTTCTCATATGATTTTTTAAACATAAATCTATTATCCAACCATTTTGTGCATGAAAGTATTAGGATGAGATTATCGAACCGTAAATATAGTAAAAGTGAAGTTTAGGGGATTTATTTCTGATAATTTTGTGTTAGATATTAAGAGAGAGAGAGAGAGAGAGAGAGAGAGAGAAGAGAGAGAGAGAGAGAGAGAGAGAGAGAGAGATAGATAGAGAGAGAGAGACAGAGAGAGAGAGACAGAGACAGAGACAGAGATAGAGAGACAGAGACAGAGACAGAGACAGAGACAGAGACAGAGACAGAGACAGAGACAGAGACAGAGACAGAGACAGAGACAGAGACAGAGAGAGAGAGAGAGAGAGAGAGAGAGAGAGAGAGAGAGAGAGAGAGAGAGAGAGAGAGAGAGAGAGAGAGAGAGAGGAAGAAAAAGAAAAAGAATACTCATTTGAATAACATTCTAGGTTTTAGCCGTCGTTTATTATTTATTAAAAATTATTAACAAAAGAAATTTTATAAACACAGCCTATTTTTCCGATATAATGTATATAAAAAAATATTAAACGATATGAGCCTCTCGGAGAAAAATGTAACCTAATCCAACTTATATATTTTTGCATATGGTTGGGCGTTGTTAAAAAGGCCCTCTTGAAATATTTGATTGGAAAACTATGTACAAAAATATATAAGATGAATTAGGATCGGTTAAGTTTTTCTCGGTGTACGGTTTCTCTCATATATACTGTTAGCATTTTTTAATATACATTGTGTCAGAAAAATAGGCTGCATTTATGAAATTTTTAATAATTTTTTAATAAATAATGAACAATATCAAAAACCTTATATATTACGCAAGAAGGTGTCCTTGATAATATATTTAACACAACATTACCAAAAAGGTGTTTTCTAAACTTCACTTTTATTATATTTATTTTTCGATCCTACGTCTCATCTCAATACTTTTATGTACAAAATGATCGGAATAACAATTTGTATTTAAAAAATCATATGAAAAATTCCGTTTAAAAAACTACGATGTGTACATGTGTGTGTACAACCTTTGCTTAACATTGAAGAATCAATTTAGGGTCTAATCTTTATATTATTTGATACTCAACAGTTTGTTTTTTAATTTACAATAAACAATATTTTTCTTTAAAATATTTTGTTTTCGAAATATCTTGCTATCTCGAAAGTTTAGAATATCCTGTATATATAAAATCTGGCTGTGAACACTGTCTAGTTGTATAATATAGCATTTTATTTCTTATTAAGTAACATATTTCTGAAATCCTGATTACTCATTGACTGTGCAACTCCATGTCCAGTGAGATTTACATTACCATTACTGCTATCATTACTACTATTAATCTTAACATTACGAGGTACCATAGATAATAAAATTTTGGGTACGCCAAATGCTGTACGGCTAGTCGCTGTTGCACCTAATGACTTGATCTGTCCATCGTTGTCCTCCACGGTTTGACTTTTCTTGCGATAGGGCGGTTGACTTATAGCAACGCTGATCACTTTGCCGTGAATCTTCATACCGTCAATACCTAAAAGAGCCTTCGCAGCAGTTGCCTCGTCGCAATATTCAACGTAAGCTAAGCCTTTCGAATGTCCGTTTCGGTAAGTAACTAAACGAACTTCCTTCAAAGCTCCATAAATCTTAAATATCTCTTCAAGTTCCTCTTTTGTCGTCGTAATCGGTAATCCTTCAAAACAATGATAATATTTTATATGATGTAGAAAGAAAATGTATTTAAACAAGAGAGAACGATGAAACATGACATATAGTTTTGTATGAATAAATGAAGCATGGTAAATTTGTTAGTGTCTTAAACACTTGATACCTTTAACAAATAATTTATTCTTTTCGAGTGTAGAGCTATATTTGAATCCGGACCGTCTGGTATTTTTGTTCGGATCGCATCTTGATACAAACATAGGACGCCCTCTTATTGCAATTCTGTCCATTTTCAAAGCTATTTCCACGGCTTCCTGCAAAACGAATGTAAGAGTTTTTCTATTTTCATTTAAGTTTCTATTTAAGTTTTCATTCATTAAGTTTTCACCATTAGTCAAGAAAATAATACGCACCGCGTTGCTTAATTGTACGTAACAATAGCCTTTGCTACGTCCCCTGTAATCTTTGATCATTTTGAATAATGTTATTGGTCCAGCTAGTTTTAAAGCATCTCTCACTTCCTCTTCAGTCGCTGTGTAATCCAAATTACTGACAAAAACTGTAATATTATTATCTACTTCTTTCTGATTATCTGCATCTATATATTTATTCTCTAGTACTGTAAAACCGGGCGGTATAATTTTTGATTCCGATTCTGTTCCATTATTGTTTATTTTAGCATTAATATTTAAATAATCTTGTAATTTTGGTTTTACTTGTATTTTGTCATTTTTTACTATCTTCGGTTGAAGACAACTTAAGTTTTTCCATTTTCCGGTATCGTCAGATTTTCGTTTGTTTATTTTCTTGTAATGCATAGACAATTTACTTTCAGTAGAAGTTTCTTGAATTTTTCGTTTCTCTTCCGCATTTTTCTCAAGTTTCTCTTTCGTTTTCATTTCACATATTTCCATTTGCTCTAAATTACCTTCATCGCGTTCGAAATCTATCCAAGAATTCGCTATACTTTCCGGCCAGTCTGTTACTGATGCTAATGCTTTATGATACAATTTCCTCAAATGCTTTGTGTCACCGCAGTATCTGTAAAATTTAAATGATTAGAGCGTCATTACAAATATGAACAAATACTAAAAATAAAGAGAGTTCATTATATTTCTTTTTAATAAATAATTACCTTTCCAGTGCTATATATTCTAGCCAATAAGATGCTTTCGTAGAATGTCCTTGCGAGAGGATATCAGCCCATAATACTCTTGCCCTTTCCATGTTATTTGCATGTATTCCTTCAGTTCTTGCCCAATATTGTAGGATAATACAATCAGGATCGCCGTTCAACCCGAAACATTGAGCCATATAATCGCATGCTTTATTAAATGTGTCAAGAAGGACATCTAGACGTTTCTCTTCTTCTTCAAGAACCATTTCATATCTACGTCGCAGAAACTCGAGATATGTCATCCATAAATTTCGATAATCTTCTGCTATCGAGAAGCCAGTGGTCAAGGCATTTTCCAATAATATTTGTACTTTTGATACAGGTTTCTGCCATCTTTCATACGATCTTATCCATTTTTGCCAAAGCTTTGAGCACCATGGTATGTTTCTCGATGCTCTTTGATAAACAGTATCCAACACAGATTCGATCTTAATTTTATCCTCTAGATAAGTGAGATAGTTTAACCAAATTGATACATCTAAGCTTAAATCGGTTATTGCTCTTTCGTACAGAACTGTAATACGTCCCGGATCATCTTGTTGTTTTTCATACAGTAAATATTCTTTGTAAGCATCAAGCAGTTCATTTTCGCCTTGTGTAGAGATAAGTTTCTCCTCATAAGTAAGAATGGAATTTAATTTTGCATTAGCCTGTTCATAACCTCTTGAAACAATACTTTCATCTATAACTGCTTCAGCACCATTTCCTGCACGCCATGATTTATATTCCTCATATGTTTTATTCATGTCTAAAAGAGGACAAGCCAGTTGTCGTCGGAATAAATTACCAATGCGCTCTAGTGCTTCTTTCTTTTCAGCTATACTTTCAGGATTGACCTAACATGCAAATTTCAATGCAATTAATTAATAAGAGAAGAAATATTTTGCATATATTATTGATCAATATATTAAAACATAAGATATAAGAAATAAATATAGGATATATACATACATATATGTATGTATGCATATTGAGTATGCTAAGTTAATTGAGTGTAAGCACATACAACACATACATATATACACATATATATATAATACATAGAAAAATACAATAACATCAAATATTATTATTGACCATCTTATGATTAAGATTAAGAAGAGAAGTGATCTTATTTCCACCTTGTAAAAAATAAAGCTTTATTACTCTTTCTTTATTTTTGTATATATTTCAAAGGTCAAATTAAAAACATATCTTTTTCTTCTTGCAAATTTACTTAAAATTCTTACCAATGTCAACAGAACAGTTTCAAATTCTCGGAATGCTTCCCATATAATAGCTCCTTTAATAGTATGCAATGCGACAGTAGTTAAGGCCCGTTCAAAAAGTTGACGAACATTCTTAGCTCCATCTTTTTCTATACACATATTCCCAATACTAAACTGCAAATACTCTAGCCATACTTCCACAGCTGAAAATATATTGTGATGTTAAAATTTTCTGAAGTTCTTATTAATACAAAAAAAAATAACTTTAAAGTAATTTTAGAAATATAAATATAAATTAAATTTAGAAATATGAACTAGAAATTTACAGATATAATCTTTAACAGCTCGTTCGCATAGTTTAACTATATTGTCTTTCTGATCGGTTGTAGTTGCACAACTTATTTCGTCTTGTATCCAGGAAAGCCAGAGATCGGGGCTTAATGGGTACACAATACTCATGTTCTCTCTAGCAATTCGTAAGCGCTCCAGCTCGCCCATTTTTCGCAGTTTGTTGATCAGGGCTACATGACTGCCGTAATCATATGAATTCGTCGCCAGGTTAGCTTCCAGAGATTTCACTTCCGCTTCATTGGCGTCTTCGGTATCATCACTGCTGTCGGACTCATTCTTGTCGTCGATTTTTATATTCACTTGCTTATCTATTTCGTTGCCTGTCATTTTCTTGGTTTCATCTGTGTCTTCTTGAATCACTTCTTTTTCGTTGCTTTCTTCGTTTTCAACTTCCATTTCTTCCATTCTGTTTAACAGGCGACACCGATTTTCCGCACTAGAATACCTCTAGTAAGAATACAGGGGCTCGATTCCTGACGGCGTGCGAATGAGATGCGCATACGAAAATCTATATTATATGTGACGTGAACTGTACATTTTCGCATACGTATTTCATTCGTACGCCGTCAGGAATCAAGCCCTAGGTCTGTTCTTTTTGGTAGGAAAGCGTAATGGAGGATTCACACTGCGTCCGATGTCCGACGCCCGACATCGAATAGGAGAACAGCTTTCTAATGGAGAATTCAATTCTCCATTGGAAAGCCGTCTTCTAAATAATTACCTTATAAAGATATTAATTACAATATATAAAATACAAAAACTCACTTTTTTTTAACACACTTCAATCATGGCTGTGTTCCGATATTCACTATCAGCACTGAAAATCTATAATATACGTGACGTATACTATATATTTTCAGTACTGGCAGTGAATACCGGAACGCAGCCCATATAGACGACATATAGACTGCGTTTCGATATTCATTGCAAGTACTGAAAATTTATAGTTCATGTTATGTATACTATAGATTTTTAGTACTTGCAGTGAATATCGAAACGCAGCCACAATTATAATCGTGTTCAGCTGATCATTTTTAAGATCTTATTCCCTGTTTCTACTGCCTGTTGCCTGGCATTAGTGTATGTTTACAACCTTGCCTTAAGAGGATGTAAGCTTTAAGCTGTAAGTGTTAAGTGACGTCATTTCCGTCTCTAAAGCGTGGTCTACAATGGCCGTAAGCAGTAAGAAAAAAGCATGAACAATAAGAAATGGACCAACCACAGTTGATTATTTTTGTCATAATCGACTGGTTTATTTCTTACCGCTTACGCTTACTTCGTACTGCTTACTGCCATTGTAGACGACGCTTTAGATATTCCGCGCAGTATTTAAGCTTTAGCCGTTAAGGCTCGTCTACATTAGCTGTAAGAGTAAGGCTGTAAGGTTGCAAGACACGATATGAAATATTTTCATTCGCTGAAAGCTTACGTTACAGCCTTACAGCCTTACTCTTACAGGTAATGTAGACGAGCCTTAAGCGAATTGCGCAAAACTCAATTTCTACGACCTAAAGCGTAGAGCTTAAAGTCGACATATAATTTTCAGCCAATCAGCGAAGAGGACGTTTTGTCGTGTCAAAAAGAATACACCGTCAATCGTGGATATAACCTCGCTCGCCGATATAACCTCCGATTTTGTATTCCATATATTTGTAAAAGATGCACATTCCATGAACACAACATCGTTGTTAGCAGGAGAGCTTGACGTAAATCCATCTTGGTTATGTAGAAAGTAAAGAAACTGCGTGTTTACAAACGCATTATCACCAACCATCAAGTCCAAATAACCCTTCTCTCATTGGCTGATATACGTCACGTTTTACGCCTTACGTTTTATATTGTGGATTACCGTCTTTAAGGTTTATTTAACAGTTTTCAGCTTACAGCTTAGAGCTTACGGCTTAGAGATAAAATATTTTCTTAAAGCGAGGTTGTAGATATACACTTAAGCCAGCGGCACACGGTGCTTATTTTCGTGTTGGATTGCTTGCTGGATGAAAATACTGCGTTCTGATTGGTGCATTTCCATCCATCTTCGAAAATGTACCAATCACAACGCAATATTTTCATCCAGCAAGCAATCCAGCACGAAAACAAGCACCGTGTGCCGCTGGCTTTACTAGAAGTACTCTAGGCTCGGCTAAAAGCGGTCCATGACACCTCTCCTTCTTCTCTCTAGTATATGATTGTGTTCGTTTGTGGAAAGTATTCGTAGAGTTCATCGAAAACCTTAAAACTACATAACCTAAAAATCATAATAATAACAAACCAGTCGTAACTGACTTGTGTTATTAAATATTGCAAAGTCACATTCGATTATAGTTTCAGGCGGTTTCATACGATTTCATACAGTTCCATATACTGTTATAATGTGGAAGATGTGAATTTAGTTGATAAAAATTGATTAAATTGATAGAATGGGTGACATACGAGCTGGTCTTGAAGAATTAAAGCTGGATGGTGCTCTCTTTGCTAACGTTAAATACTATGTCAGCGGTGAAAGTGATCCCAAGGTACAAAATGTTCGTTCATCCCCGTGTTTTTGTGTTGTAATAGATAAACCGAGCGATTTTCGTATTACCATAGCAATTTTATCGAACTGACTCTGATATTTATACATTTATTCGGTTGTTATAATGCATAGTATTGTTGGTGGAAGGTTATATCATTTGATAATTGTCACTACTTATTTAAAGACTTTATCTTATAAAATGATTAAAAAATTGACTCTACTGCTTTTTTGTAGTAATTTTGTTTAAAATATGTTAAATAAGTTGTCATTAATTATAAGCAATATTTTTAAATATTACTTACAGATTGTGAATTTACTACAAGAAGGTGGTGCCGAAAGTTCCAATTATTTTAGTGACTATGTAACACATCTAATAGCAGGTTATGAAGCATTAGAAAATGATATTTCTGCAGCAAAGGATCTATATGAAATTCCAGCAGTTACACAAAACTGGATCCTATACTCTGTTAAATGCAATAAGCTTTTGCCGTATCCTTATTAGTTTTTATTAGTACTTATTATATTTATAATAAAATTATCTTAATATATATCATTTATATGTATACATACATATACACACATACACACACACACACATACACACACACACACACACACATACAAATATATACATATATATTTCCTTAATGTTGCTTGTAAACAGAACACAATATTTCTCACCAGAGGAGAATCAATTGTTCTCAAATATACGTGCCTGCATATCCCAAGTAAGTCGAACAGATAGTAAGTCACTCTGGGCAATGATAACCTTGCAAGGTGGTAAATGTCAGCTACGCTTAGACAGATACTGCACTCATCTAATCACTGGAAAAGCAAATGGTGTTAAGTATGAAACTGCCATGAGACACCATATACATATCGTAACACCTGATTGGATAACAGAATGTTGTAAAAAGGGTGCTATTATTAACGAAATGGAGTATCATCCTAGATTATTAGTGTACCCATCTCCAAATAGTTCAACAGCTATGATTACTGGATTTATGGATGAGGATCCTGATAATAGCACTACACAAGAGGAACAAGACAGAACTAAAGCTATGCTGGAACAACTTAAGCAACGCATGCCATGGAATCAACCAAGCCCACCAGTATCATCAAATATTACACATAATCTTGGTGCAATCAATACAGCAAGTGTTCCTTATTTAACAACTGGACAAAATACTATAAACATTCAGTCACAACAACAACATCTTTCACGACCGATTTCCACAACCAGTTTGAACACTACCACAATTGTTTCTGCAGTCTCTGATCAGAATGTTATTGGTCAAACAACAGGTTGGCTTCCACAAGTGTCTCAACAAAATAATATTTCTCAAATGAAAGCTATACCATCACAGATGCAACAACAAGAGTTATCGACACAACAGCAACAGATAAATATCCAACATCAATTGATACAACATCAACAATTAACTTCACAGCAACAGCAATTAACGCAACAACAAATTACACAGCATCAACAACAATTGCAACAACAATCATACAACCAACAACAACTTTTGAATCAACAGGCATCACCTCAGGTACCATCTCAGCAACAGCAATTAATTGGACAACCGCAAACTCTTGGACAACAATCAATGATTGCGCAACAACAAATAAGTTCACAATTATCACAGCATCAGTTGACTTCGCAGCAACAGCAATTATTAACATCTCAACAAAAGCAATTAAATCAACATCAAATTATTCAGCAACAACAAATGAATCAACAGCAGCTGACACAACCACATTTGGCGCAGCAGCAGCAGCAAGTGCAATTGGCAGCACAGCAACAGCAGCAACAACAAATAGTGCTTCAACAACAACAACAACAATTATCTTCTCAACCGCAGCAAATCGCAGGACAGCATCAATTGGCACAACCAGGTCCACCACAACTTACTTCCGAACAGAGGCAACTTATTTTGTTGCAACAGCAGCAACAACAGCAGAAAATACAACAGATCTCACAACAATTGCAACAATCTGCGCCACAGAGTTCTCAACAGTTTGTCATACGCGAGGGTCAGTTGCAACAACAACAAAGTCAATCAATAATTGGGCCAAATCAGCAGGGTTTCATCGTGCAACGGGATTCGCAATGGCAACAACAGCAGTATTTACAGTTACAGAGGCAGCAACAACAAATCGGGCCACAGAGACCCGGAGGACAGTGGCCAGCACTGAGAACCATCCGTGAAGATCAACAGCCACCTCAACAACCTAGACAGTTGATTCAGTTGGATGCACAAACGCACCAACAATTACAACAGATGGATCCATTGCAGCGAGCTCAGTTTATTCAAAAGATTCAGAAACAGAAGAATCTGATATTGCAGAGACAGATGCAAAACCGTCAGGCACAGCAGGGTCCACATATTGCCGTCATAAGAAGTCCCGGTAAGCCGGTACAACCAAGTAGCCTCCAGTGGGTTCAACAAGCACGACCGCAGATGATGGGACCGCAAATCGCGCAAACTCCTGGTCAAAAACCTGTGCATCCTGGAATTCAGCCTCCGGCGTTGACGCCAATAAATCCCTCCAATCAGGTAATCGTGCCTGCCGGACAGAATGTTCAGGGTCCGCAAGCAGGACAAACATTCCAACAAGGACAACCTCTAACACCTCAACAAATTCTACACATGCAGAAGCAACAAATGGCTCGACTGCAATTTCAACATTTGCAGCAACAACAACAGCAAGGCACGCAGCAAGAACCACCATTAACGTCTTTGTCAAGTAACGCGCAGATAGCGCCGGATCAGCAGTTGGTCGTGAATGCCAAAACCAAAACCGCGCTGGCCAATATGCTGACCAACAGATTGCAAGGTGGTACTACTGAGGGTAGTGCAGCGGGACAGTTAAGATTAATGACCGCGCAACATAGGGCTCCACCTCCTCCTTCACAAGATCCGCAGCTTTTAGCTGCTTATCAGAGAAGAACTGCGGGAAATATAACAAATGGCGCACCGTCAGGAATACCTATGAAGATGCAATACGGACCGGTCATGCAACAGCCTAAGGCACAGTTCTATGGTCATAATCCAAATTTGAAACGTACGCATTTTTCACATTTATGTTTGATTTTAAAAAGGTAACAAATCAAGTTAATATTATCAAACGTCTACCGTTATCTAAAAACAATCGATATATCTAACAAGAAAACCGTCGGAACTGTCCCTCACCGATTTTGATGGGCTTTGGATATGTTGTAGAGTAACAAAATATATTAGATACGTATTTTTTTATCGGCGTATCTCAAGGTTTAGGGGGTGAAACAATCCTTCGAAGACTAACCAATATTTTCATTTTATGCGAATATCTTCTAAAGTACGAGGTATATGAAAAAATGTTTCTTACAAAAGTTTATAGTACTTCATACTGTTTGCAACGATATATTCAGATTTTTCATCTCATATCATCTCATTTTTTTTTAAATTAATCATGACCATATTGCATTATATATGGATGGATTCGACATCAAATGCTCTTTAATTTTTGTCCTCATGAAATTTTTTAGTTTTGCAAAATTAATGGATAGGGGAAGTTGAAAATTTTGACACTTTTGAAGAATCTTTTGTAGGAAATATTTTTTTTATATACCTCGTACTTTAGAAGATATTCGCAAAAAGTGAAAATATTAGTTTTTTTTTAAGGGTTGATTCACTCTCTAAACCTTGAAATACGTCGATAAAAAAATACATATTTAATATTTTTTGTTGCTCTATAACATATCCAAAGCCCATCAAAATCAGTGATGGACAGTTCCGATCCTTTTCTTAATGAGCTTCGCGCCACTCATAAACCGCATGCATGCAAAGACGTAAAAGAAGTAACGGTAGACGGAAATCGGTAAGCTGGAAATCGGGCGAAAAGTACAAATTTTTCAGAGTTCTGCATTAAACTAAATGAAAAAAGTCCTGTATCATCTTATCAACATCTATACAAATTTTGAGACTTTAATTATAATATATATATTAATTAACAAATAAATATATGATACGATATGAGATGAGCTCTTTAGGCAAAGTCTCATCTAATATTTCTAAATATTTTGACAATCTTTCAGTAGTGATATATAATGCTAGATGCTAGATAGTATTATAATATATACACTTCTTCACTGTCCAACATTGTGCATCGCTCACTGTTGCTAAAAGATTGTTAGAAAATTCAAACATGTTGGTTGAAACTTTATCTAAAGAGCTCATCCCATTACTTCACACGGACTCATTTGTCAATTTTTTGTGTGATATGATAGATGAACATTCTCTCCTTTTTTCGCTTCCTTTCTCCTTCCCTCCTTGTCTTCCTCCTTCTTTTCTCACTTTACCCCCCTCTTTCCTTCCTCCTCCTTTCCCCCTCTCTCTTCCTCTCTTTCTCCAGCCGCTCTCTCTCTCTCTCTCTCTCTCTCTCTCTCTCTCTCTCTCTCTCTCTCTCTCTCTCTCTCTCTCTCTCTCTCTCTCTCTCTCTCTCTCCCTCCCTCCCTCCCTCCCTCCCTCCCTCCCTCCCTCCCTCCCTCCCTCCCTCCCTCCCTCCCCCCTCCCCCTCCCCCCTCCCCCTCCCTCCCTCCCTCCCTCCTTCCCTCCCCCCTCCCTCCCTCCCTCCCTTCATTCTATCCCTCTTCTTCCTTTTCCTCTTTCTTTTATTCTTACTCTTACTCTTTCCCTCTCCTTCTCTTTTTTCTATTCTTTCTTCTCCCTTTTTCTTTATCGTGTGCTTATACATTACGTCAAACTATACAAAAAACGTTACTCTGCCCATTTCTTGCTGCCAATTGGTAAGCTGCGAGTAAATGGGAAAGGACATGACTGTGTGTATGATCTTTCACTAGTTACCTTTAATTAAAAACCCAAAATTTTACACAGTTTTTAAGAAACTAGTGAAGGACTTTTGTTTCCAATTTAACCTAATTTACATGTTTACAAATGTTCTCTCATTTACCTATTGTATTATACATAACATATTGAATGCATTACAAAATTATAACAGTCGAAACCTATTATATTCTTGAAAATAGAAAAAAACAGATAAAATTGAATGTCTTCTTGAATACTACGTTTTTATTTAACAAGTAATTGTTTTGTATGATATCTTTGTTTTCATAAATTAATTTTTTAGAATATTTTACATATAAAAATAGTATAGTAAGATAGTTTAAAAATGATACATATGCATTCACGTACACACAAAAACACACATGTATATTTTGCAAATAATCACATGAAATTTTGATATATTAATTTAAAAATGTTTAATGAATAATCGCATATAAGACTATGCTTCAATCTTTTACTTGCGTTTGTCAGCCAGAAACGAAGGACAGAGTAATATTTTTTTTGTTTAGTTTGATTTAATCTACAGGCATAACAATATATCCTCTATGTGTATATGTGCGTGCGCGCGTTTTCATAAGCCTGCACATACGCATACGTGCACATATTTATTTTAATATACATATTTTTTTAAATATATTTATTCGTTTATTTATTCAACTATCTGGATCATTATTTGTATTAATAAATAATATCTTTATATTTTCAGTGCCACCAGATTTGTTTTTGTTAGGATGTATTTTTGTCATCGTCGAGTACGATGTACAGCGTCCGAATGAAGTTTCGATTTGGAAACAAGTTATCGAGAGACATGGTGGTGAGGTAGAGCCGCAATATTGCAGCCGTGCAACTCACGTATTAGCGATCACACAGAAACATCCAGTTGTGTTGCAAGCATTGCGCGAAGACAAACGTTGCGTTAGCGCGCATTGGCTTTCTGATGTTGTTAGCAAATTGCAATTAGTACCGCCATGGCACGCCCTACATTTCCCGATACCTTTTACTATGTCTGAACTTCCTTGTGTTAAACAAATCGTATCATTATCCGGATTTGAGGGAGAGGAACGGGCAAAAGTCAAATACATGTTGGAAGCCTTAGGTGCAAAATATACAAACTATTTTTCCAGACACAATACTCTTCTGGTTTGCAGAAGGTATTTGTTATCATATATTAATTATCACATATATTATCATTTTATATATCATTTTACATCTATTTTTAGATGCCATTGAATAATTGACAAAATCGCAGTTAATCCTTTCTATAAACTCTTCGCATGATAATTTATTGTTAATAATAATTTATTGTTTTATTAATCAATAATCTGTACTATCTACATTGGATTGTGTAATGTTATGAAATAATTAACTCTTTGCACTTGAAGACTTTCCTTGGATCACCTACTAGTAACTCGATCTCATTTTTTATGAAATAGTAAAAAATGAATCGCTTCGAAATAAATATATTTATTATTCAATCTTATTAGAACTTATGAATAAAAAATTAAACTTTTATATCTTATATTTTTTTAATATGATAACGTTTGAATCAGTCACCGACATGCAATGAAGGTTCGTTAAAAGAAGTAATAATTTGTCGTCTTTCATATGAAGTTTTCCTAATAGAATACAATACAGAAAATTGCCTCTTATATAGGATCGCTGTTTATCGCCGGCTGATATTCTCTTACATATAACTGGGCATATTTTCCACTTCTTTATTTGTTTTTTTTTTCGTAGAATGGAAAGCTTCAAGAAAACATATTTATGAACAATTTTGCGCTTACATAATTTTGTCCTATATAATTATAAATAATCTTGTGTCCTCTTAGATAAGACATACGAGTTATTTGCTAAATTTACGATGTCCTCTCAGAGGAAACAACTGAGTGCAAAGAGATAATATGAGATAAAATATAATAATATAATAGAGATAAAATATAATTATATAAAAATTATATAACTATAAAAATTAATTCTAGGCCAGACGGACAAAAATACAAAAAGGCACGTGAGTGGCAAACTAGTGTTGTAAACGCACAATGGTTGACAGATATACTTTGCGGACAAACAAATATTTTGCATCAAATTGAGGGTCCAAAGTACCAACAGTTCAGTCTTAGTAACCCTTTCAGACTAGATTATTCATTAGTGCCTCATCTTATGGGTATAATAAATATCTTATATGTACTAATTAACTGATAAAAGTCAATATATTTGGAATTATACCATTATTATATATAAAACTATGTTATTTTCTATGCACATTATTTGTTTTATAGGTGCTTGGAAACATCCAATAAATATTAATCAAGAGTCGTATGATAAAGTACAGCAAGTTGGTCAGGGTCCAAATTCGATCAGAAAATATAAAAGACCGCGATTAGATGGTGCATTATTGAATAAAGATCCGCATCTTTTGGGTCTGGATGAACCAATTGTTGTTAGCAATCCTGATCCTCCTCCACCTGATAAGCAACCAAGAATATTATTCTCCGGCATAAATCCTAGAAAGCATGCAAAGGTGCTAATTTTATTCATATTTATATTTCTTCATATTTATATTTGTAGTGATCTACAAATTTTAATATTGCTTATATTTTATAATTTTATAATACATTATTTCGTTATAATATTTAGAGAATTCGAGAACTAGGAGGTGCTTTGGCTGCTAGCTGGCGAGACGCCACTCATCTCGTGATGTCGACACCGTTACGAACAGTAAAGCTCTTATGCTGTTTATCACGATGCAAATTTATTGTCACGCTGCAATGGTTACTCGATTGCTCTGCGAGAAATACTTTCCTGGACGAAAACGTGTATATGCTTGGCGATCCAGAATTCGAGAAGAATTTCAATTGCAATATCCAGAAAGCTTTAGCAAGTCCCAATCGAGGAACAGTACTTAAGGTAATAAATTAATGGACATAGTTATAGTAACATATATTATTATATTGCGATATCATGACGCATAATTTGATTTATCTTTTCATTTTTTTAAATAGGGTAAAATATTTTATGTAACACCAAGTGTCATACCATCTCCTTCAGCGATCGCAGAAATTATAGAAAGTGCAGGGGGTGCAATGGATAAAACGCGTAAATCACTTGCACAGATACAAGAAATGAATACTGGGAAATTAAATTATATTATTGTGACCCACGAAAATGATCTCCATCTTCTTTCTGATGTTTTACGTGCAAATATCAGTACGTAATTACACATTAATTTCGGTTAAGTTTATGGTTATTTTTAACTAAAGGTAAAACCAAAGGTTGTAGGGTAATTATTTTTTAAGCAAAATGTCTAAACATATTAAAAACATATTACTTCAATGATTATATTCTTTTCTTTTTAACTTCACACAGGTGTGTTCAGTGCAGAAATTGTCTTAGGCGCAGTCGCACGACAATACTTCCAACTTGATGGGAGTCAAGTCTAAAACGAGCAATCAACATCCTCTGCATTTTTATCCATGTCACGAGCCTATCAAGTTCTTAGTGAGTTATTTTCAAGACGAATATCTTTGCTTACCTTCTTCAATGGGACAATAAAGAACGTAATTTTATGATACAAAAGAAAATTATTTCTTTTACATCCACGCCATCACCTTTTCAGTTACAGTCTGTATTATCAAGCGTATATATGTAATAAATTTAATACGTCTAATTAATATTTAATGTACAATTTATTGATCATAACGTTCTTAAAAAATTATGGCTGCATAACTGTATTTTAAAGAATTATATTGCAAGTCTGTAGATTAATTATCTCGCGTTTTTGTCCTAGTCGTATCTCGAGATTTTATGGGAGCTGTGAAACGGCGCGCGTCTAAATGTCACGTTATTTTTTTTATATATCTGCTACATTATTATTCATATAACACTAAAAAATTCATTCTTATCAGTTAAATATATATTTCTACCAATTAAATATTATTTCTACCAAGTTTGGAATCAATCGTTCGCTTAGTTTCCGAAAAAAAATTTGTAAAAATAGCCTTTTTTTGGCCTACAGAGAGGATTCTCTCCTTAATCGGCATTTCCGCTAAGGAGAAAAGAGGAAAGCGCGATACATGCCTATTAGAGCGAGCGAGACATAAGAGACAGCGGTGTCCCTATAGCTGTCTCACTCATATTCTCTGCATTCAAGCGTAGAGTAAGTGAGACAGCTATTGGGGACACCACTGACCGTACTACGTCTGGTAATGCTTTGGGCCAAAGCACAGACTTCTGCATAACGCATAATACACAACGCATAAGAGAATCAACCAATCAGAGTTCTTCATTTCTGTCCTGAGGAGGGAAATTAAGAAAACTAATTGGTTTATTCTCTTATGTGTTATGCAAAAGCCTGTGCTCTTGCCCTTTCTCTCTCGATTATGCGACGTGCGATAAGGATGCAACATCGAAACACCTCCCACCACTTCTCCTGCGCTCCTTCGCTTCTCTCACGCTGTACAGTATATCCTGCGTATATGCCTGTCATCGTTTTCGATTGTTTTACAGGTATATACGACACCGCCGAAGGACACCATACCTGCCTCTAAAGGTGCCTTTACATGGGAGCGTCGAGCGTCAAAGCGTCCAATCAATCAGTTTTTCATTTCTTATTTCAGGGATAAAAACAAGGAACTTTGATTAGTTGGACGCTTTGACGCTCGACGCTCGACGCTCCCATGTAAAGGTACCTTAAGGCTGCGTTCCGAAATTCACTGCCAGTAATGAAAATACATAGTTTGTGTCACGTATACTATAGATTTTCAGTGCTGGCAGTGAATATCGGAACGCAGCCTATGTGAACACATTCCTATTCGACATAGCGATTGAACATACATGTAAATGATTGGTTGAATCTAGTAATTCACTAGATAATACTTTGCATCAATTGGTTGTTTCTAATCGTGTTGTGTCGAATTGGGTACCCCCTGTGTAACCTGTAGTGAGATATAGCCTTTAATTTTCTCTGTGGTTTTCTTTTCATTTCATGACGAATTGTCCATTAATAGAAAATGGCTGCATGAAAAGTAATAATCAGTATCGTGTGCCACGAAAATGTATCAAGTTACGATGGAAACTCTTGACATTGTTGCTGTATCTACACGGATTACCACAGTTCCAAACATATATTTTCAAAACAAAGCTTTATTTGCTTATAATAATTGTGATCTTACAAAAAATTCGTTGTATTGTGAACGTTATTATTTGTCTGATTACATTTGTCACAGCTGCAAAGATTGTATTTCTCGTGAGTACACAAACGTGCCTATAATGTCCTTTACATGTTATGCATGTATGTTTGACATACCTGTGGATATAAATTTGTTTATTGATATAAATTGCATTTGCTTTCATTCAATCTGTTTATTATAAATATTTAATCTCAATTATATTTGATCTGAATTTAAATAATGTAGTTTATTTATACATAGATATATCAACCAATTATACAAGTCCAGTATAAAGAAGTTATTAATTGAGAATTTTTTTAATATATGATTTTGATATGATTATTTTTAATATATAGTAAGTGATTAATTTTTCTATTCATATGCATTATATAATGACATCAATTTATCTGAATATAATCTCAACATGATCTAAAATTATTTCCTTAAGATATTTCCTTAATCTTCTTAAATTTGAATTACATATTAAATGCATATTAACATGTTCCATGTCTAATTAATTTTATATGACTAAATCATGTCATGTTATTTTATGTCATACTTTGAGTTAAATTTTACATACCAGGTAATATGTTTTATTATAATTATAATAATAGAGGTCTTTATTATATTTTGTTTTAAAGCTATATTAAATTACCTAAACAAAAAGTATAGCCATTGGTGACTTATATAGTATGAAATATATGAACAGAAAATATTCTCTGTATATGTGAAGTTTAAAAGAGTGACCAATTAGGATTGACCAATAAAATCTTTGTAACTAAAACTGAGAATATAATTTCAAAGAGCTGTTATAAACCAGCAAGCTGAATTTTTTGTAGCATATTTTTTAAGTATGGGAAAGATTAAATATTAATACTGGCAATTAAAAAGAAGTTGAATTTAACAAGTTTTGCTTCTTGGCAATTAAAAAGCAGTTGAGTTTAATCAGTTTTACTTCCTAATACAATTTAGGATACAATTAATCCATTAAACACAATTTTATACTTCTATATCAACATTTAAAAAATTTGAAACTGATATTTTTATGTCCCACAAAAGCAAAAAGTTATTGAACAAATAATATCAGTGATAATGTTAGTAAATGAATATTTTCTTTATATTTTCCTTTAAAATCTCAAAATTTGCTTAATTGTCACATGATAGTGTTGTTAACAACATTGTTAATAATGATTTATGAAACTTAAAAATTGCATCATTATAATATTAAAATTTTTCATCTTATTAAATTGATAAATACAGGGGTATTCTGTATTTTGTTACACAAAGTGTTAATATGATTACAGAATATTGCCACAATAACAATAGGAGTTTATATCTCGTCTATCATACATCTAACCTAACCTAATCCAACCTTGAACATAAAAGATACAATTATTTTAAAGTGAATTATAACATCAAGTTTGTTTGCAAAAAAATTAAAAATGGGACAGCCTGTATCATATCTTGTCACAAATGAGTCTTAAGATGTCCTTATAAATAAAAATTAAAGGGGTTTAAAGTAAAAGATTATGCAGGCTAAACAAGTTTCTCTTCCAATCCATCTATTTATGTAATTATTATTCAGAAACTCATGAATAATGTGGCTAAAATGTGATAGAAACGTGCTTAATAGAAAGTGTTTGTAATATGGAAAAAATACTCATGTTTATATGATCATATTTTCATCTTTACAGTGAATAGAATATGTTCTCAAAATTTGGCCACTTATTCTTGAAACATTCTGTGTACACACACATACATGTACACGCACACACATACATACACACACGAGAACATTTCATCAGTAGGTCATGAACAATAACATACTTCAATTTCAGGCAAATCGACTGAGAGCCATTTTCCATAAGAAATTTGTGGGACCCTTTATTGCATTAATCTCTGTGAAATGAGATCAAATTTTTAACATTCGCGATTATGATTATTTTTAAATTTTATAATTACCTTAATTTGCATATGTTGGATTATTGTAGACACTTAGTGGATATAATTTCTTTTGCAATATACAGGGTGTTCCAGATTACTCGGGTCACCCAATTTTTTTTCTTTTGTAAATGCTACATTTTAGAGAAAAATGTTTCAGACAAAAGTTATTCAAATTAATAGGTAGAGAAAAATGATATAATAAAAAATGAGATTTCTATTTAAGAAAAATAATGAACAGTGAATATTTCGAAAGTGGTGCTATCTGTAAACAAAATGATATAATCGTTTTATGTCCCCTTTAAAACTATACAACTTCTGTCTGAAACATTTTTCTCTAAAAAGTGTTTACAAAAAAATCAGGTGACCCGGGTGTTTTAGGACATCCTGTACAAATGGTAATATGGATTATTTGCTTTTCATGATTAATTATGATGTGTGCTATTACTTTGATCGATTCTTTTTTGCCGACCTCTTTTGTTTAAGTCAAAATTTTGTAGATTCTATCCATATTGACAATTGGACAAAATCTTGTCACAATTTGAAATCTTCCAATTTTTTTTGCAAAATCTAAAGAGTTTTTTAAATGTTCTGTTATGTCTGCCTTAGATGGACATATCATATCTAAAATGTTATCTATATACATTTATATTATACTATATTATATTATACTATACTATATAGTTATATATATACTAATTCTTGTCTTATTCATAACACATGCTTGTTATAATTTAAACAAAAGGAACTTATTCTCGTTGAATAAATAAATAAGTAAAAATAAATAATCTGGAATGCATATATCTTTTATTTCGTTTTATTAGTTTCCTATTGGATGTATAGTTTTTTTAAATATATTTAACTATAGTTTATAATTCAATGAGATGTAATAGAGTATTATAATACTGGTCAGCAATGACTATTGTAGCAATAAACATATTAATGCAAGAAACTTGATATTTGGGATTAGTTGTTTTTTTACAATAATTTTCATGTATTCTACTATTTGTTCTTGTTGTTCATTTCTTCATAACATATAAATACGTAGAACCATAAATGAAAGAAAGTTCAGACTAATATAAGATAATATTGCGTGCTTCTGCTATTATTATAAAGTTGAGATATAAGCGGCAAGGAAAGAAACAGTTGTTGTGATGTTTAAAAAATTGCTACGAATATATAATCAGTATATTATAAATAGTTAGTTATAGTATATTCTAAATAGCACATATATGTTTCAGCACACAGAAATTTTAGAACACAAAGAGAGAACCTTTAGGCGGGCAATTAATTACGCAACATTTATATTTTCTGATACGTCTGCAGTAGAAAATTTTATAATGCGTAATAATAATGTACCTGATCCTTCTCGGCACATCAATGATTATAATGAAGGAAATAATGATAAAATATATAATTTGCAAAAAAATCAATTTAAATCACGAACAATTTCGGAAGAATCCACCGATTCCGAAGATGGTTATTATATAGTTTTTGAAAGTAAATCAGGTACGGCCAATACAAACAGTACGGCCGATGTTGACTACAGTGAAATAAGTTACGAGGATGAAGATGGCAAAAATAATGAAGAATTAACACGAAAGGTATTTAATGATTTTTTTAGTTTTTCTATCCATCGTGAATCATGTCACATATCATTTATTATTAGAAATAAGATAATGGCAAAATTGATAAATACGAATAATTCGTAATTTGTAAATTGCATAACTATGAATATTATTCCATTATTAAATGAATTTCATAAAAGAATATAGTGATGAAGAATTTATTACTTTATCTTAAGATATCTAGGATGTCCCAGAACAGTGATACCAAAACTCGTGAGGGCGTAAAACGGATTAAGACGAATAAAAAAGTCCCATACTGTTTTGCGATATTCGCAATAATTATTGAATTATTACAAATCTCGCAAAACAGTATAGGATTTTTGTTTGTCTTAACCCAATCTACCTTCACACTTCAGGTTGGCAGCTAATTACCGGATACCCTGTATAGTCTATGATATATCACAGTCTGTGGTAGAAAAGCATAATATTTATCAGGAGGTTTATTATGTGATTTATAATTGTTTTGAGGGGTTCTTTTTCAAAAATTGATTTACTTAAACAAGATAATGAACGAAATATCTTAATTAAAATATTTTTCTTTGTTTTCTACAACTTCTTCCTAACTTTCTGACAAGGATGGATTCTGCGACAATAAAAAAATGTTTTGAAGTTGATTTAATTTTCAACAAATTTTTGTACTTCGCAGTTATGAAAGTGTATATTCTTTAGAGTATGTTACATCGACCGGAACAAGTAATAATCGGATGAAGAATACGCAGGGTGCAGTAAGACTTCTCATTCCAGCTTTAATAGCGTTTATTTCACTGATAATGCAGCATGAGGTCGAGCATAGTCGTAAAAAAGTATCACTTTACGTCATTTACTTGCAATTGATGATTGTTTTTTGTCCAATTTCACTTCAATTGTCGATAACGATCAGCGGTGACAGTTTCACTCGGATTTAACAGTTCATAATACACAACACCTTGATCCAACTAAATACACGGCAATATCTTTGAATCGTGAATATTATGCCTCGAAGTGGATGTTGCTGGTTGACCTGGATCAACCCATGATTTTTTTCGTTTGGGATTATCGAAATAAATCCATTTTTCATCCCCAATAATAATTCGACACAAAAAACTTTTCATTTTTTGTCTGACGATCAACAGAATGTAAATGTTTAACCGGCTCACAATAGCATTTTCCGACAATTGGTATGGAACCCATTTCCCTTTGCAATTCTTTCCCATATCGTGTAATTGTTGTACGATCAACATTTAATGTTCTGGAATGGATTGTGCTGGATTTTCGTCCAATAATGTTTACAAATCTGCATTTTCAAACTGTTTTAGTTGTCCCGAGCGGTCTTTGTCATTAATATTAAAATCACTACTTTTGAATCGTCTGAATCTAAACCAATATTCATACGTCCAGAGCAACATCACCATTTCTATCAGAATTCTATGACGTTTAGCCGTTTTTTCTGATTAAAAAACGAAAGCAACGCATGTCGAAAATTCTTTTTTTTAGGGAGCTCTATTTTTAAGAAAATATTAACATGATTTTTACTACGTCTATTATTAGTGAATGACAAAATATCATGAATTAATATTAAAGCATTAAGAAACAATAGCTGTGATTGGAATGTCTTCGACAAAACTGACATTAGTGCCATTTCTTGTAAACCTTCAAAACTAAATCACGCTCCTAATAAATTATTTGTTATAAATGATAAAAAAATATATCAATAATTCTTGATTAGAACTAATTCGCATTTATAATAATAAATTATTCAATCCCTATCATCTATTGACCATTATTAATGATTGCTTGGTATTTTCAAGACATGTATTTTATCAAGATTATTACATAGTCTTCGGATAAAGATTGTTAATCCATCTTATATGGTGACATAATTACAAGTTTGTTTCTTTTCACGAAATTGCACTATCATAATGAACTAGTTAATATTATCGATCAATCTGGCATTAGGAGATTATAAAATCAATCAAATCGATTGACGTAATTTTTATTTTCTACTGAATAGACTCTAATGTTTGGGTTCTCTCTGTCTTGCATAATAAATATTTTTGTTCAAATCACATTCAGGCGGATGGCAACAAAGTTTTTATTTATATCTTTGTCGAATGAATCTTTATCGAATATTTTACAATATGTTCAAGAAATCTGTTAATAGTGAATAAGTTAGAAAACAGCATTTCATATTCAAACAGAAGCTTTGATAGTGAAAATGTAGTTAAAATATAATTATTTGGAATTAAATAGAAGTCTGTTACACTTTTCCTCGATAAACTATATAAACCATATGAACAATGAATTGAATAACAAATTCTAGAACTTAAAGTCTTATTTCAGGTGAAGTTTGATTTAATTCCAATTGTGCATATCATGGTTCAATGGGATTATGCATACCGAGCAGCTCGTAAAGGCCCGTGGGAGGAAATGGCACGGGATAGGGAGAGATTCAAAAGACGTATAAATTGCATTGCGGCTGTTCTTGACCCAATTTTAGCAAGTCAACACCGGGCTCATGTTTGGCAGGAACGATTCGCTCTTCAGAAATAGTTTTGTACTTTTAATGCTGTAAGGTAACTTATAATAAATGCAAAAAAATACTGTATCGTTTTAAAATGTGTATAATTTTAGTTCTTCATATACAGAAGATGGCTGTGAGTAACAATATAAAATCTTTTCTTGTAATATAATATGTTTATAATATAACATGTCACTACGCTATAATCCATATTATTCTATCGATTCTTCTATTCATGTAATATTCTTTATATTTTATTATGTTTTATCATCTTGTCACTGTGACTTCCATACAAATGAAGGATGCTACTGAATCTTATTGATTTTAATTTTTAATAGATCTATACAAAAAAAATGTCTAATAAATTTAGAACAAAATTATAGTTGGATTTCAAAATAGTGTTTATTAATCACAATTGTTATTTTAATATATTTTTTCTACTTATAAAGGAATCCTTCAATTCTTTTATTAGGAAATTCAAATCAATACTTTATTTAAATCAATAAACAATTTTAAATTAATTTAAAAGGAACATATGAAATTTCGTCTTCGATGTTGATAAAACTTGCTATATTTGTAAAGTAAAATATGTATTTCTTTTATTGAGGCTGAGATTCTCCCTTAAAATTTCATCCATTTGTACTATATCAATAATGAATGGAAATGCAAAAAAATTTTTAGATATATGTTTAAATAATTTTTGGAATGCTTTTAGAACTTACGGTCTATTATTATTTCAACCAATAAAAAAATAGATATCTTAATTTAAATTATTCTACAAGTATAAAATTTCATCAGAAACTAAGACGGACTTCACAGATATTTTTTGATAATAAAAGGTCATGTTAATCTACATAATATTATAAATTCCCTCTGAATTATAATTCTATGGAATATAGGAAATAAATATTAAGAAAAGGGAATTTTTCCTAAAAGGGATTTTTTATTAATTTATATTCTATAAATTATTAAAAATTAAATTTCTAAAAATTAGTCCACGTTTAATGTAAAGAATGCAGTAGCTTAAAAATTTGGGATAAGTTGTAATTACTTCACTAATTTAAATTTAAATAGATAATAAAAAATTCCATTTTGTTAATATCTTTAATCTTGTTACATATGTTAAAAAAATTAAATATCACCTATATATTTTCTTCCTTTTTCTTTCTCTTTCTCTCTCTTTCTTTTTCCTCCCTCCCTCCCTCTCTCCCTCTTCCCTCCTCTTTCTTTCTTTCTCTAAATAATAAATAAATAAATTGAGCGTTTTATAGAAAATGTCACACATATATGATATTGATTTCTGGTGAGAGATCACTATATGCATATATGAGGTCACATATGTATGACATTGATAGCATATTAACTATATCAAGTATTTTATTGTCATTATCACCCTAAAGTGATGATTTTAATCATTATGTTTTATTTGTAATGCTTCAACAGAAATAAAATCTTTTGCTTTATTAAAGTGATAAGTTTAAGTTAAATTAATATTTTAATTAAACATTTCAGTGGAAAAAATATAGAAGATATGCAATGTAGAAAATTTGCAATGTTGAAATATAGAAGATTAATCCTCTTCTATAAATACTAAAATTTAATGATCTGTTTGATATAAAATACCACACATGCAAGTGTATTTAAAACCAATAAAAATATTTTATTTTTAAGAAAATATTTTATTTTTAAGAAAATATTTTATTTTTAAAATTAGTCTATTTTAAAATTAGTCTAAGTGCTAAAATTGAATTAAAAAAAATCAGTATAAAGCCTTTTGTATAAAATATATTATTTTTGTTTATAACCATTTGTACAGTATTTTGTACTAGTCTAATATTCATATTGGTCTAATGTTCATAATGTATCATTTATTGCTAATTTACATTATGATTTTAGTATATTGTAGATTTATCATATTAGTGAAATAAAAAGTTCTTTAGAATGTCTTGTTATTTTAACCAATAAATTAGAAATGGCCAGAAGTACCCCTAATTAATTTTTATGAGCCTTGGATATGTTGTAGAGCAGCAAAAGATATTGAATCCATATTTTTATATGTGCTTATATTTTAGCATTTAGGATTTAAAACTATTTCTAAAAAATAATAAATTTTAAAAATTTTAGTGAATTTGTAAATTATAAGGCATATAAAAAAAATATAAATAATATAAAAAAAAAGTTTATGGTCTATTTATTAAAATGGAAATTTTTATGGTATTCGATGCCCTCTTTATAATAGTATATCCAGATTTTTGCAAAATTATATTTATTTTTATCCTTCGTTTTTTACGAATTTAAAAATTTTGTAAAGACAAATTTAAAGAGCGTTGAAAGCTACATTCATACAGATATGATTACATGACCTTTAACTGATTATATTTTTGAGAAAACATAATGAAAATCATACTATAGGCATCTTGCTGCATCGTGCAACACCGCATTATAGGCATACATTACATTATTTCTTTTCACTGCGTAATATTTGCAAAGGAATTACAGGAGGTGTAAGTCATTGATTTGGCTGAATTTTTGTAAGTAGGTCAAAAATTGAAAAATATTTGATCTATATTTTACCGTTTGCTGGGACACCCCATAGTTTTAAAGTTATTCGTTAATAAAGTTTAAGTAGTTGGTACAATGCGGATAATAGAGCGTACACAAGCGCGCGCTGGCCACGATAGTTGGACAGGCTAGTCTGTTGTGTTGTCTGTTGTGTTAACGATCTGAGTTCGATTCTAGATGCTGTGAGATGTTCTTTTTTTTTCTTTATATAGCTTTAAATGTAATATTAATGTAAGTATAGATCGGAAAAATATATAGAAAATATATTTTTAATTTGAAATATATATTTATTACATACGTACATGCTATTGTACAAGCACATACAAGTCTCTTTTTATATATTGTATTTCTTATTCTTTTTATATTACATATTTGAAATTTAATATTAATATAAACGAAAGAGCATATGTAGAAAATGTAATTTAAAATATATATTTAAAATATATTTATTAAAAAATATATATATATATATACATATTTCATTGAAATATACAAACATGTCATTTTTTTAATATTTAATATAAAATAAAATATAAAAAATAATATAATTTATAAAATGTATAATATAATTGATAAATATGCAGAATGATATCAGCTTCGATTTCTTCGAAACAAGTATGTATATTAAATTTTAAATGAAATCGTATTTTTTTAATTTTGTTGGAATAGATATCTATTAATACAGACATATGGATATATTATTGTAAAATATAAAGCTAAGAAAATAATTTTTATACTTTTATTCTTCATTATAGATCCAACACATGTCCATAGATCTTGGCTGTCCAATCATGTATGCGAGTTGTGCTGACGTATGTAATATTGCCATACGTAATATTACTTTCGGAAAAGATGAGACCAATTTCGGAATAGGCTTATAATCCAAGTAATATAAATCAATCAGTATGGAGACGGTTCTCTATTTTACAGTAGTATGACTCCGTTATAGAAAAGGTGAATATTATTCATTTGTATTATCGGAAGATGAACGTATATTTAATTAGATTTTAAATTGCCACATAAAATGAAAACTATTGGAAATACAAACTCTCTAGAGACGTATAAATCTACGTGTGCTAGAGCGTGATATATGTTAATTACATAAATTTGGTTAGGTATTGGATGATGTATATATAAGAGTAGCAGGCATTTGCTTTTATATTTTGTTTGTTTATAAAATTATATTTATACATGCTTATAATAAATTGTAGCCCATGCACATAACTATGTCTAATATAATTAACTTAATGTAACCACAATTGTGATACCCATATTTAAACCACAACAATGGGGAAAACATCAAAAGACAAGTATGACATATATTAGGAATGCTAAGGAAGAAGGATGGTATGCATGAAGTGCTTTTAAATTACTCCAAATTGATCAGGAATGTCGGATCTTTAATGGTAAGTAATGAACAAGAATAATAGTGTAAATTTGTCATTCTATTTTATTTTAATTTGTCTTAATTTTCATCCAATTCCTGCAGGTGTATCCAAAACAATAGATTTATGCGCTGCACCTGGAAGCTGGAGTCAGGTCTTAGCTCTTAAGCTGAAGTAAGTGCAAATATTTAATACCAACTAACATCTTGTTCTATACACTAAACAATCTAGTGCACTAATAAATGAGCTACTTAATAAATGAGTTACTTAATAAGTGAGCAATGTTCAAGGAATGTTAATTTTTTTTTTATTTATTGCTTCTCTCTATCTCAAATATTTGAACATGTTTTCAGTACAAAGGAGAGAAGTACAAGTACCACGAGCCAGTGCAGACTCCTATAGTGCCATTCTATGAGGAAGCGTTATCTTTATCGAGAAGCAGAGACTTTCATATGGCTGATGTTAATGTGATAATCGAGAACGAAAATATGAATAAAATTTCTCTCTTTGAAAAGACAGTCCTACAACAGAGTCAAACCAAGATGAATGTAGAGGCGAAAACAGCGCAACAGGATCAAGATGAGAATGAAGCGCCTATCGATATGTTACAAAATTTATATGTCTGATGCAAACAAAGATAATAATTAAGATTCTACAAAGATGTTTCTATTATCGTTGCATGTTGTATTATTCTCAAAATAAATGTAGAAAAATTTTTGATGAATTCCTATTCCCGACACATCTGAATGTCCCGACATCTATTTTCAAAGAGAAAGCATTTCATACGCGAGTTAATGCAGTATCGTAAAGAGTCGTACAATAATAATATCATGGAGATATACAAAAGTCCACTGTTTTAGATTCTACAGATATCCTACGGATATATCTTTTTAGTAACAATTTTTAGAAACTAAAAAGAATTAATAATTCTTTTTAGTTAATAAAAGAGATATCCGTTGGATATCTCTGTAGGATCTAAAATAGTGGACATTTATATATTCCCAGGATACCGCTGTGTGGGTATGGATCTAACGATAGGGTCTGCTCAAATCTGTTGTTGTTAATCTGATATCAGTCTGCGCTCAGATTGTTTGCTGGGAAGGACATCTTTAAAAAAAAAAACGTCATGATTACGCCATAATTCAAAAGTGTTTAAAATGTCTTAAAAAAGACGTCATTTTTATGTAATAAATGATACGTCTGAAAAAAGACGTCATTATGACAATAATTTAAAAGTCTTTAAGATGTCTTAAAAATGACGTCATTATGACGTAATAATTGAGACATCTTAAAAACGTCTTTAAAAAGACGTATTTAAGACGTCTAAAAAATGACGTCATAAGAAAGACGTATTTAAGACATCTTTAAGACATATGAAGTAAGCCGTCTAATATAAGAATCTTTAAGATGTCTAAAAGACGTCATTTGGTAAAGTCTAAAGGAGGTCAAATCTCTGACGTCTTAAAGACGTCTTTAAGACTAGCATGTTGTCTGGGACGCCTTTAAGATGTTTCTTTTCATAACTCTTAACACAATAACTCTTTCATAATGTCTTTTAATAACTCTTCATGATGTCTCAAAGACATCTTACTTAAGACGTCTTTTAGACACGCATGTTGTTTGTTATTATCACTCGTGTGATAAAATATCATTCACTTAATGTAACACAAAACTTGCATACTCATAAACTAGTTAAAATGTAATAACGGACTACCAGCACCATAACCTTCATAAACCACGTTATCGATGAACTGTTTAACTAAATAACGTAGATCATTACTATTGGCATATTTTAACATATGCAATAACTGAGATAGCAATCTACCTCTAGTAGGATACGCGTTCACAACTATTTTTCCTATTTTCGCCTCCAAATCGTCTTGCGATAAGAAACTTTGTAAACTTTTATATTCGTCTGTATAGACATCCAAATCACGCAGAGCCTGGAAAAGATCTTCAACATCTACATTTGCAATATTTATATTCTTATTAATATTCATTCCTATGTGAGTGAAATTAGTCAGATAGTTTTCTAGTGGGCCGCTGCATTTAAATAGTTCTTTATTAAATTTATTATCGTATGTATCCACCAACTCAGCGATGTTAGCTTTCAAGATATTAGTAGAAAGAATTTCCGAAATTAATAAAGCTTTTAGTGTTTTCAGAGTAGCGTTTATGGGTCCACCGATGCTATCATCTGAGATAAAAGCAATTGCTTTCTGCCAATCTTTCAGCTGGATACTTTTGTTTAAACTCACGTCCGTGAGAAGTCTTTGGATCCTGGCAGAGTTTTCTTTTCTTCCAATAGCGGAGAATACCGTTTTCGCGATCACTTGGTTCCTTACAAGTTGCCAACGTTTCTGAAAATTTTGCAATACGAGATCACCATAAACATTATCCATAATATTCGACATTTTGTCTCGATGGCCTTGATGACGTCTAAGGTGACTGATGAAAGATAATAAGAGGTCCTTCCAGTCCATATATTCGAATGGAGAAAATTGTCTCACAATATCCTGCACTTCTACGTTTTGCTCAATCATGGGTATAAGTGCTGAGCCGGTCTTGAAGACTATTCTATTCCGAGACATCAGCATAGTATAGTTAAAGATATTATTGTGGTACAGATTTTCCAACTCGGGGATACTTCGACATTCCGCGGGCGTTTTTAAAAACGGCAAAAGTAAGTTAGCGGCTACTAAAGTTTGGTTCCGCAAAGGCAGACTTGAAATGGTATTAAGCACCAATTTATATGGATCGAAAGACGTCTTGACGTCGAGAAATTCATGCTCGCCATTCTGCTGTAAATATTCAATGAGATGCGTGACTGATTCTCTGACTTTTATCGTTGCGTCAGGTATCCTCAGATTCGCCAAGATATGCCCAATCAGTTCTCGATGCAAACGAATGACTTTATTATTTATAAATGATACTGTTTCACCAACTATTTTTGACCAAGGTCCTTTAAGATTCTTGACTGGCTCACGATAGTTCAAAGGCACAGCTGCTTCTTGCAGTTCTTTCACGGGAATTTTCTCTAATAAATCGCTCTTCAGAGGTCCCCAGTTGGGCCTATAGATTTCATCAACATCCAAAATACCTTCCGAGAAAGATCGTTTAAGCATAGATATCGCCGGTGTAAGATACTTGGGTAGATAATCTTCCATGGTTCCTAGAATATTGCTCATTTGATCTTCAACAGATGCATACATTATTGAGGGCAAAATTTCAAGACATTCAACCAATGAACCTCCGTTTTTAAGATAATCTTCAACGATTTTTATAGAATGATAAAATTCGTAATTTAGTATCTGTAAAGATTAAAATAGAACGAGATGTATTAAAAACATTCTAGTAAGGAAGGTATATTTAATCAATTGTTCTCTCTCTCTTTCTCTCTCCTTTCTCTTTTTAATTTACTTTATAGAAGGATTAGATAATTTTACCGGCAATTCGTGTAGAACCTTCCCGAGATTGTGCTTTAGTCGCGCCGCTGTTTTTAATTTTAACGTCAATCTTCTTTCCAGAGACGATGAGTATTCTGCAGCATCGTCATACGAATTAACCGTTATTACAAGAAGAAATCCGAGTATGTAAATTAATATTTTGCGATAAAGTTGCATTGTTCTTATGAAACAGATTCAATTGAACTGTTGATAATATCCTGTTCAAGGTATATAAAAAGTTTCAGTTAAATACCTATATGCGTATATAGTCATAAAAAATGCTTATTAGTCGCGTGTATATGTATGCGCGATAGCATAAATTGAATTTTCACGATTGAAAACGATATACGATACGGTATAAAGATTTGTTATTACCTATACGCCAGATTAAACCATGATGATTCTTCGAATATTCGACGCACAGCTGTATTGAATAAAAAAATCGAATTTTTTATCTCATCTATAAAATATCCAAATCTGATATTTTTTAATCTCGTGTCCTTAGCTAATAAAAAATTATTCTAAATCAAAAAGCTCCGCGTGAATAATTAGAAATATTTTATAAATCGAAATTATGTATTTATACATTGAGTAATTATATATGTATATATATTCCAGACAGCACCGGACATCCAATGGATGTACGTTTCACGTCCAATTTATGTTTGTATGTCCGATTTACGTCCGTGGACATAAATTAGACGTAACAAGGATATCCTTATTGGACATCGGACCTGTAGGACGTCTGATGTACGTCCATCGGACATCCTATGTCCAAAGTTGTGACAAACATACGTCCTATAGACGTCTTTTGAAAAAAAAAATGGACATATAACGGACGTCCAATGGACATCCGTGTGCTGTCTGGGATGGGACCTAGCATTGTCATGCAAAAAAATCACTTTGTTTTGCTTTGTCGCAAAATATCGTTGTTTCTAGATTAATTGTTCATTCAATTAATTCAATTGTCGACTGTATAATTCCGCGGTGATAGTCTGAGATGGTTTTAACAGCATAATAAAGCATTACTTGCACACATACATACATGTCCCACCAAATATACAGAAAGACTTTATGATCATGAATATTTCGTTTTGGCTGTGACGCAAAGAGTTCTTCGGGATTTACCCACGATCTTTTGCGATTGGAATTGTCATAATAAATTCATATTTCGCCTCCGGTCACAAATTGATGTAAAAAAATTTATGTTTGTATTTATTGAGCAGCAAAAGGCAAATAATGTTCTCGAATAGGGATTAAGTTCATATATTGGGTTGGCAACTAAGTGATTGCGGATTTTGTCGACAGATGGATTTTACACTTTCTTTTGTTTCGTTAACGTGTTCAAAGTACCTAACCTATATTTTTTTCTTATTGTTTGGACTTCTACCTTTCATTTAGTACAAAAATTATATTGATTAGTTCTTTAGTTTTGTTTTTATTCCAATTTAAAAATGGAAGAGCAAGACATGCACTTCAGACATATTTTATTGTATTATTTCCGAAAAGGCAAGAACGCATCGCAAGCACACAAGAAGTTATGTGCCGTATATGGGAATGAAGCCTTGAAAGAAAGGCAGTGTCAAAATTGGTTTGCCAGATTTCGTTCTGGTGATTTTTCATTGAAAAATGCTCAACGATCTGGCCGTCCAGTTGAAGTCGATGAGACCCATATCAAGGCCATTATCGATTCAGAACGTCATAGCACAACACGTGATATTGCAGAGAAGCTCAATGTATCACATACATGCATTGAAAAAAATTTAAAAAAGCAAATTTAAAATTTTCATTCTTATTTAAAATCCGCAATCACTTAGTTGCCAACCCAATAGGTTCCTATCCACAAAGGGATACAGGACAATGACAAAACTTCTCTAATTACCTTATTTCCCAGCAACCTGAATTTGGACTGATTTGGAAGCACAGATTACAGGATGATTCCAAGTTCAGATTCTTTAAATCAAATCAAGGGAAAGAGGTACTAAATATTTTGACCCTTATTATATTTACTCTATTTTATTAAATTTTATTATATTTATTTCATTAAAATTATATAAGAAGGGGAAAGGTGTGAGATTATGCAAATCATATAGAACAAAATACAATGCGATGTTTGTTGTAACTCATAAATATAATTAAATACAAAAGAACATTTCCTCTCATAATGTACATTTAAAATATGTTAGGATATTTGATTTATATTCTCAATTCTTTAGTTTTCTTAAGTAATAATGCAAAAGAAAATTCTTCCCTTTAAATTGTCCTTTTTCACATATGAAGTTAATAATGTGTTTTTTGTCTTTTACAAGCAGATAAAACAAACAATGATTAGATGTGATTAGATGTAAACAAATTTAAAGTGAAAATTTTTAATACCATGTTTTTAATGACATGCAAATAATATATCATTATTAATATATATATATATATATATATATATATATATATATATATATATATATATATATATACACACACAAGGTATCCCATTTTAAAGGACTCACTTAAATATCTCAGAAACACTGCATTAAATCGAAAAATGCTTAAGACAAAAGTTGTTTAACTTGAAGGGGGACATAGGACAGCGATAGCATTTTGTTTATAGATGGCGCCACTTTCGAGATATTCACTGATTATCAATTTTCTTAAATGGAAATCCCAGTTTTTTATTATATCATCTTTTTCTATCAATTAATTTAAACAACTTTTGTCTGAAACATTTATTTATTTGCTTAATATATTTTGAGATATTTAAGGAAAACTTGGTAACTTTTCCAACATTTATCTTACGATATCTCACTAACTATTCGTTGAAAGAAAAAATAGTATTAGACTTTTTTACTTTATTTACTATCAAGGATATATTACTATAATAGTGCCCTAACTTTTATTAACTTATCGACCTTTGGAAATTTCAAAATTATTAAATTAATAAAAGTTAGGACACTATTATAGTAGTATATTCTTGATAGTAAATAAAGTAAAAAAGTTTAATACTATTTTTTCTTGCGACGAATAGTTAGCGAGATATCGTAAGGTAAATGTTGGAAAAGTTACCAAGTTTTCTTTAAATATCTCAAAATATATTAATATATAATAACAAATAAAAAAATGTTTCGGACAAAAGTTATTCAAATTAATTGGTAGAAAAAGATGATATAATAAAAAATTTGGGTTTCCATTTAAGACAATTAATAATCAGTAAATGGAGCCATCTATAAACAAAATGCTATCGCTGTCCTATATCCCCCTTCAAGCTAAACTTTTATCTTAAGCATTTTTCGATTTAACGCAGTGTTTCTGAGATATTTGAGTGGGTCCTTTAAAATGGGACACCTTGTATGTATGTATGTATGTATGTATGTATGTATGTACGTATGTACGTGTGTACGTATGTACGTGTGTACGTGTGTACGTGTGTACGTATGTATGTATGTATGTATGTACACACACACACACACACACACACACACACACACACACACACACACACACACACACACACACACACACACACACACACACACATATATATATATATATATAGTCACAGATAAAATTACAATTTACGAAAAGTTTATCTTACATATAATTGCTATAATATACAATATTTGCAAAATTGTCTTTAGATGTCCTTTAACATGTTGCCCTGCTTAAAATATTGCAGTCCTTAAGAATATCTACAGATATTAGCTTTAAATTTTCACAATAAGTTACAAGTTTATCAATTTAAACCACAGTCACTCTCAAGTCACCTAGACTGGATAAATATCGTTAAACAGTCGTATATATTTAATTCGATAATATTAAAACAATGACTTGTTAAAATTGAAAAAATTGATTTGATCGTTGAAAATGCTTATAAAAAAACCACATGCACATCTGAATAAACGTACATACACACCACATATATGCATACACCTATTTATGTACCTATTTATATATTTATATCTATTTCTTTTGTTTCTGTCTATTGTACAATAGTCAGGTACTCTGGAGTGAGCTGCATTCCATCAACATGATACGATGTCAAAACACGAACTTTTTGTCCGTCTTGGGTTGTAAATTCTATAGTATGGTCATTGTCTACGATTCCCCCTTCCAATTGATTAATTGTCGCAACTGCAGTCGCATCTGTGTTTTCATCCTAAAAAATATAATCAGAATATATTTGTAATAATATTACCGGATATAATCGCGATAATTTTAATTATCTTACAACGGAAGTTAGGTAATTTGAAAATTCAATAAATTCTGAAATATCGTGCGCAAGTAAAGTAGTTCATTCGTAACACAAAACTATTTTTGTACATGTTATAAGTTCGCGTCATAATGGTTTGAGAAGTGAAATTACTATTTGAAAAAATATAGGTTCTTTGCAGAATAAAAAATGATTTTATAAAGCGATATTTAAATTATTAATATAAATTTTAGACAGCTTTCAATTATTTAAGCAAGTCAGTATGTACTTATAACTATATGAAAAATAAAAATAATTAAAACTAATCAGTGACGTATATCATTACATCAATCATAATAACAGCAACATATTTACATTATTTGGAATATTATTTTATTAGAGTAATTTGCAAACTGCATGATAAATAAGATATTGAATAAAACTCTATTTTAACATTAAATGATGCAATGTCACATCGATGCGGCAATGACTTTGTCGAACTTTTCGATTTACATAATGTTTATGTGTTTAACTATTTTGCAAATCATACAAAAAATAAAATAAGGATAGTGTAAGAAGTGTTTTATAGGACATAGATTAGACTACTATCATAAAAAAATGAAATAATGCAGTTTATAATTTTTTTATGTAAAAGCTATCTGGTAGATAAGTTTATTTAACTCTTTCGTGCCTGACTTTTTTCTAGGAATAATTTGCATCTAACTTACGTCTTACTAAAGGCTTTTAGTAAAATTTTCTCGAATTTGAATAAAATTCATATTCCAGAGATTTTTTGGGTTGCTGATTATGAATCTGTAGTCAAAATTTCAAAATTAAAAATGACGAATTCAATATGCACAGTGTGTAAAGCTCCACTCTGTCCCATTCCGTGTTTCAAAACATTCCATGAAATGTGAATAAAATTGAGTCGACCTTTTTTATTTACATTTTATCAACTATATTAGATATGATTATATTGAATTTGAAAATTTTAACTTTAAATTCATTATCAGCGACTCAAAAAGCTCCCTGAAAAATGAGTTTCACTCAAATCCAAAAGAATTTCACATTTTGATCCGCCATATTGAATTCGCCATTTTGAAATTAAGTAGCAATTTTGTTTCATATAGCCCTTACATCACCTTCAAAATGAGCCCAGGAAGAACTTACTATCTTAATTTTTGTGGAATATATATATATATTTTTCACTTTTACCCTATTTTACGAGTATCTGATGAGATATGCAGATTGGAGGATGAAACTAAGGGTGTTGATTTTTGTGTGAAGAGTCCTATCTTTCCTCTTTAAAATCAGCTCAAGAAGTCGCTATTTTTATTTTTGTAGGAGATACGAATTTTTAAAGTTCTAGAACATATATGTCCCACTAGGCACGAAAGGGTTAATCGCGTCTTTTGATTCCTACAAATATGGCCGAGGAAGTATTATTCCCAGTTTTATTTATAACAATCAATCACCATTCTATTATAAAATTTGTGATCATTGGTTGATAGAATTCTCTTTAAAATGATGTCGATTAATGTTGCAAACGTAATAAACATGTTAGCAACTGTTTCAAATTGCGAATATAACACAGACACCTTTAACACCGTTTAAAATTGAACTGCATAATGAAATTCGTAACATTTTACAAAATTTTCAAAATGTACGTTCGGTATAATTATTTGAACATGATTATATGTTTGATTTTGCTGATCCATCAAAACCACATAGAGCACAAGTTGTAGAATATATTTACAGCTTCAAAAAATGAAGACAGTTTTGAACTTGAAGAATGCATTCGTCGTGGAACGTCAAAGCGCCAAGACGCGACGGTCAGCGCGAGTCGCGTTACCGCTCAGCCTCGACGTACACAGCCGTGGAGCATCTATAAGCCGCGATGGGCGTGACAAACGCCAAACTTTACGCGGTTATTACTAAAAAACTATGTAAGATATTGCTGGAAGCTGGAAATGGAAGATTTTTTCGTTCCTCTCGCTTAGCTTTACGCCCCTATGAAGTTGTTACAATTTTGGGACATCCTGTATATTTATAAGGCAAAAAAGGTATTTGAATGTGAGGTTATCTAAACCGATTTGAAGCCGGTATCTTTTTTGTCAAGTTACTACTTTATCACTAAACTATAAAAAATCCTACACGTGCCAACATTTTTCTCTTTCTTCCCTGCGCCTCTGCCTCGCCCCTTTCTCTCTGTCTTATCCTTCGCTTTCTCTCATTTGTTATGATAATTCTCTCTCGGATCTTAATCACTTATAGTTCAATTATGAATTTTATAGAATCTCATATATCCAAAATCTACTATAATTATACTATACTATAATTATTCGTTAAAATTTTTTTTAATTACTTCAAGAGCTTTAACGATTGCTTCCGCGTCAGTTTGTGCTACCGACATGGTTTCGACGCTTTTGGTTGCATTCGGACGAGTTAAAACTTCTCCTTTCATGGCGGCAGTTACAGCAGTTTCCTCATCAACATGAATGTTTAAAGTCTGTGGCAACTGTTGCGTAAGCATTCCAGAATGAACACGAATAGTCTGGCCATCACTCAATTGACTAATAAAATGCCCTTGAGAAAGAAGTTGTCGAGCTTCTTGAATTGACAGTGGAATGGGATTACCTTCTTCATCTGTAATCTGAAAATACAATTGAAAATCATAATACAATTTAAAATTATAAAATACAATTTTATATGAGGAAATAATTTAATCTATTAAATCATATTTGTAAATTAATAATGTTTACAAAAATGCAAATATATAACTGAGATACAACAATATAAAGCACATGAACGCTTCTTTTATAGAAACAATTTGAAATAGCTACTACAATGGTATTTGTTGTTACCTGCAACTGCAAATCCGATTCTGAAAGTTCTATTTCCGACTGCTCCTCATTATTACTAGCTACATTACTTGCATTCTTATCGGCATTTATTTCATCGTTTTCAACGTCTAGACGTGGCAATGAGTTTGCATCCGATGTTACTCCTTCCTTATTTCTTATCATGCTAGTATCGACTATATTTTAATAGTTGAATTAATACTTGATTAACCGATTAATAATATCTAACAAAAATATTTATTAACAAATCTCGACTGATATAATCGAGGTAACACAACACATACACAGGCGCGCGCACAACGTGTCTCTAAAGTAATAATTTATTTTGGTGAAATAGTGAAGAATATATATAATTCTATGTAATTGTGCTGGCATAATTATATTCACATAACATTATATAACACATACCTATACAAAGCCACATATTTAGAATTTCTCCATTGGTTCCCATATTTGATTAACGCGGTCTCCAAATTTAATACATTTGATATATATTTTATCTGAGATTTCATTCCCGATATTTATTTTGAAAAAATATATTTTGTTTAAGTAGTAATATTATATTATGATGTTTTTTTATAATTTATCTTATTTTGCAAAATAGGTTACTTTAGGGACCGTATATGTGTGCACATGAATGCGTGTGCCTGTGACAGTGTATAAGCATGCGTGAGTGGTGTGTATATTTTTACACACGCATGCGCGTGCATGCACACCACACGCACATACATACACGCGCGCGCACGATGTGACCTTAACCCGACCTTGGTAATGCATCACAAAGTTAAATTTTTAATATTGTTAAATACATCACTATACAAGATGTATAAAAAGTACCGGGACGGCGAAATATCTGAAAAATTAAGCATTTTACAAAAAAAATTTTTCAGACAAAAATTGTATGGTTTCACAGGGGACATAAAATAAGTATATCATTTTATTTACAGATGGCGTCACTTTTGAGATATTCAAATTTATTATATAATTTTTTTCTACCAATTAATTTGAACGATTTTGGTCTGAAACATTTTTTTTATTTGCCTAATATCTTTTGAGATATTTAAGGAAAATTTGGTAATTTTTTCAATATTTAACTCACTAGATCTCGCTAACTATTTGTCGGAAGAAAAAGTGGTAAATGTTCACTTTAGGGGAGTCAGCTTCGATGACTTCGACCTTGATATATGTTATAGAGGATATCTTATTGAGTAACCTTCAAAAGGTTTTAACCGTTGCTCATTATTTATTAAAAAGTTATTAAAGAAAGAAGTTGAATATAATGAACATAATTTTTGGACATGTAGGTTGCTCACACTGTAAACAGACAATTTGTTTTGTTTACATGAGTGACAATCCTCCTGAGTGATAATCAAAAGATTTTAGCCGTTGCTCATTGTTTATTAAAAAATAATTAACAAAAAAAATTTCATAAATAGAATGTAATTTTCTGACACTGTGTACATATTTAAGGGATGAGCACATGTTATACATGTCCTATACATGAATATATTCATCGTATTACTGACCTATAACTTCATCTGTTCTTTTTAGTCGCAAAAAATTTTTTTTGGTAATTATGCAGAAATAGGGACCACCTCCCGATGTCAATAATTTTCATATGTTATCAAGGTTCTGTAATGTTGTTCTGTAATGAGTAATGTTCTAAAAGTTTTAACCCGCGCTCATTGTTTATATCAAAGTTATGAACAAATGAAGTTTCATAAATTTTTCCATACAGTTAATCCAACCACAGTGTATATATATATATATATATAGACACAATGTATATATAAACACAGTGTATATATATAAATGTAGGAAACAGTACATACAAGCGGGAGAGGGGCTTCGCACCCCTTCCCTGAATAAATCCTAATCTTAATTAACTTATTGCATCTTTATATGAAAAAATTTCCTTAAAACCCACAACACCTAATTGTATGCAGATATAATAAGTTAAATTGGGTTAGGTGATAGATCTTAAAAGAACTCGTTGAACAATGTCCAAAAATATATAAAGATGCAATAAGTTAGGTTAGGTTACGATTTGTTTGGGGAGGGAGTGCGGAGGAGGGGCGAAGCCCCTCTCCCGCTTATATGTACTGTTTAACATTGTTTAATGTATATTGTGTCTAAAGAAAGTGGGCTCTATCTATAAAATTTCGTACTTTTTTTGTTAACTTTTTAATAAACAATGAGCGACGGCTAAAACCTTTTGATTGTGACTCAGAAGAGTCTCCTTGATAATATATTTAATAGACAAGGTAATCGGAGATGGGTCCCCTAAACAGTAGTTTTACCCCTTATGTGACTTTTTTTGATAATAAATTTTTGATAAATAATGAGCGACGGTTAAAACCTTTTGAAGGTTACTCAGTAAGATGACCTCTATAACATATATCCTCTATAACAAGGTCAAAGTCATCAGAGCTGACTCCTCTAAAGTGAACATTTACCGAAAAAGTAGTACTAGACTCTTTTGCTCTATTTAATCTCAAGAATATTACAATAGAGCCCTGACTTTTGGAACTTTCAAAATCATGAAATTAACAAAAGTCAAGGAGCTGAAAAAAAGAATGTTTCAGACAAAAGTTATTCAAATTAATTGGTAGAAAAAGATGGTGTAATAAAAAATTGTGGTTTCCATTTAAGAAATGACCAGTGAATATCTCGAAAGTGATGTCATTTATAAACAAAATGATATAGTTATTTTATATCCCCCTTGAAATCATACAACTTTTGTTCAAAATATTTTTTTTTATGTTTAGTTTTCAAGATATTTTGCTGTTCCGGTACTTGTTCCTCACCCTGTATATATATAAATCATACCGAAATGCAATGTTCGTGATTGATTAGGATCATCAGGATCTTGATAGGAAACATAGATGATCTGTTGAATTCCGTCGGTGGTCGCTTCATCGGTTGTAATGACCTGCGCCATTTGATTGTTGACGAGTGTTTGTTCGTCAGTCTCTTGCGAGTTCGGTAAAATTTGCCACACTTCGCCAATCGGGGATCCTCCCGAATCGTCCACAGTTAGAACCTTATTTTCTCTGTGTACCTACGAAAATTAGTGATTATTACACATCATTAATGACTACGATAATCTATAATAAAAACTTAGAAGCAAAAATCATTAGAATACCTTTTTGTGTTTTGTTAAATTCGAGCAATCAGCAAAGGCTTTACCACATAGATCACAGGAATAAGGTTTCTCACCTGCAAGTAATACAATTGTTGCGACTTGGAGTAAAACTTTTGTGTCTATATATTTGGAAATCAACATTTCATAAAAACGATTTTTTTAATGTTTTAACGACAGATATATCTATTAACATTATTAAGTTCTACAGATTATATTATCAAATTAAAAATTATACTTTAATTACCAGTATGCAAGCGAACATGTTTCTTTAGTGCCCATTGTTCGGTAAATCCACGATTGCAATATGCGCATTGAAACGGTCGTTCACCCTTATGTCGTCGCACGTGACACTTCCAAGTGTCTTTATGCAAGAAACATTTCGCACAAAACTCGCACTTCCAAGGGCGCTCGCCAGTGTGCCGTTTCACATGCAATTTAAACTGGGATGATGTGGTAAATTTGCGGCCGCAATGATCGCAGCAATATGGCTTTTCACCAGTATGAATGCGCATATGTTCCTGCAGATTGCCATTTTGAGAAAAACTTTTTTGACATACATCGCAAGTGTACGGTTTGTGACCAGTGTGCCACCTGAAAAATAAACAGACTTTCATGCGTGCGATCTATGAATGACAAAAAAACAAAAATAACTCTATGGTCGTAACGTAAATTTTTTCTTTCTCCATACTATTCTGTATCTATCTTATATATTTTTATGAAGGTATATATAATGTTTTTATAAAGGTAAATTAAATAAAGGTAAATAGAACAATGAAAATTCAGAAATAAATCAGAGAAAATTACATAAAAAAGTTATTGTTCTAATTATATCAAATAATCATTTCCTCACAAAACTCAATTTTCCTGTCAAAATGTCAAAATCATCTACTGTTAGTTTATGAGTGATATTAATTTTAAACAAAATTTTTTCAAAATTTTATAAATTTGCCAATTTACTAATACAATTCATTAATATTTTTTGTTTACACTACCTTAGACAAAAATTAATAAAAATTTTCTACTAATGTTTGCAGAAACCTAACTCTGATTATTATCAATTGCCGATTTTAATTTTCCAAATCAATTGCTGCATAGCCGACTTTTTACTTATTTTTCCTATCCTATCCTTATTTTTCTTAAATCATGTCATTGCTTTTTAGACTACAGATTTAGAAGTAAGATTACGATTTATATATTACGAAATAAATTTACTACTTCCGCATACAACTTAATGCAATCATTATATTTTCGAACAAGAAACAATAATATTCTTTCTACTTTGCCCATTATTAAAAGAGCAATAGCAATTATATCCTTATATCCTTAACAACAAAATGTTGAGTAGCCATAAACAGGTACGTAATGTTTTATTTAAAAGTAAGGTCGAGAACTTGACTGTGTGTGGCAACTTTATTCTAGTGTGATAAAATTTGTTTAATTATCTTTAGAAGAACTAACAAGTAAGTCTACATAAATTCCAAAAGAAATTTTCAGAAAGTAACAGTTTTTAGAAAATCATCATTTTAACTTGATCTTGATAACATTATTCGAGGTCAAACGGATATTGCCATTAAATTTACCTTTTTTTGTTTTGTTTAAATGTAATTTTATAAATTTTGTCTGGAACATTTTTTTTTTCAAAAATGCATTGTTTACAAAATATTTTAACTGTTTCTAGATGTTTGGATCTTACATATTCGATAACAATAAAAATAAAATCTAAAATTTCTTAATAGCAATCACACCATAATCACCTGTAATGTAATGTGAGACTAGTCTTGTGTGCGAATTGTTGACCACAAATCTCACAGAAGTATTTTTTCTCACCCGTATGAGTAGACTGATGATTAATTAAATTTGCCTTTGTCTTGAAACTGGCATTACACGACTTACAAACATATGGTCGGTTATCTGAATGGACTAATTGATGACGCTGAAGTAGTTGTTTATGCTTGAAGCTCTTGCTACATTTGTTACAAACAAAACGACGTCCGTTGTTGTGTTCGGCCTCCTTATGGTATACGACAGAGCTGGGATGATTTAGAATTTTGCCACAGATATCACATGGGTATTCTTTATCCAACTTGTTTCTCTGAAATATTACATAGATATTAAAGAAAAACGGCAGATACTATAAAAATTTATCAGAGGATCTCATTATATAAAGATTTGTTATTTTGGCGAATATCCTTTCATTTGATAGAAGTAAAATTTTGGGATTTTAAAAATGTGGTAATATGTTTGTATTCTTCATGTATTCTTCAAACCATTAAATTTTTATTTGGAAAGTTTTTCTATCTTTTTCTATCTTTTATACTTTCGATAGTACATGCTTCAAAAGAAAAAATCTGATTTTTTTCAAAAACGTATTTTATCCCATAAAAGTCCGATTAAGTACGTATAAAAAAAATAAAAAAATATGTTCCTTATTTTGGTTTAGATTACAACATATTTCAAGTTCATCAAAATCGGAGAGGGGTACTTACATGTGTTTCCTAGTATAAAAAATTCCGAAAAAAATGCACAATAATTATTTAACAATAAACTTATGCATATGGAATATCAGAATCTAGTATGACACCTATGTTTCAAAATCTACATATTTAACTATGCCAAAAATCCCTGTTCATAGTCAGTTTCATACTAATTTTGAGGTATATGATATTATTCCAGATACCGGTATTTCATAAAAGTGGTAAGTCTATAGACAAATAATTTTCATGAAATACTTTCTGGAATTTCTTTCCACTGAGAGTTAAAATGACAATCGAAAGTTTTTAGTAATTGTCAAAGAAATTCGTTTAACACTTTACCTCTAATTTGACTTATTGAGTAAATTTCACAATTTACACCTTATATCAGTTTTTATCAATTTTTTATTTATTCTATTAATTCTACATTTGACAACCTTAATAATTTATTTTTTTGAACTTTTGCATCTTATGCTTCATCTTAACATGCAATTCGTGTGATTGTTCCAATATTAATTATTTGTTGCATCTTTTATATATGTAAATCTTCCACATATATAAGTAAATAATGTTATTAGTATCATACTTTACCTCGGTTGTTGATGCCAAAGTATCCTGTTCTGCGTTGGTTATCTCAATTCTTTCCAGCAAATTCAACGCTTCGGCATTCTCGCTTACAGAATTCGAATTGTGCGAAGTTGTCTTCTGATGTAACGCCAGATTATCCTTGCTAGTAAAGAGCTTCTTACATTGTGTACACTCATACTTCACGCTTTTGTGAAAGCTCCTAAAATATGTTTGATTTAAAAATTGAAAATTTATACGTATACTGTAAACATTCTGATTTCTACGATTCCAGAAATACAGAGAAGTCACAAGTATAAAGTTTATATTCGTTTACTGAATAGTGGACAACGCTTATTTTTCGACGTGTTTCGAGACATATTTGATATTCAATAAAAAAATTTGTAGGTAAAATTTCGAAAATGATCCATGCCTAATATTATAAATTGAATGCCAAAAGTATTCAAATAATATTATGTTATTGCCAAATGACATATTATTATCAAACAATATATTTAAACCTTTTTGACATTAAACTTTTTTGTCAGGATAAATATATTTACGGACATTTCCTCTTTTGAAATCATTTGAAATATTTCCATCAAAATTCATGGCAATAGTAGTTGGTATGAGTAGTTTTCGGAAAGTTACCCGAATTTATTTCTAGATAATTTTCAGAAAATAGCTTATTTTTATTGGATATGTTTTAAAATACGCTAAGAAGCAAAATATCCAAACTGTTATGCAAATGAGTGTATATATATGAAATATATATGAAATTTACAATAATAAATCGGAAAATTAAAATTTCAAGACTCTGAAAATTATGATATTCACGATATAATTTTATACTTAAGGTCTTAAATATTAAAGATATGTGAACTATTTGAGTTTAAACTGAATTAGATAAGATTCAATTAAAATCCTTATTCAAATGTAAATTATTTGAAATTTTCGAATTGTGATAATTTGAATACAGATTTTGTATATTGACAATCCTAGGCTACTTTCCTGGGCTTTCCAAAACGCTACTCTAAGTAACGGAATCAAATCATCGCCGTTCTAAAACGTGGAATAATACTATATGGATGGAGCTTATATGTTTCAAAAAATAGAAGTAAGTGTATTTGGAGTGAATTCGATGAATGCTGTTTCCGAAGTTAAAAAAGTAAATCATATGTTATTAATAATAACGCGAATTTATAAAAAATACAATTTATATCAATTGTTTGATACGCATACCAATTAAAAACTATCTATTAAATTATCTTATTAATTTTTATTAATATCTTTTATTAATACGTGTAAACAAGTATTATAAGAACATTCAATTTGTACACAGACTAGCATAATAGCCTTAATTTTTTAACACTACTAGAGATATTATTAAGACTTTATAATTTAATATATTAATTTCTTTTTTAGCCTCTGACATTTGCTTTTGGCATAAGACATTCTATATTGCTATTTAACACGTTTTTTCGCTTTTATTTCAACTAATTTTATAAATTACTCGATGCGTTATAACAAAATATACTTTGTATGCAATATCTAAACTATTCTACCTTTATCTTTATATCTTTACCTATATCTCTACCTATATCTTTACTATTTATTGTTCAAAATCTATTGAACTTAGTAACTTATTCAAGCTTACTTACTCTTACTCTTTCCCGACTAACTCAGGTCCTATAAAGTTAACCGAGTAGAGTTTTGGAATGCAGTCTTGGAAAGTTATATTTCTCGTTAATAAACGTAAGTGGCGCCATTATATGGCATGCCGAACATTATATAAAATATTTTGTAAATAAATTAAACAGTATGATCATAAGCAGTGTTGGAAAATTATGGTATTTCTTGCAAAGGCAAAAGAAAAATGGTATCTTATTTAGAAGTTAAACTTGGACCTCTCTACTTGCTAGATCTTAAAGAAATATCAATTAACATAGTACTAAATTAATAATATACACAATATACACAATTAATAATATACACAGTACTAATTAATACATAATTAAGAATAAATTAGAAAAAGCATAAATTATAAAATAGAATTAAATAATTAGGTAATAAAGTCCGAATACTGGTAATTGAGATTTGGAATAATTTGAAGGAGAAAATTAATTCACTGTGTACGTTACAAATAAAAAAAATATTCGACACAAGTTGTTGTCGTTACATTAATACCTACCTAAAGTTTAAAATTATTCACGATAATATTTAACGACTCGCATGTTACTGATTATCTTGTTATAAAAAATTAAATTTCAATAATTCAAACCAATTTGGATAGAAGTTCATCAACTTGATTCGGTAAAGAAAATTCTCGATTTCTCACATTTCTACTAAATATCATTTTAACACTAGAAACTAAGTATATACAGTGTTCATATGTAACCAACAGTTAAACTGCTTGCAAACACCAATCCATAAGTATTAAGATTTAATATACACTACTCAAAACAATTAGGGGAGCGCTTTAAAACTTGCAAAATTTGATGGTTTTTAAGAAGTCATATTTCAGTTTGGAGAGGTCGTAGAACAATGTTCCAGGGCGCATTTTAACGGGTGAAGCCTCGACTTTAAAGAGCCTAAGGTTTCATTATTTGTCTCATCGAACTTTTTTTCTCGTGAGGCCCAAAATCAGGTCGTGAAAAAATTGTGAAAATTTCATGATTTTGTAGCCATACACGAATAAAACAGGGATGGAAATAAAAGTGGCACCACACTCGCTTTGAAGTGAGAAACTTCCCCTTTAAAACGCCGCAAGGAACATTGTTCTATCATACTTTGGAGCCAAGTTGTCGCCTTTCAAAGTCACCCTTGCATTTTGCAAGATTTTTAGCAACACCGCCGGCATTCGCGTTATCCAATGGGGAGGTTGCTCGGTCGGATTTTGCACATCATGTGTATGGTGTATGTGTACGTTAACATAAAATGTGCGTGATGTGTATATGTATGTGTCAGCAGAGATAAGGACCCTCTTCCATTAAAGCGATTACTTGCGCTACTTCATTTTTGCTAAGATATCTCATTTTTATATATGCATACATACAATATAGATACATAGTGTTTCTCTCATTAGACTCTATTACAGACTTGCGAGTTGATATGATGCAAGTTTACTAGTGTAAAAGCTTCCTTTTACTTGTTAGATGTGTTTTCAGGTAATTGACCTTAAGTAGCACAATTTACATACATTTACATACATAAAAATGAAACATCTTAGCGAAAATGAAGTAGCGCAAGTAATCGCTTTAATAGAAGAGGGTCCTTATCTCTGCTGACATACACATCACGCACACTTCATATTAACATACACATACACCATACACATGATGTGCAAAATCCGACCGAGCAACCTTCCCCTAGTGCACATTGGATAACGCGAATGTCGGCGGTGTTGTTAAAAATCTTGCAAAATACAGAGGTGACTTTGAAATGCGACAACTCAGCTCCAAGATATGATAGAACAATGTTCCTTGCGGTGTTTTAAAGGGGAAGTTTCTCACTTCAAAGCGAGTGTGGTGCCACTTTTATTTCCATCCCTGCTTTATTCGTATATGGCTACAAAATCATGAAATTTCCACAATTTTTTCATGACCTGATTTTGGGCCTCACAAGAAAAACAGTTCGATGAGACGAATAATGAAACCTTAGCCTCTTTAAAGTCGAGGCTTCACCCGTTAAAATACGCCCTGGAACATTTGTTCTACGACCTCTCCAAGCTGAAATATGACTTCTTAAAAACTATGAAATTTTGCAAGTTTTAAAGCGCTTCTCTAATTGTTTTGAGTAGTATATTTCAGTTGTCATAGATATAGTATCTTAAAATCATTTTTAAGTCATATTTAATATGATCTTAAATATAAAATCTTAAATTAGGAATATTGTTATGAAATTCAATTCTATGACAATCTAATGCCAGTTCTCTAAGATTTTGCAAAAAAATGATATTACTTGTGTACTATGAATCTGCTGCGTTGCAGAAAACCTCTGCCACAAAGTTGACAAGTGAACTTGGTTTTCCGTCGGTGTAGCTTCGTCTTTCCTCGTGCTCGTACACGATTTACGACTACCAACTCACCCAAGTCTTTACCCTCTTCCGTTTCGAGATGACCAATTACTTCTGTAACACAAAAAAAAAATATATATAAGTGTGTGTGTGTGTGTGTCCAGGATGATTCGGAACAATATTTTGTCCTTAATATATCATATTCTTAAATAAATTTTACGATTATTTTTCTTTTTGCAAAATGTTATCCGATGCTTAGTTACTGAATTATTAAGTATAAATAGTTATAATAGCTATAAATAGTTTATCTATTATAGCTGGATGCAGAAGGCAGGCAGGGACAATTGATCGTTCGCACGCGCGCTGCGTAAGCGCGACATTGGGAACTTGGTACAATATGCTGATCGACGCATTCGCAATAAACACGAAACAATTTCTGTGACTACGAGAAACTCACATTCGTCATCTGTTGATTTGCTTTTAAAAACCACTTTTTGTATTAGCAAGGCTCTGTGCTTTAGAGGCAAGCGAGCGAAACCGATTGCTGCGATGCGCGAAGCAGACCGATTGGAAAATTGTAAGACAGGCTACGAATCACCCGACTTGTAAACGCGAATAAACATTACATTTTTAACCTCTGTTCTTTTTAATTTTACTTGCCACGAGGAAAAAGAAATGTCCATAAGTTGCGATCAAATCAGGCGTAAAATTAAAAATAAAATTCGCTAATTTTACGGAAACAAAGGTAATAAGCGCTAATAATGATAAAAATTGTTAATCACAAGATAAGCAATCTTTACAAAAGAATATAAATTCATAGATTCACTTAAAAGTAAAAATATCTTGAGCATTTTAAACGTAATTAACACTCCGTTCTTCTTGCTCGTATTTTTATAGTTTATTTTAAAGTTAAAGGAAGCTCACGTAATATACAGGGTGTCCTATTTTAAATGAGCCAGATAAAAATCTCGAAAAATATGAAAGATACTAAGAAAACGTTTCGGATTAAAGTTGTACGATTTCAATAGGGACATAAAACAACTATATCATTTTGTTTACAGATGGCGTTACTTTCGAGATATTCACTAATCTTACTTTTCTTAAATAGAAATTCTAATTTTTTATTACATCATCTTTTCCTATCAATTAATTTGAACAACTTTTGTCTGAAACATTTATTTGCTTAATATTTTTTTAGATATTTAAGGAAAATTTTGTAACTTTCCCAATATTTAACTTACGATATCTCACTAACTATTTGTCGAAAAAGAAAAAAGAAAATAATAATATTAGACTTTTTCTACCCTATTTAGTCTTAAGAATATATTGTTACAATAATGTCCCAACTTTTGTTAACTTATCGACTTTTGGAAATTTCAAAATCAAATTAACTTTCAAAATCAAATTAACAAAAGTCAGAGTGCTATTATAACAATACAGGGTGGCCCACGTAAAGTATTACAAGTCCATAACTTTAAAAATATTTATCAAATAAAAAATTGTTCATAAGGAAGTTTCATGTATTCGAGAGACCTCTCTACGTACATAGCTTGTACATGAACGTAAAGTCGCCCCCTTTTGCTTTCCCTTTCGTTATAACAATTACATATGCAAATAAGTCCATGTTCAAGATAAAAGAAAAATATGTAAAATGTTAAAAAAAAATAACTCTTTTCTCTATAGGAACAACTATTATTCATAATATTGAACAAAATTTTATGATGAGTTGTCTTATTTTTTAATAGCATAAAAGATACTTTAATGTAGTAACTTAAAAAAAAAAGAAAAAAAAAAACGAATTTTCATTAGTAAAATAAAATTATGTCGATATAATAATAATTCTGAGTTTCTATATAAAATTACGTCTCGACATAATATTAATTCAATTATAAAAATCAATTCTTTTTAGACTTATTCTTTTTAGACTTAGAATTATGTTTTAAGAGTTTGACATTAGAAAAAGTATGTTACGAAAAAGGTATGTCTTTTATGTTACGAAAACTTAAAATTATAACGACGAAATAAAATTTCGTTCAATATTATGAAAAAAAGATAGATCTTTTTTTATAAATAATGGAATGTAACAGTCTACAGGATACTGAAAAATAAACTGTTTATTTCCGTCCCGTATTCGTACACAAGTGTAAAAATTAAATACAAGAGATCACCATGCCAATGAGAATATCTGTTATTGGTTTCTAAATAAGAATGAAGCCGACACAAATTTTCAAATATGTATCATTATTTACGCACAAGAGTACATTTAACTGTCATAATAAACATTATTATGAAGTTATTAATTTATGTGTAGCTTCCAACATATATGGAAACTAAACTTTTGGGCATTTTTGAACGATATCAACAATAATTATTGAACTCACTCCACTCTCAGATATTTTGACGATAAAATATTAAATATCTTTTGATCTATTTGCAATTTATATCGGTATGTACTAAAGATGGTTATTTTATAGAAGATAAATTATGCGAATTTTTTTAATACAAGACTTACTAGATCTTTTGGAAGAAATTTTTGTAAAGAATATTTTTTCAGTAAAATAGGACACCGCAGCATGCTGAGGTGTTATGTATTTTTTAAATATTTTCCCGGTCGTTAGAGTGTAATATGGACTGCACAGAGAATCCACACGGTATAAGAAACTTTTAATTTGGAATGAAAGGAGCGAAAGAAGTATGTAGAAAAAAGTGCTTTTTAATATTTTTCTTATTGATTGTTGGCAATGACAATTACGCGATTGTTAGATTTTTTTCTTTGAGATAATACGAAGTAATAATAATTGTTATAATATAAAATATATTACAATATATATTATAACACATATATAATATATTATAATATTATAATAATAAAAATAATTGTTATTATAATAAATTAAATAATTTGTTATAATTTTCATAAAGAAAAATGTCCGTATTTTTTAACAACTTACATATTTTTCTTTTATGTCGAACATAAACTCATTTACATATGTAATTTTTATAACAAATTAAAAAAAATCATTACTTCAGAGTAACTGGACAAAGCCACTCGCAAGATTTATTAGATGATTCTTCAGATTTAAGTTTCAATGCAAAAATTTCTGAAGAAAAAGATTATTAAAAAAATAATTTAAGTTAAATTTTATTTTTAATACAAAATAATCTTACGTATTAACGAATATGTAAGAGTATTATACGTTGGCAGCGCGATGTGCGCGAAGACAGTACCGCGTTGCATCATCGTAGCACTTTATATTATCAAGCATTCGGCTCACTGATGTGCGGCCGGCTAAAGATCGGTGATAACTGGCGTCACTTTATTCAATAATTATTGCTTGATTAAGCATAATAGAAAAAAATGGTTCAGAATTTTTCTGACTCAATTTCTCATCAAGAATAACATTATGTACTTAGTGAGCATTTCTTTAGTTACATCCTGTATATGTACATATACATACATACATATATGCATATATATATGTGTATGTATGTGTATATATAATAGAAATGTTTGCACTATATTTCAAGATTATTAAAATATGCAAACCTTCCTGCCCTTCCTGAATAGAAGAATTTAATGCTTCTTCAGAATCATCACGTATTTCAAGATCATCATCTTCTTCATCTATTACACCCTCTTCTTTAAAAATTCTTTCCAATTCCTTCCCTTGTACTGCTTCCATATATCTAGGCAAATTCATTAATTAATAATACTTATCAAAATAATAAAAATTTTTTCTTTTAATGTACCTTTTAGGAACTTTACGTTTTCTTCTGCACCTTCTATCACCATCTATTTCCTCAATTTCTTCCTGTTTACCCTCTATACCTTGATTCTCAGTTTCTATAGGATTTTCTTTTGTTTCCTTTTATATAATACATATAAATAAGAATGTTTCCATCTATAATAAGTAATAAACTAACTTTACAAATTATTACAAACCGAAGTATCTGCTTCTGTATGTACTTTAGGTGGACGTCCACGTTTTCTTCTTGGTTTAGTTAAACCTTCCATTTGCAAACTCATTTCATGTTCTGCTGCATACATAGATCCATCTGACATCACTAAAATTTAAATAATGTTTGGATTAAATAAAATACAAATTTCTTTTTATTAACAGGAATAAATATAAGCAAAAGATCATGTTACCTTTAACAATAATTTGTTGCTCATACTGATCATCCTCATTATACTTAGCTATATTATTTGTATTTTCTCTTTTATCTTGCAGACGTTCAGTTCTATATTGTTCCACTTCATGTTTCCACATTTCTCGTAACTTTTGCTGTCCATTTATTAATAGTTGTAAAAATTGAACTGTTGCCTCTAGTTGGATGTTACAACCTGGACAAATTGTTCTTGGTAACTTGCCATCATCTCGAACCTACAGAAAGATAATATATAAAGTAAATATCTTAATGATAATCATGGTATTAGAAAGCTATACAATTTTAAATATACTAATATACCATATTTTAGTTAATAAATATACTAGTATCTAATTGACTTCTTTTCTGAGCCTTGTGATATATTTTTAAATATTTAATTACTTGAAATTCTTTATAATTATTATATATTGTAACTTAGTACCTTGTAATTTGCTAATTTTGTACTTTTATTACACAGTAATCCATATTTTTGTATTTTATTCAGGTTTTTCATTAAAATAATAATAGTAACAATTCATATATAAAATATAAAAAATTCATATAAAAAATATTGGAATATCTAATCGTCATATAAGTTGATTTTGAGTATTTAATAATATATATAAATGTCAACCTATTGTACATATATTATATAAAACACAAAACAATTAAATACTTTACCTAGAATAACTAAAAATTAAAAAAAAAAAAACGATCAATATACGAAATGAACAAGCAACGTACAAAATAATGAATATTGATTAGTGTAGTAACTGTACCGACTCATGAAAATTAGTACAATCAATAGGAGATCAAGTTATTGTCCGATATTCAACTGATGTTTTGGAAGTGCGGCAGTAGCTCACCTTTAGCGGCAAATATCGATTCACCAATGAACTCAAGTCCGTTTCACCCGGTTCACTGACGAACAACAACTCATTACCATTGTCCGCTGCGCACAATCGACAAATTGTTGAATCGTACAAATGCACAGCTACCATTTCACTGATAAAGGAAGATATCAATGTTGATCACTAGGAAAGCAAAAATAAATAAGACGCGTTGAGTATCGCTATTATTTAACCAACCATTACGCATCAATGTACAAACATTAAATTGCTTAGAAATACTGTCTCATGTACTAAAAGAGGTTAAACAGTATTTCACTCTTAGGCCGTTCTAGTCAGAATTAAGGCATACGAACCAAAAAGGATTAGATAGAATGTAAAGCGCAATATATTTTTGAGTACACGAGTTTCAGCGCCATCTTGTAAGACAAGTATCTAAACTAACACTTCCCCAGGGTATCGATCACGTAACTTTTCCCCTAGAGTGAAAAGTGAAAAATTTCTCGCCCAGTCGCCCAGACAACACAAAATACTCTAAAATATCATGTGTGTGTCTAAAACACATTTAAAAAAAGATAGAACGTCATTTGGATGTTCTTAAAACATCTTTTTGTAATTTTATGTTGTTTAGCTATAATCATACAACTAGGAGAAACATGGAAACGTAAACTTTTCACCAACTTTTCGTCATTAAACTTGTTAGCGGAAAAGTGAAAATCTAGTGACACGACGAATACGGAATATAATATTATTACTATTGCGTTAAAAACCAGTCGATCGCACGCGCATTAATTTTCCTATCTTCGCACGAATTGCATTATATTAATATTTTCATTAGTATTTATTAGTATTTATTATGGCTGTAGCATGGTGACTATTTCGAGTTGCAAACGAAGAAGAAAGAAGAAATTTCAGGATACAAAGGAGAATTTTACGCGATATATCTAATCCTTTTGAAATATTGGAGAGTCAACTTATTCTTTTATATCGGTAAGTAAACTGCAGCAAATAATAAATTTAAATAAAACGTTACACATATTATTGTAAATAGTATTAAAAAATATATAAAAGTTTATAAAATATTAATGAATACGAATATTTGTGGATCACCACTAATTTTTCATTTTTCACTTTTCGCTCTAAGGGAAAAGTTACGCAATCGATACCCAGAGAGAAGATCGTGGGTTTGTTCTTTTCAGCTGAACTGCTTCAAGTCCTGCACTTGAACTGCATTGGTTCAGAACCAAGGTCTGTTTTTTATCGCTGAACTAGTGTATATTCAGGAAACATAAAAAGAAATAGATATACATCTAGGAGTTAGTAAAAGGGAGAGAAGAGAATAAGTGCAAGTTAGTGCAGCCAGTTCAGCAATAAAAAAACAAACCTCTAGAACTAGAGATACCAGATAGGATGGAAAAAACGCCACAGTGCAGAAAACAACATGGCAGTACATATTGAGTGCATCCAAAACCACGAATGTTCACTGAGCGCTCACAGATAGTCGCTCAGGCACATAAGCAGAGAGAAACCTGAGAGCGGTCATCAGCGAAGATTCAGAAATTTTTATGAATTCGACGCGCCCCCTGAGAAAATAAACGTCAACTACATCGATGTTGCTCGGTAACGAGGTGTGTCTGTGATAGCTTAATTCATATCTGAGCTACTACACAGAATATAGTAAAAATTATATATATATCATCAGGAGGAATTATCCCAGCAAACACAATAGGCCTGTTCGTTTTGTCTGCACTGCTGAACTGGTGCAACAACCCGTACAGCACAGCACCGTTGCAGCAACGTTGTTTTGCAAGATTGCAACATTGCAGAAACGATGCGAAATGTTGCTGCAATCTTGCAACAAAGGTAAAATGTCCGCTTGCAGCAATATTGCAATGAAATATTGCAGTAACATTGCAGCAACATTTGTAATATAATTTGTATGCAATATTGCTTTATATATATATATATATACACATATATATACACATACGTATATATATATATATATATATATACATGTGTATATATATATATATATTTATATGTATACATATTCATGAAAACACATTACACATACATATGTATACACATGTATAGAAACATATACGTATGCGCACACACGTATGTATGCGCAATTAAGTATACAAATGTCAGAGGTATATGGATGGATGTTAATGATTGTATACAGTTGATGGTCTTCATATATTAACAAATAGAGAACATATTCCAGTACCAGATTTACAAGGTTGTCCCAGCATAAGTCTACTTGAAGGTGATAATAAATCATCCTTTTTCCCTGCATATATTATAAAAGAATAATATTAGAATGATAATTTACAAAACATGTATGACGAAAAATAATACTATTAATAGTCTTTTGTTCATTAACCCTCTGCGAATCAAATGAATAAAATTCACCTTAAAATAAAAGTCACCCTAAATCATGTAGGGTTTTAGAACATAGAAAAGAAGAATAATATCTTTTTGAAATCTAAATAGAAATAATTTTTCTTTACACTTTGTTTTGAATTGAAGTGGAATGCCAGTTTTTTTGCTCATAATACAGCAGTTTTAAAATCACTGAAGTTAATTAAACCCCATACGTTTGCAGAAGGTTAAATCTATTTTCATATGTACAGAGTGACCCACGTATGACGACTCAAAAACTCTAAAAATATTTGTTATATCAAAAAATTGATCATGACAAAGTTTCATGTTCGAGAAGTTTTCCTAAGTGTATAAATAAAAGTCCGTACCCGCTCTCCCCTGAAGGGGGTGCGGGGTAACTTTATAATTTTAAATGTTACACATTAGGATTCTATGGGAAGAAACAAGTAAACTTTATCTGGAACATTTCTTTAAGAAATATTTCGATCAAAAATGATAAACATTTAAACTTTACATAAAGTGTATTCAAATTAAAATGATAAAATCATAAATTAAGTAAAAAACTTCATAGTTTACCACATTTTTATTTCATTAAATGTTCAAACTGTTGATTGACCACTCACATTTAAACACATATTAATTCTTTTTGCAAAATTATGTCTAAATAAAATGCTTTTCTGCGGTCACGCTAGTACAAGCTTCACGTATTCTTCGTTTTACATTTTCCAGAATTAACACCATATCAACTTCCACGTCAAATTGAGCTTGACTTAGAACTGACTAGATGTACATAAACTTATATTTGTGTTCCGATGAATATGTATGAAGAATATTGTATTCTACTCAAGTCTTCTAACAATAACAAAGACCTTGATACTAACAAAAAAACAAACACATAATACACGTACACGCACTAGCGTTGCCATCCATTTTCAACCCTGGGATATATCAAAGAAAAAGTTATATTTCAACCACCCACGACAAAAGAAGATTTAAAACGAAGAATACGTGAAGCTTGCGTTAGCATGACCCTAGAAATATTGTTTAGAGTTAGACCAAATTTTGTAAAAAGAATTAATAAATGTTTAAATGTAAGTGGCCAACAATTTGAACATTTAATAAAATAAGTAAAAAAATGTGAAAAACTATGAAGTTTTTTATTTAATTTATGGTTTTATCACTTTAGTTTGGATGCACTTTACTGTAAAGTTTAAATGTTTATAACTTTTGATAAAAGCATTTCTTAAAAAATGTTCCAGATAAAGTTTACTTGTTTCTTCCCATAAAATCCAAATATGCAACATTTTAAAGATCTCGTTTGATATTATTAAGTTATTTCATAATTTTGTCTAACTCTAAATAACATTTCTGGAGTCATGCTAGCGCAAGCTTCACATATTCTTCGTTTTTAATCTTCTTTTGTCGTGGATGGTTGAAACACAACTTTTTCTTTGATATATCCTAGGGTTGAAAATGGATGGCAACACTAGTGCGTGTACGTGTATTATGTGTTTGTTTTTCCCCTGTTAGTATCAAGGCCTTTGTTTTTATTGGGAGACTTGAGTAGAATATAATATCCTTCATACACATTCATCGGAAAACAAATATAAGTTTATGTATATCTAGTCAGTTCTAAGTCAACTTGACGTGGAAGTTGATATGGTGTTAATTCTGGAAGATGTAGTTATTCCGCATCCCCTTCAGGAAAGAATGGAGGCGGACTTTTGTTTATATACAGGGTGTCCAATTTTAAAGTTTACAGTGTTATATTTCGCAAACTGATGATTTTATTGAAAAATGTTCCAAACAAAAGTTGTAGGGTTCAGATGGAACATCTGACGGTGACCTTGGCTTGACCTTAGATTATTGTTTGAAGGTCACATAAAGGTAAACTTTAAAATCTTAAATGGAATCCCCCATTTTTTATTACATATTCTTGTTACATATTATTACATATTATTACATATTCTTGTCCCTTGAATGAATTACATAGCCCTTGTCGAGACGTTTTCAAAACACTACTTTTGTCTTTTGCGTAAGCTATTCCTAAGATATTAAGCTTCAAAGTTGACATACCACCAGCATTCGCGGTCCCCGATGTACACCACGGGGGGAGATTGCTCGGTCAGATTTGTACATTATAATGGCTCTAAAAAGAGATGATTGTGTTTGTGTCTGAGTGTGTGTGTGTGCGCGTGTGCACTTGTGTGTGTGTATCTGTGTGTGTCTGTGTATGTCTCTGTATATGTGTCTGTGTGTACGTGCGTGTTGTGTGTGTGTGTGTGCGCGCGTGCGTGCATGTGCATTGCGTATGCGCGTGTATGTGGGGGGAGAGCTCATTCATCATAGATGTCGAAAACGCCGCCATCGACAGCTCGGCATACTCGAACTCGCTTTTCAAAACTTTCGACGAGTTTCACAAGAATGTTTGCTAGAATCGCTCGGCATTTCTGATGCGATCCATCATATTCTGCCGCGTCGTTGGCGGTCGATGGAACACTGCGTCTTTAAAAAATTTCCATAGATCAAAATCCGGAGGAGTAAGGTCGGGTGATCTTGGTGGCCACCAAATTAGACCATCCCGACCTATCCATCGATAAGGGAAAATGGCATCGAAGTGATTCCCGAAGGAAAGTAAACTATGATGTACAAATTCGACCGAACAACCTCCCCGCGGTGTATATCGGGTAATGCGAATGCCGGCGGTATGTCAATTTTGAAGCTTCATATCTTGGGAATAGATTACGCAAAAGACAAAAGTAGGTAGTATTTTCAAAACATCTCGACAAAAGCTACAAGAATATGTAATAAAAAATGGGGATTCCATTTAGGATTTTAAAATTGACCTTTACGTGACCTTCAAACGACAATCGAAGGTCAAGCCAAGGTCACCGTCAGATGTCCCCCTTTGAACCCTACAACTTTTTGTCCAAAACATTTTTGAATAAAATCATCGGTTTGCGAAATATAGCATTGTAAACTTTAAAATTGGATACCCTATACTTAGAAAGACCTCTCGAATACATGAAACTTTGTTGTGAACAATTTTTTGATATGACAAATATTTTGAAGTTTTTGAGTTGTCACACTTGATGTGGGCCACCCTGTATATATCTAACTAAAACAATTGTTTGTGTTTTGAATATTTTTATATTGCACTGTCTATATACACAAAATCCATTATTACTCACCTTGCAATGTCGCAGTTTTTAGAAAATTCAATGAACTTTCGAAGCTCATTTGCTGCAACGGCGAAGATGAGTTTTCCATTCCTTTACGACTAAGTGGTTGAAATGTGCCATCAAACGTCATGTAATCTGCGATTAGTGATAGATGTCTAGAGTCAACGGTGATGCCATACATTTTAAAGACGTCTCTAATTTCTTTTATAATGACTCTATTTGCAGCTTCAATCCCATATGTCTGAGAAATATTATAGATGTCGTTGGAATATAATTTATTTAAATTAAGAATACTGTCATATTTAAACATTTCCTGCAACAAAAGGAAATATATTATATTTATAAAAAATATAGAAGAATATATACATTTGTATAAACTATTTATGATTTATATTTTACTTACCACTATGTTTAAACCGTCCGTTTTAAGAATCATTTCACCTTCATTATTTTGGAAAGTAAAGGCTTTTTTGATATACGGGGTTTCCCATAAAACAGTTTTGCTCGCAACATTTCTGATTATTGTTGGCAGATCTAATTTTATCATTTTAAGCGGTAACTGAAATGAGAATTAGATATCTTAATATCTTGATAATATTCGCTCTTGTTACTTATGTTGGTACTTTTATAAATAATAGATTTTATATATTCTAATAGGGTTTGATTTTCGAAGTTAACAAGGTTTTTTCTTTTATAATTATTTGATTCTAAATTAATGTAGCATGAAAGAAAGTAGCATGACAAATCTTTAAATATGACAAATACTTACCCAAAATGTAAATTGACACCATGAAAATTTATTCTCATCATAATCATAATCCAACGCATTCTTATACATATGTATAACTTCACTTCTTCTATTAGAATTACGTTTATCATTTTTCCTGTAATTTAAGTTTTCTGTCATATCATCATCATCATCATCATCATCATCATCATCTTCATCAAATTGATTGTTTCCTAAATCTTTATTCGCATTATTGTCTGCTTCTTCATTCTCATTGTTCATAACATCTTCCATTTCCTCTTCTTCCGGATCCTCATATTCTTGATTTTCTCGATGACGTGATATCGATCTATTCATCGTGGCATCAGCATCTTCTGCAGCTCTTTCTTCATCGGATGATTCATGCATCTCTCCTAAGTCTCTCTCCCCCCGCATGTCTTCTCTTCTTTCTCTTCTCACACTTTCTTCTTCATCAGGATCAGCCTGATCTAACATTGCATCCTCATTATTTGTCCGTTTTCTATTATTTTCTTCGAAGTATAATAAAGTGCCAGTTATTTTGGCGATTTTCTTAATTTCCTTAAATATATTTTTGAAAAAAGTTTTTTCCGTCTGTTTAATCACGTACTGCGGATGAACAAAGAACTCTCCCTTATAATATTTATAAGGAAGAAACTCTATCTTTATAGTGTGCACTAATCTTCTATGCGGGGCCTCTTCCATTTTTCTGCTTATTGTGATTATTTTTAATACGTCGCTCAAAACACATTTAGTTAATTTTACGCGCAATTTCTTCGACTGCTTCGTGAGTTTTTGCAGATTGCTTTTGAAAGGTATCTCCATACTTGGAGTTTTGATATTCTTCGATGCCATCATTAGAATCTCTCGTAACCTAGGAATACCTAAGGTTACGTTCATGTCTCCACGTCCTGCAAAATGAAATGTATTCAGAGTCATTTGAGTGGATGGTTCACCAATAGATTGTGCTGCTAATAAACCGACTGGTTCGCCGGGTGGACAAATGGTTTTCATAACCTTCATAGATAATAGGTCCCTCAAGCTTTTCTTGATAATATTTGGTGAATGGGAGAGATATTCTTCCAGTAAGCTTTCTAATCGTTCCGATAGTACACCAAATTCAACATCTTGTCTATACTTCGACATTATCGGATCGGGACACCTAACACATTGTATATGAAACATTTTCTTCATTTCCTTATCTATTTTCATCCATTTTTTTATAAGTGATAACGCAGCCTTAGTCCTTCCACAATTCTTCTCGACGCTGTTTTTCTTTGTATTATTATTCTGATTAACATTCTCCATAGAAAATTTACTAAATTCACTGATCCTCCTTTTCTGTAAAGGAGGACCATTTTTAATTTTCCATTTCTTAATTTTCTTTATTAACTTCATGATTTTTTCATTATTACTCGATCCTGTTTTGAGATTCTCTAATGCTTCTGCATCTACGATAGCATCTTTATTGTCAACTAAAAATGGTATTTGCTCCTTTTTTAAGAAACGCGAGCCGGGTATATCGAGACCATCTTCGCCATAGTAAAACTGAATCAGACTACCATCAGAGTCTCTGACTGTTGAATCGTAATTGATAACTAGACCCTCTAAATGTTTTATAAGACATCTTTGTAAATATCCGGATCTGCTTGTTTTAACAGCGGTATCGATAAGACCTTCGCGACCTGCCATACAATGGAAAAAGAATTCCTGAGACTTGATGCCAGTCATAAATCTTCCTACGATGTAACCACCGGCTCTAGGTGTTGAATCATATGCCTGAAAACTCGGTAAACTTTTTCCGCTAATCATTAACGGCGGTCTTTTACCTTCCAACTCGATTTGTCCTAATAAACACGATATCTGCATAGTGTTTACTGTGGATCCTTTCGCACCGGATTGTACCATAAGTTGTAAATTATTGTCAGGAAATTTTTTCGAAAGTCCCATTGGTAGACATGTTTTATTGATATCATTGGTGTAAACATCCAGCATATTTTTATACTTGCGATCAACCTGTGCGCGAAACTTTGAGTTACTCCAGTAGGATTCTTCTGTTTTAACTCTGACTTCGTCCATAGGTGTATCATCGGATAGCTCTACGGCAGATCTCTGTATACTACTCCCGATAATTTTACTATTGGAGATAATTTCTTTGCGTTTCTCGTCAGCCTCGCGAGTTATTAAAATATCTTCGATACCAAGCGTGAATCCGTTCCATTGTAAAAACGCTTGGAAGAGTTTGCCAAAAGCACTCAGCATCTTACTCGCGCACGTACCACCGTACAATTCATAAATACAATGAATAAGACCATACGGAGTTGCACCATAATGCATTTTATCGAGGACACCACACAATAACTCACCATGTCGAATTATAACTTCCATTTCCGACATAGTCTTTGGGTCATCAAATTCTTTTCCGCATTTCCAACGTCGCGGTTCGTTCACCTGCCACTCCTTCAAACTGATTTTCGTGTTGGAAGTTAAATTAATTCGCGCCTTATTACCGGGGATAATATTGATAATGACAGTTGATAGAATTTGTTTACCAGACCACTGTAATTTCGGTTTGATAATAGCTGGAGGTAGAAGAATGATATCGCCTTGTTTCATTGACAGTGCGGTGTAAACCAATTGCGTGTAATCCGCCCTCGAAAAAAATCTACCTCTTGATGTTAATCGTACTCCGGACACCATATGATCCTGTATAAGACCACTCAATGGCGTTCCATCTTTCGGTACAAGATATTGATTTGAGACACTAACTATATTGTAACTCTCACTTCTAGCTAGTTCGTTTTGCGGGAAATGAGCGTTCATCTCATCACCGTCAAAATCTGCGTTGTATGCTTTGCAATTCGCATAATGAAGACGTAAAGTTTTTTCCCCCTTAAGAATACGTGCTTTATGAGCCATTATACTAGGCTTGTGTAACGTCGGTTGTCTGTTCAATAATAATACATCTCCGTTTTGCAAGTGACGGTATATCACTTTAATGCCGCTAAAGAATTTGTTAGTTCTGCTGTTCGTTGTGAAGAGACGTTTCGCGACAGCTTCTCTCTTTGTAGAATCATTACTGCTGATAGCTTGTATCATTCCATCCTCGTTCTCTACCATAACTGCGCCAGGATGAACGTCAGGTCCATTCAGAATTAATCGTCGCAATTCGACGACATTCCACGGTGTCACTGGCACGGGATACGTCAGCTTGAGAGCAAAAGCTTCAGGAATACCGATCTCATCGATGTTCAAGTTAGGATCTGGAGTGATAACTGAGCGCGCAGCAAAATTTACTCTTTTACCCATCATATGCATTCTGATAATACCTTCCTTCTTCTCGATAATCTGTTTCAAACCCTGACAATGAACCGATTCCGAAGTCTTACTCATCTCACGATCCATCAAATGGTCCACATTGACTTGTAGTCCTTGCCAAGCATTATGCAATTTCTCAATTGCTGTAAGCCCTCTTATCTGTTCGAAAACTAATCGACCTTCTTGAGGTAATTGATCAGTACCTCCATCTTGAATTGTTTGTATAATATTTCTCAAAATAAGACAGTCTTGCATGATGTTTTTGTATACTTGAGTTTGTGGATGTTCAATCACTTGGCCGTGAAGTATATTTACGGGCCGTACGATCGGTGGCAATACAGGTATTACTTCGAGGAAGAACACATCAGTGGGATATTCGATGTCCATTAAGTCCAAACAGGGTATAATTAACTTAAGGAAATCCTTTTCATTGTTCCACAATTTGCGCAGATATTCTTTAGACTGATCCGGCATAATCATCACTGTCTCTAATTTATGCACCACTGTGCTAGACACCATTTCCTTAGGAGCGGAATCCTTAGAATTGTTCAATTTAGTTGTCATTATTTTATTTTGCATCACTGAAATCTTTGGTATGACTTCGTGACAATTAATACATATTTTTACAGCTTTATATTGTTTGAGTATATTATCAACGTACATATGCCATTGCATATTAATATTCTTTGTATTCATTTGATTTTCATGATTCTGAGGCACACCACAGCTGAATCTGTCCCTGTTATAAATATTTTGTATGTAATTGTCAATGAAATCACGAATATATTCTGTTTGTGCCTCTAAGACGTTCGGTATCTCAGCTACTGTTGATGTTACTTCTTGATCTAAATTATCGATATCACTCAGTTGTCCTTCATAGAGTAACTTCCATTTGGCAGATAATAATAACTTGACGTATGGTGGTATTTGAAAGGTGAAACACGACAAGCATGACAATTTGATTAACATGCATAATACTTTATGAAATAATGGGTTGACAACCGGCATTGACAATTCTATGTGTCCAAAGTGACCCGTGCATGTATGGACATTACCGCCACATGTACCACATGGTTCCGAATTACCCATTAATGGGCCTGGAATAAATTAAATATATATTTGAGTAAATTTCGTATATATACATATACATAATAAGATATAAAACAGTTTATTATCTATTTTATATATATTAGTGATGTGCGAACTTCGAATTCGAATCGAATCGAATTACATTAGATTCGACTCGAATCTGAATCTCTATGATTCGAATTCGAACAATTCAAAATTAAAAATCAATAAGATTTTGATCAAAACATTGCTTTTTTTAGCTAATGAGCTCTATGTATCCAGTGGATTGTTTAAATATGGTTTAAACTATTTGCTTTCACATTATTTCATGTTATTTCTAACATCTAAGAATATACATATTATAAAAAAACATTAAAACTGCATCCTACTTATGGAACTTCTTTTGTTTATAACTTGCCAATAAACAACATTTGCTTTGTTTAAACAGTATGGATATGTTTCTAAGAATGCGAAGCCTCTTCTCTGCTTACATATATGTAAAGTTTATCGTACTTAAATGTACACAGTGTCGAGAAATTGATTAATGAAACTTTTCTTGTTAATAGTTTTTTAACAAATAACGAGTGACAGCTAAAACCTTTTGCATGTTCCTCACAATGACGTCCTTGACAACATACATCAAGGTTAATGTCATTGCAGTATTTTCCCCTAAACAGGAATTTTACTGATATTTTAAAAATAGTTAAAATCTCTTATTTACAAACTATTATAGATAAATGTATTTTACCTAAAACTGGATCATACAATCCACCCTTTAAAGGATGTCCAAGAATGTTAAAAGACAATGGTGTCCTAATTTTTGTTACACTTAAATTTCTTATATCATTTGCTGTAAATACAGAGAACATCAAATATTTTGGATCCAAATGTTTTGGTGTTGTGCGTGGTTTATGCCTGAATTTATTCATTATTGTGATATTCTTTCTAATTCTTGTAAAAGTCTGTAAAAAGAGATTATTTTTTTATAAATTTTGTATTGTATATATATCTACTAGTAGTATTAGAATGTTAAAACACATATATATACATATGTAGCTAACCTCTATGTTTGTAGTAAAATACATTGTTATAATGCCAATATGATCATTTAATTAATGTATATATATAATGCATTTAAATCTCTAATAATAATTATTATCTTTTCAATTTATATAAAAATTATATATTTTTGTGTAAAGACACCAATATATGTACTTAAAAATAATAGAAATGGCTTATATTATTGTATCTATAAAATTTGAGAAAATTACCAAACATTATTTTATCTTGAATATACTTACAAATTACACAAATATTGGTGAGAAAATAATATAATGAAATAACTAATATAATAAAAATAATTCAGTCAAAATAATAGAAGCCAAGAACAGACCTAAATTCACTTTTGGACAATAATGGAAAACTAAATAAGCCGGTTATACCAGAGTAGGGATGGACAAATATCGATCGATGAAACAAGCATCGATTCTTATTTTCTTGAAAAATCGATTATCAGACCGATATTTTTGGGGCCGATTATTCCCTAGATCGATAATTTTTTTCATCGATTATATTACTAGATTTGTTACTAAATTTTTATCACTAGGGAATTTGTTTACTACTATTCAGGCCCATCTACAATAGCTGCAAAAATAAAGCTATAACAGTAAACACTAAAAAATAAACCAACAATAGTCGACTATTATAAGAACAATCGACTCTAATTGGTTTATTTCTCGTAGTTTACGCTTATAGGCTGCGTTCCGAAATCGACTGCCAATACTGAAAATACATAGTTTGTGTCACGTATACTATAGATTTTCAGTACTGACAGTGAATTTCGGAACGCAGCCACAGTCTTCGGCTGGTCTACAATACGTTCGGGAAGGGAATACGGGAGTAGTTCCCCTGATTCCCTCCACACCGGTCCGAAAGGTAGATACCCCGGTGGGGTTTTAGCCGGTAGGAGTCCGGCATAATCCCTCCCTAAGGGACGGAGGTATCCATGATAGATTTCCCCATCGTTATAAAAAAAAAAATGGTCTACAATACATGTTGTAAGCTGTATAAGCCGTAAGAACTGTTCAATTATAGCCGATTATGCATTTTTGAAATATTTAATCATAAATTTTTATTGTACAACCATATATAAAATTATATGATATAATATATATATTTTTTCTTTCGTTTGACATATTTATATATAAGAAAATAGTTTGAGAAACTCTAATAATTTTAACAGTTATAGTAAGATGAACATTAAGCATATCTTAGTAAAATATATAAATTTTAATTATTTTAACAAAATTTTAGATCTTTCGATGAAAATATTTGTGAGATACACAATATATGAATAAAAAAAAGATCTTACTGAAATCATAATCTTACTGATATCACAAATCTTATGATTCCAATAAAATTTACTCGTTAACAGTATTAAAAAAAGTGTAATATTTGGGATCTGAAATATGGTTACTATAGACAAAATTGAACTGGAAATTCAAAAATCTAAAAAATTGATTTTTTTAATTTTAGGCTGGAACAATTAAAATGCAAACTAAATTGATTCTAAATGTCATAATAATCAATATTGTGAGTGACTGATCGAGCGGCATTTTAGCATAAAGAGGATGAGAAAGATATGCATCAGTGAGAAGATGCAGTGGATTAGTTGATAGAACATAGTATTTTATTTTTTATTACTGTTTTTTTCGCGTCAATTGTGCACTAGCAGCATTGAAAGTAACGCACTTTTAAAGTCAGATGATCGCGCTTTTGGAACTATATAACTCCGAAACTATTCGATAATGTATTTCGGTAATTGTATTATGACATATAAATCAATTTAGTTTGCATTTAAATTATTTCCAGCCCAAAATTTGAAAAATCAATTTTTTGGATTTTTGAACTTCCGGTCTAATTTTAATTATGGCAACCATATTTCCAGTCCCAAATATTATACTTTTTTTGATCCTCTTGATGAGTAGAAACTTGCAATCATCAAATTTTGTCTACATTTTTTTAATGAATTTTAGTAAGATCCTTTGCTAATATCATATACATATTAAGTTAGTGTCAGATCTGAAATAACATAAAATAACATAAATAAAATAACATAAAAATGATTACATTCGAAAATGCGCAAATGTGTAGCAGAATTTCGCTTCATGTTACGCATTATGCATGCAATCTCGTAATGTTATAACGTTGCAATGAGTACACTATTTAATATTACGCATCGCCAAGCGATTATTAATAGATTTTCAAACATTTGGTATAATGTTTCGCTTAAAAGTTCGTTTCACCGCATCACACACGTTAATTAATTAATTCTTTTTCATTAATCCCAATACATATCGTAATATTTTATAAAATAATAGAGAATTTTTCTACTTAAGTTAATAAGGTCTATCTGTACACAAGTGTTCGAACATAAATCTAGACACTTTATATATTCATATTTTGTTTGACCTGGCTTCCAAGTTGTTGTGTATATTGTAAATTTATTTCCGATGTTTCGTGAAATACCAGTTCATTTCTATAGGAAGAGGAACTACTTGAAGTTATCAGTATTCTGCAATAATTTCTTTTAACTATTTAAATAGCCATTTTAGGATAATTAGAATTTAGGATAATTAGAAGAAAGAGAACGTTTAGTAAGAAAAAAGGGAAGTAAGTAAGGGAGGAAAAAGTGATTCTGGTTTCTTTTAACACCGAGAAAATGAGATACAGCATTAGACTGATTTTTAACCAGTTATTTCTGTTGAGATTGTATAGGTGTATTCTAAAGATCTCTTATATTTTCGAAAAAAGAAGACGTTAAATTTAGCTAAAATATTTGGTCAAATAGGATTTTCTTTTGTTCCTATGTGATGTTTTGATAACGCAGATTGTACTATATATTTTAGTTTAACGACAGATCGATGTTTCTTATATATCAAACCGCAGCAGGACTAATACGTGGTTCTGTATTAACAGGTGAGACAGGACTTCCATGAACTTCCAAATCGAATTCAGATGTGGATAAAGAATTTCTCATCACTCTGTTCCATCTATTTGAACTTTCATTAGAGACCATATACGTTTGTTCCATCGTTGATTCGTTGATTGTCGGCCTTGTATGAGCTCGTAATGCTTCTTGATGTATAATGATCTCGTTAGTAATATATGCTTCGCGACGTATTTTATCGCGTAATTTTGGACTTATATCAGGAATGCACCATCGTACAAAAATTATTACGAGTGCCACAACGTTCTGAAAAATATGTAAATAATTGTGATTGAATGTAATTATTGTCAAAGTATTGTTAAATATCAGAAGAAAACATAAATATTGTGTTAATGGTATCGCTGATTGTTTATTGAAAAATTGTAAGCGAAAAAGTTTTATACGTATGATTTTCCGATATTTTAGATATTAAAACATAGTGTAAAAAATTTATGAAAATCGAAGGTACGTATGTAAAACGGTACATGTAGACTAAATAAAGCAAGAAAATCTAGTACCACTTTTTCTTCCGACAAATAGTTAGCGAGATATCATAAGTTAAATATTGAAAAAGTTATCAAGTTTTTCTCAAATATCTCAAAAAATATTAGGCAAATAAAGAAATGTTTTAGAAAAGAGTTATTCAAATTAATTGGTAGAAAAAAAACAGTGTAATAAAAAATAGGGGTTTCAATTTAAAAAATGCAAGTTGACCTTCAAATGACCTTCAAGGTCGAGGTCAAATTTGAGATCATAAAAGAACAGAACCTTATGAACTCTAAAACTTTTGTCCGGGTCATTTTTCCCTATAATGCATAGATTCTGAGATATGGGGGAGGTCCGTTATTTTTGAAAAACTTGGTATATATTTATATGGTGTGTGTGTGTGTGTGTGTGTGTGTGCGCGCGCGTGTGCGTGTGTAAAATATATATAAATATAGAACTCTATCATGTAAGGGAAGGAGAATATAAAATATATCAAATATGAAATTATTGCTTATTATTTCAAAGTTAATATGATAAATATTGTTGTTAAATACATGCTATCCAAATATAATATATACATATTTAAATTAAAAATACGTACCTCAAAAACGACGATAAAAGCTAATCTAGCTGCTAAAACATGCCAGAACATAATAGTATATTCATATTTATTTGTTGAGTCTGGTGGTTCTCTGTAACCTGGATAGCGACAAACATCGACCGAATGTTGACCCAATGAAGGTATTGGTTGTGTACCATTTTTCAGATCACTAGTATTAAATTTTGATAAAGAATGCTCCAAAAAACCTTCTAAGGAGTAATTATCAGAAATCGTTAAACGATAGACTAGCCTTGGTATGAAGTTTGAAGTAAAGGCTATGATAAATGCCTAAAAAAAACGGATTGTATTTAACAAATGGTATAAATAGTAAATAACAGTTAATTATAAATAATAAATTTCAAGATAATGTTTCCTTTCGCTGCTGATTTATGATAAACAAAATCTATTTTTCCTTTAATAACTATAAAACGAGATTTTTTTATCTGTCGTAACTTTCCTTATTTTTTACAGCATTAAGTATTTTACATTACGATATTTAGATATAAATAAAAATTTGGTAAATATTTACCTATGGGGGCCACTTCCCGATCTCAAAAATTTTAATTGTATGTTATGTAGATCATCACTCTGAGTAGTGCGGGAAGGTTTTAGCCGGCGGTCACTGTTTATTAAAAAGTTATTAACAAAAAAAGTTTGATATATACGTAAGTTGTAAATGCGTTTAGCACGGCGCGTTGCGCGCGCCCCACCTCCATTCTCTACTCCACCCCCGCCCCAGCCCATCTTATCCGCCTCTCTTCATCTCCTTCCCATTGTTTGTTTCCAATCACTTTCGGATAAATATCGGGGAGTGGGGATGGGACGCGCGTAGCACGCCGTGCTAAACGCACTTGCAATTTACATATATACCAAATTTTTTTTGTTAATAACTTTTTAATAAACAGTGACCGCCGGCTAAAACCTTGCAGCATTACTCAGAGTGATGATCTACATAACATACAATTAAAATTTTTGAGATCGGGAAGTGGCCCCCATAGGTAAATATTTATCAAAAATTTTAATAATATAATTGTTGACTATATTTCAATGTTCTCTATGTTATTTATATTTATTATATTCTATATACTTCATATATCCAGTGTGTCTCATTTTAAAAACGCACCTCGATAATTCTTTAACAAAGTATTTTCAGCAAAAATGTTTCAAATAAAAGTTGTATGATTTTAAGGGGGACAAATGAAACAACTATATTATTTTGTTTACAAATGGCACCACTTTCGAGATATTCACTGATCATTACTTTTCTTAAATGAAAACCCAAATTTTTTATTACACCGTCTTTTTCTACCAATTAATTTGAACAACTTTTGTCTTAAACATTTTTTATTTGCCTAATAGTTTTTGAGATATTTGAGAAAAACTTGATTACTTTTTCAATATTTAACTCACGATATCTCGCTAACTATTTATCGGAAGAAAAAATGGTACGAGACTTTTTTGCTCTACTTGGTCTCAAGAATATATTGCTGCAATAGTGCCCTGACTTCTAATCTCATGATTTTGAAATTTCCAAAAGTCATAAGTTAACAAAAGTCAGGGCGCTATTATAACAATATATTCTTGAAATTAAATACGACTTGAATTCTATTTGGTTGTTGTTTAATTGCATACATATTATCTGACATGATAGATGATATTTCTTTATTATTTTTTATTAAAATTATGTTAGTAAAGTATGTACACAGTTTGTAAAGCTTGCTTTTAGCAGACTTAGCTATTTGAGTTTATATTAATTTCTGCTGCTGATGAAAATCCGTAAAAGAGGATCGGAATGTACAGTGCTTTTTGATTTTTAGTTTGTATATAGTTTCGCTTCAAGACTAATATACAGGGTGTCCCAAAACAATTTTTGCAAAGCTCGTAGAGACATAAACTAAATTAAGATAAATATAAAAGTCCAATATCGTTTTGAGTTATTCACAATAATCAAATTATTATAACAACAGAAATCTGACGAATGAGTACGCGCCGAGATGGGTGATTGGAGAAGCAAGCGTTATAGCCGCTCGAGCCATAGCACGGCCTAGTCAATTTAGCGATTGCTGCCGGTGTGCGGCGAGGGGAAGGACAATGCGCCACTATTCATGTTTTATCTCGCCGCACCTACGTTTCACTGCACGCCGCTAATAGTTGCTGGATTGACTGGGTCACGCTGTGGCCCAAAAGACTGTAACACTTCTCTAATCATCCATCTCGGCGCGTACTCACTTGTCAGATTTCTGTCATTAATAACTTGATAATTATCATGAATATCACAAAACTGTATAGGACTTTTATGTTTGTCTTAATCCAATCTATGTCTCCACGAGGTCTGTAAAAATTGTTCTTGGACACCCTGTATAATACTATCACATACCAATACTTGTGTTTGGCTCTTACTTGTCTCTTATTTGCATGTAAATATATAATTGATTGTATATATAATTAATTGTGTAAGAAAGAATAAGAACCAGTCGCTGTAAGAACTAGTCGCTGGATGCTGTGTGAACATGATAGTTTAATCAAACAGCAAAAGGATAAAAATCAAAAGGATAAGCATCAACTAATAATAACATTATATCAATGTTATAAATTCACATATAGAAAAATTCAAATATAATATAACAAATGTAATATATATTGTACATAAAATAGTTATATCGATTGAGAGCAATTATAATATTGACATAATGTTATTACCAGTTAGTGCTTACTGGGAATGTTCAACAATATAACTTACTCGCTAGTGACATTTTACCAAGTTTTCAACATATGGGGAGCACTAATTAATAATCAATTTACCATGTCGAAAACCGTAATATATCTCAAATGATTGTAATATTAAATATTTTCTTTTCTATATGTTCCAAATCTCTATATAAAGCTATTATTAGTGGTTTATAGCTATTCATTCTTGCCTAAATATAAATGACAATCGGTGAATGCACTTGAATGTAAGTAAAAAATACTTACGTTAGTAATGACAGATAATTTAGAAATGGAATCCAGAATGCGGTACCAGATACCTATATCTCTGACTCGCTGTCCAACTGGCCTTCTATACATAGTTAGCAGTTTTTTTGCATCCAATCTCATTTCAAACACATTATTTAGCAGGGCAAAAAATGGCGCCAAAGGAAATGCAGCAACAAAAATTGTAACAAATCCATATTGTAGCACTAGAAAAAAGAATATTATAATTTTAAACAGTTAAAATATACACTTTTTTAATTATTATCTCGTATATTTATATACCTATATAAAATAATTTATTTATACCTATATAAAATAATTTATTTAAGTAATGTATAAAATTTTATCAGAAATTAAGCATTATTTAAAATGTTTTTAATTAAAAATTCCAGAACTAGGAGGTAGTGCAAGTATGTGCAGTATAAGGAATGCAGCTTAACATATGTTGTCAAACATCACTTCGAGTAATGTTAAAAATATTTCGTTAGTAATATAAGAAAGCATTATGTTTTCAACGTTTTTATGATGATAATCATCCGATACGTGAAATTTTTAATAAAAAAGAAACAGATTAAATTTTATTTTCTTGTTTTCTAATATTAATCTCTATAAAAAAAAAGAAATATAATAAAAATTTGTAACTATAACACAGTATTAACAACTTCAATAGACTTTTCAATATGTTAAATAAAAAATTAATGATTTAACAAAATATTCCTATCAATATTCTAACAAGCTATTCTAACAAGTATTTCTAATACTTTTATTTTCTGACGTAGTTGATAAATTTTGATATATTTTTTCTTTAAGAAGACCCCGTTAAAAAAATCTGAAAATATTAAGTCTACTGAACGGACAGATAAAAATACTGCTGCTTTTTTACTGTAATTATTACTGTAATCTCTGTCTAAAATATAATAACATCATTTTGAGTCTAATATTTTACATTTCTGATTTTTAGTTTTCTTTTTTAGTTTTATACTTTCTCTTTGCTGTTATAAAGGGTGTCCCATTTTAAATGATCCAGCCCAATTTCTTGAAAACTAAACCTAGTAGACAAAAGTTTTTCAGACAAGTTGTTTGGCTCGAAGGGGGACTGTTTGGGACAAAGATTTGCAGCAATAGCAATAGGTCAGAGCATAGATGCAAATGGTCATATTGTCGAAAAACCTCTTTGTTTCACAAGATTCTCCTTAGACTCGAGGTGATTAATATGTGGTGGTTTCTTGTTGCCGCAAGGCTATCTCATGAACTACTCACATTCAAATATAAAATAAACTTTATTATGATTATACAAATATATATTGAATATGAAGGTTAGGATACTCGGTGTGCTAGCCGTTGTTGAAAGCGCAGGATCGAATCTTCTTTTTGCAGAAATATCTGCTTCTGACAACGATTAGTCATGGATAATTTGTTCTGATTAGTTATGCTACTTCCGTCTCCGCGCACAGAACGATTGTATGTGAGTGCAGATTTAATATCCACACAATAAAAAATTCAGTCTAGGAACTTTTGAACCGTACTATATATATATATATATAGTTCTCCCATTACATGATGTACGAAAACCACAACTTTGAGTCGCTGTAACTCGAGAACTGTTCATTAGAGGACTTCATCTATTGATACTTTAATCTACATATCAAGAGCTATTATATAGCAATATTTTCAAAAATATGATTGAAAGCTATTTTCTATAAAAATTCTGCGGAATCCCTTCTATGAGAATAATAAATTGGTATTAAGTAATTTATAATTTTACATCATATATTAATTCTATTTTTGCCGCCAATTACACGTCATAAAATGACGTTTAATGAATGTAACATATCGATATCATTCCCGACTCTTCCAAAAATTTCTTAATTGCTCTATTCATGACTAAACTTTATTATTCTTTCGATGTTATTTTGCTAGATTGGTTGTTATCATAATATACAATATGTGTTATTTTATATTTACCCATTTCCAAGTATTCGGGAAAAAGACTTCTGGGGCCCCATTGGACTAATTTATAATCTCTAATCCATTGCAGAAATTTTCTAGACGAATATCTCTTATCATTATCTTTTGGTTTCTTTGACCCCATATGAACTTTCAACGTGTTCATCCATTTATAAAATAATGGGTAAAGCATTTCCAAAATGGTATTCATGGCTTGCTTGCCAACCATAATAATGCTTAGTTGAATACATAGCTCCAAAAGACAACCACCTGGCCCACATTCTTCTTGCCGGAAGCCAAAAAAACGGTTATATTTTCCTGGATAACCAACGAATTTTCCCTTGAAAAATGCTATATAAAATATGGAAGCATAATAATTAACGAACTCCAGCAAATAAATTTTTAAAGTTAAACTGTCATCAAATTCAGTTTGCGTACGAAGCAGTTCGATCTGAAACAATATAAAACAAATCTTGTTATTATGAAATAAGAACATAGAGCACACATATATATACAGGGTGGCCTACATAATTTTTAACAGCTGAATATTTCGGAAACTATTCGTCAAATCAAAAAGTTGTTCATGAGAAAGTTTTATGTATTGGAGGGCCTTTCTAACTACATAAATATTAAGTTACTCCCTACCCCCCTTAAAGGGGGGCAGGGGTTAACTTCGCAATTTCAAACGGGATCCCCTATAAAATGTTAGATGGTTGGGTTCTGCGATAAAAAACAAGTAAATTTTGTTCAAAACATTTTTTGTTAGATGTTTCTGTTAAAAGATATGACGATGTAAAGTTTCGAAGCTACAGGAACGTAAAAGCGTCGTGTATCCTTGTCTTTCGTTGGTGATTCAAACGTAAACAAATATTTATACATTCATTGAGGTCAATTTAACTATTCATGAAAATCTTGTCAGTTGTATGTTACTATTCAAAAAGTTAGCATTGTGAAAATCATAGCTATCACTATGTTTGATACAGAAGTGAATATATTATTAGTATTAGGTGAATGCCAAAAGAATTATCGGCGTGCAGCAGTAATGTTTTTTGAACGTTATGGGATTAAAAAATCGCACGTGTCATTTTTTAATGTAATTTTTTTTTATTGTGAGTTGTACGCAATTTACCATGTTCACGAAGTCGCTTTTCTACATTAAAAAATAACTATCGCTGCAGCCTCCTTGTGGCGCACTCCGGGGTCGTGTTTATGTTTTGAAAATGTTTATTACAATTTCATTTAACTTAACAAACAATAATATGAAAGCATAATCTTAGTCCTTAAATCGATATAAGAGAATTTTCCGTGCGTATTAAACAGACGACAATGCATCGGGGATTAAAAATTCATTAATTTGGACATTAAATTCGGATTCCTTGATGTCGAGGACATAAGATTAGTGACCTTTTAAATTTAATTATGCATTTTTAGCGAAGAAATAAGGTGAGTTCTTTGTGACGTAAAGCGCGCGCCTTTTTGGCGCGCGTGCCAGTCAAGTGATTAATTAAGATTATAATTAATACCTATAAAATGTTATTAACTCTTTAACTTAATAAATTACATTAACTTTTTAAATTGGACTTTTTAAAATTATTAACTCTCTATTTTACATTATAATAATTTTTCCTGTCATATTTAATGTAATAACTAACGCATTAAATTCTAAGAATCGAAGCATATGTTGTATTACAATTACTTTTTGTGTTATTTATATGTAAATAGATTTTTATATACACATATAAATAAACTTTTATGAAACGTTACCTCTGTTAAATATTCCGCAAGCCAAACGTAGATCCAATTAAAGAAAATGATACAACAGAGATTAATAGTTGCAGCAGTCGCAGTGGTAAACAATATAGCATAACTAGTTACCATAGGATGTCCATAAACGCTTAATGCTGTTAAAACAGACATCCTGTATAGAACTACTCCAAGTACGGCAGCCATTGCTACAGCTATCTATAAAGAATTTTAATATACAACTATAATAACAATAATACAACTATAATAACAATAATGACAATAATGTGATATATTTAATATATTATATTTAATAGTGTAACAATTTGTAAGATATCAAAATAAATCAAGAATTTTAAAAATATCAATACATAGAGGCCATCAAAATTAATTGAAGTATTCCCTAAAGGGGATTCTTGCAATTTCATAAGATGAATTATTAATCTATTTAAGCCGGTATAAATTATTTATTCAAGTATAGCATCTTTTAGAAAAGAATACCATACTTGAATATTTTAACTACAAAACATACTGGTTTTTTTCTACACAGATTAGTTGTACAAAATTATAAATGTTTTATATAATAAATGTATGTGTAAAAATGAGTTGGAACTCTGCTCAATATGTGACAAAAATGACGAACAATATCAAAATTAACATCTCGAGTTATTAGTATCAGTTCGAGTTAGCATAAATATTTATTGAACATAGAAGTTTCATAGCTTGTAGGAGAACAATATGATGATTAGTTTGATTACTTACTTTACTTTGATTATTTTTTCATGTTTTTTCATACTAAAGTCTTTTTTTGGAAGAAAAAACGGACCGAATTAATTCACACACCTAATAGAATTCGACAACTCCTCGGAAAATGGCGTAAATGTATAGAAAGCGAGGGAGATTAAGTTTAGTAAAAAAGGCCGAGAATTAAACGCATATAATATAATTACATCTAATTCTTTTTTTATCTTGTTAAGTTACATTTGGATCTTATTATATAAAAATGTGGTCCTCTGATATATTTTTATTAGTTCGAAAATGTAAATTATAATATATTGATTATCAAAGTTTTATGTGACATAAATATATAAGATTTTAAGAAATCTTTTTATAGTAAACATTCAACTTACACATTAAATTATAAAAAAATAAATTACAAAAATAAATTATAAAAAGAAATATTGAAAACAATTATTCTTGATCTATATTATACAATTTTTCCTAACAAAATAAAACAATGTTATCAACTATAACAAATGTTTGTTTTATGTTAAACATGTTCTTATTTAATTTTTTATTTGCTAAAATAATGCGAAAAAAGCATACCAAAAGTAGGACAACTGAGAAACTGAGAATCGTGGCAGGTAATCTCATTTTCCAATATGGTACCTTTGGTTCTTCAACATTTGTGATAATATTGATAGATTTTTTTTTTATATGTGCAAGTCGTGCTAAATATTGCGGCCTGGGATATTCTTCATGAACATCCAACCCAGTTAAATCCCATCTATGGGTGATTTCAGCAGAATATTTCTTCCATAATTCTAGGAACAATGTAGCTAGAAAAAAGCAGATTTATTATCATGAATGTTTGATTATATCTTATATAATAATAATTATACATAAATATACATACAGGGTGAAGAAAAAACCCCGGGACCCCTGAAAATTTCGAAAAATATACACTTTATAAAAAAATGTTTCAGACAAAAGTTGTAGCGTTGAAAAAGATCTATTTACCGATCTTAACAATTTGACCTTGAGTGGCGTCATCAAGATCAAGACAAGGTCACCTCGGATTTTTTAAATGGAACCCCCAATTTTTTATTGCATATTCTTATAGCCCTTCTTCAGATCTTTTCAAAGCACTATAGTTTTATCCAATTTGAATAAGCTGTTCTGAAGTTATCGAGTATTTTAAAGTAAGATATCTAGCCAACTAAGGCAAGATCGGAGGATGATCCGGCCAACTAAGGCAAGGTCGTAGGATGATCCGGCCAACTAAGGCAAGATCGGAGGATGATCCGGCCAACTAAGGCAAGGTCGGAGTGATCGAGCCAACTAAGACAAGATCGGAGGATGATCCAGCCAACTCGTAAAAATAATTGAGCGACTAGCTTCCAGACGTTGGCTCCTATTGGCTTGTCTTAATTTCGTTGATTGATTTATTTCAGTTATTTATTTATTTGAACTATTCTGCTGTTCGATGTTTATTTCTTCCATTTACTTAATTTGCCTTTTACCTTAGTTGGCCGGACAACTCCCGATCTTGCCTTAGTTGGCAGGATCATCCTCCGATCTTGCCTTAGTTGGCCGGATCATCCTCCGATCTTGCCTTAGTTGGCTGGATCATCCTACGATCTTGCCTTAGTTGGCTGGATCATCCTCCGATCTTGCCTTAGTTGGCTAGATATTTTACTTTAAAAAACTCGATAACTTCGGAACAGCTTATTCAAATTAGATAAAATCATAGTGCTTTGAAAAGGTTTGAAGAAGGGCTATAAGAATAAAAAATTGGGCTATAAGAATAAAAAATTGCAATAAAAAATTGGGGGTTCCATTTAAAAAATCCGAGGTGACCTTGTCCTGACCTTGATGACGCCACCCAAGGTCAAATTGTTAAGATCAGTAAATAGATCTTTTTCAACGCTACAACTTTTGTCTGAAACATTTTTTTATAAAGTGTATATTTTTCGAAATTTTCAGGGGTCTCGGGGTTTTTTTTTCACCCTGTGCATATATGCATATGTGCATATATGCAGGATAACCTATCGAAAACGAAACAAGTGTATTTTTTAACATTTAATCTAATTTTTTCGAAAAATGCTCGGACACGTTTTCTGTTGCAAGGGGGACATAATAATTGGATATTTCCGTTCATTAAACTTCTCTATAAGACTCAATTCTATAAGAGTAGCTCATTTCACCATAAAAATTTTAGACAGCAAAGGGTGTCTAGCAACATACCATTTGACAATGTGATAAATTCGTTTTACAACGGTATCTTACTTTTTGAATTCCGATCATTATTTCTCAAATAAACACGCTCCAAAAGAAGTGTACTTACCAAACTAACAACTTACATGTCAGCATAGTAAATGTTAGAAATGAGCAAGAGACATTGTATGTTTTTCCTGATGTAAACAACACCAATGTGCCTCTTGAATTTAAACGCATTACAGTCTGTATCTTTAACGCTAAGCAACATGTAATCGTATTTTGTAGCATTCGTTACCAACAAATTTGTAATTATAGCTTATTCGATTGTGAAAAAGATTGAACTGATTGAAATTTTCCAATATTAATCCAACCAGTTAAATCAACAGATTTTGAAACATCACAAGTTCTATCCATATAAAATTTAATTATCTCAGGCACTCAATGAAGACGACTTTGACTGCCGTTTGCAATTTTGTGAGGTTGTAAGTGAACAAACGGTTACTAATCCAAATTTTCTGTTCTTTTCCAAACATCTGCTTTTCCGACGAAATGCATTTTTTATTTAAATGATACAATCAATCGCTGTAATTGTCGCTATTGGTCAGATTCTAATTCAAGAATACTTTATGAAGTATGTATCCAACACATAGAAAAACTAAATGTTTGGGCTGGCATTTATGATAATCGAAACGTTGATCTTTTATTTTTACGTAATAATTTCACTGCAGAGATGTATGTTTGAAATGCTGGAAGATATCATCGATCAAATGTTAACTGATATTATCAAGAATGATGAGCATTACTTTGAAGATCAGTTGGTATTCCAACAAGATGGAGCTTCTCCTCATTATGCACTGCTTGTTCGATAGTACTTGGATCAAAGATTTCCAAATAGATGGATTGGGAGAAAAGGTTCTATTGAATAGCCCGCAAGGTCACCAGATTTATATCCGCTAGATTTTTTTTTACTTAAAGGGATCACTTAAAAAGCAAAATATACGCAACTGAACCAGCTTTTAATTTTTCCGATCGCCCCATATGAATCAGAGACTTGGACATTCAGAGCAAAAGAATTAAGGCCTTTGAATGAATTGCTGTCGAAGAATAATGAGAATACCCCGGAATACCCGGATACCACAGAACAAATGCATCAACACTCAAGGAACTAAAGATTAGCCAGCACCAATGCTTACTATCTATTATCCAACGACATATACTGAAATTCTTCGGTCATGCCATCAAGCAAGACAGCATTGAGGAGTTATGTATTCAAGGCAAAGTTGATGGAAAAAAGAGAAAAGGCCGATCGTCAAACAGATTCATAGATCAAATAAAGACTCTCACGAGCCTCTCGACATCAGGACGATGAGAATAGCGGAGGACTGGGACGGACGCATGGCGAGGGATAATCGATTCACGATCTGAGGAGCATTGAGGTTACGACACTCGCAAAATGCAGAATTAATTTCATATAAATTATAATGTAAAATAAATGTTAGCATACCCCATAGCGACATGAATATCGAAAAAAATACCGTCGACGGATTGTCGAACAAATATGTAATCCTTGCATGTAAACATGTCTCTTTGAGATCCCAATATCCACAAAAATGATCACATAACGGACACATTTCAATGATACCATTGCCATTACAAATATCTTCACTTGGTTCATTGGAATACAGAGTAGCACAACTGTATATAAAACATAAGAGACCAACAATACTCGCTGGTATTAACATATGTGTATAAAATCCAAGCCAAGCAAAATAAAGTCCAATCTTCACTCCAAAATACTCTTTAATATAATCCAGTGGCTGATAATGAAGACACTTTTTCAAACTGGCCCACTCAGTGTACAAAAGGTATCGCATAGAGTCTGGAGTATGCAAGTTTCCCTGAAATACAAATAATGAAATGCATAATACATTAGATGCATTAAATATTACATTGATATATTAGATACGACTTGAAGTAATTTTTTCACAATTTTTAATAAAAACCAAAATTATTAAACAAATAAATTGATAATTATATATAGTTTTAAATATGTAACACATAATATAAACAATATTACTATCTTTGAAATTTATACAACAGTTTAACGCATTGGCATTGCCGAGCGTATTTAAGCTGATTTTCTATTTATAGCTATTGGATTATTTTATATTAATACATTCGTTGCATGTCAATCACCAGTGATCGACGAAGCATAAACAAGAGTTCATAAGAAAATTGTCGGAACTGGCCTTTATCGATTTTTATGAGTGCTAGTTATGTCATAAAATAATAAAAAAAAATATATTACACTCCTATTTATTCTTATTTACTTATCTCAATATTTTAGAGTTGAAATAACTCATCAAAAATAATAGATTATTTAAATTTTCAGCGAATATCTTCGAAATAATGACGTACATGGAAAAATTTATATAAAAATGTTATGGTTTATATTAAAGGGATATGAATGAGTTTTTGTCTTTTTAGAGTTGAAGTTTTGGAAAATTTATTCAAACGCGAAATATTATCTTTTTTATAATTCTGCTTTTTATGGTTCGTTGTATTAACATTGAAACATTCTAAATGTTATATGACACGATGCAGCGACAATTATACTTCAAAAAATAATAATGATTACCATGGCTGACAATAAGCTGTATATTCGATACTGCATTTAGTAAAAGTTTCAACAAATGAAAAATGCAGGTAAAATATATACATGGTTTGTCCCAAAAGTAATGAGACTGGTTCCATAAAAATTGTTTTATTGAAAATATTTTTAAGTATATTTAAAAATCTTCAAAGTAGGCTCTTTCGGCATCGACACAGCGTTTCCAGCGGGTCTGCCATTGGTCGAAACATTTTTTGAAGTTCTTTTCCGGAATTGTCTTCAGGGCATTCGTCACAGCGGCCTGAACTTCGGGAATGGACCCAAAATGTTTCCCTTTCAGCCCAGACTTGATCCTCGGGAACAAAAAGAAATCCAGTGGTGCCAGGTCTGGACCAAAAGCTCGCGAGAAATTGCCACACGGGATTCCTTTTATTCGTCAGTCAAAATCTTCAGAACCATTTTCGCACAAATTTTTCGCATGTTGAAATCTTCGTTAATGATACGATGCACATCACTTTTTGGCAGTCCAACCCCCTCAGCAATTAATCTCACACTTAAACACCTGTCTGAGTCCAACACAGCCTTAACACGCTTCACATTATCATCTTCTTGATGTTGATGGCCGCCCGGCGCGTTCTTCATCTTTCACGTCTTCCTATCTTTCTTTAAAGATTTTATGCCACTTAAACACTTGACTACGGAACAAAGTTTCACTCCCGTAAACGCTTCATTTAACATCTCAAACGTGTCCATAGCGGATTTGCGAAGTTTAACACAAAATTTGATTGCGTAGCGCTGCTCCAAACTTTGTCACATATTAAGCCGTGACGCGACATAAAATCAGCGTTCACCTCACGCACTATCAAATTTCTAAAACAGCTCAGAAATGATTGACGACGATTGGGCCATATACCTAAATCCCCCACCATCACACCAGGCTCCACTACTCCTCCCCCCGCTCCTCAATCCGGCGGGCTGGAAGCAGTCTCATTACGTACTTTTGGGACAAATTGTGTATATCTATTTATTCTATTCTTGGCGAAGGAGCTGTATCTCATGATACATATGAGACATTGTTTGATAAATCAGTGACTTCCACAAGAAATGGCACAAATCACAAGTCTAATTTTATTTTTGACATTTGCTATCTTATTTAAGTATATATACAAAATTTCAAGTAGATCAAATAGTTTTTTGACAGCGTTCGAAAGCGAATAAGTTTAGGTTTCTTTACTACAATAGAAAAAAAGTGAATTTTATGTGCTGATAAAATACTATTTTTTGCATCCAAAAACAACTAACGAAATCTCTGGTCCGGCGACCATCTTTGCGCGAGCGATTGCGAGCCGAGTATTGGGCGATAATTGTTCGAGATGCTCAGCGTCGCGAGTCAAGACTTATCACCGCGCCGTTACCGTCTTCGCCGTCTACGCGCGTCGCGCAATAGGCCCCGCCTATCGCGCGGCTTATCCATCCGTAAGCCCGTGCGTACCGCACCGTACCGACACGCTTACCGAACGCAACCCGGCACCGCCTTCGGGGCCGAACTCTTGTACACCTCTAAGTATCAAATAAAGCTAACATATTTATATTGCTATCAGACGTCTCGCTGCTTTCCTCCTTATCGAACCCGGACTCCGACGAGCCTTATCCGCGCAAAACGCGTAGCGACGACCGAACCGCGGAATTCGGCCGTTACAATATAAAAACTCTGAAAAATGTCTAAAAATTCTTAGTATTTAAAAAAAAAAATTGTAAAAAACGATATGTAAATTAAGAAATTTTTTTCTTTTCACTAGAGAAATACAACATTGTGACTTACTAATTGTTATTTCTTAGTAATTTTAAGATATTAATTCTATTAAGTAATAAAAAATTTTTGATGATTTTATAATAATTATTAATTTAACTAATGATGAACATTTCATCATCACACACATGAAATTCATTTGTATCATAATTAATCTCATAAAACTTAAATATAAAATGGCACCCATATCTTAATAAAAATTATTACATATATAAAAATATAAACATGACTTACATCATGAAGAGAATATGCTGCCACATATGCACGTTCAGTTATTAGCCTTTCAATACCAAATGCGAAATCATCTTCTTTAGTTTCTGTGAATTTAGTTCTATCCAATATAAACTGTACGATACGTGATCGAGTGGCAGATGAAAAAAAATTCGGTGAATCTAAATCGAATAAGTATTCCTTGTCTCTACTATATACTGCTGTAAAATGGTGTTTCATTGTCGGGAAGACAGTCGTATCCACGTAATACTTGCTCATAATTCTTCGTACAAATGTATTTACTTCTTTTATAATAACATTATTATACGTTTGAGGTATTTCACATTTGAGCAGTTCTTTCATCGGTAATCTGAGCTTCAGTATTTCGGCGTATCTTCGTAAAACTTCTTTGGTGGCATGAATCTTTATAAAATGTAAACCGTTTGGTTCCGCTTGTTCATGTTCCAACTGCAGCCCCTCTTTTTCCAAATTTTTCTCGAATATCTGAAGGTATAATAAAAAAATGTTATTGTTACTTCATAGAAAGTATAAATAAAAATCATATTTTTTAATAACTCTTAATCCACTAAATTCAACTTTACTTATAAAAGATTCCCAATTTGTGACGAAAATTTTAAAATTAATCGAAAAGACTAGTATTAGCATTGCGTAAAGATATATTTAAAAAGAAAAACATAAGAAGCACTATATTAGAAAAAATAAAAAAAAAACAGAAAAAGGGAAACATATATATATATATTTTATATAACTATATTATACAATATATTACGTAATATATATTATATATTTATAAATTATTAAATAATATTATATATATTATATGTAATATATCAGGTTGGCAACAAAGTCATGTCGTTTTTCATAGATGGGTTTACTTGTCATTAAATGCAACTCTAACTTTACTTCAAATCTTTATATCACTTGACAGATAACAACTCAAACTTTCTAAAAAAAAAAAAAAAAAAGAGAGAAAATGCATCATTCGACTTGTTAAAGAATTGTTTGTTTGACATTGAGTTAAAAATAAATAATCAAAACAAACATTTCCGCCATATTTTATTTTTTTACATCTAAAAAGGAAAGAACGCTGTGCAAGCCCGTCAAAAGTTATGTGCTATGTATGATGAGGAATCTTCAATAGAACGCCAGTGTCAGCGTTAGTTTGCTCGTTTTCGTTCAGGATATTTTTCTGTGAAAGATGCATCATGATCAGACTGACCAATTGAGGTCTATGACGATAAAATAAAAACATTGCTTAAATCCAACCGCCATTATACAACGGGAGAAGCTAAACATATCAAATACGAGCATCATAAACCATTTAAAATAACTTGGATGTGTCAACACACTCAATATTTGGATTCCACACGAGCTTAAGGAAATTCATCTCACCAAACGTATCAATATCAGCGATTCTCTCCTGAAACGTGAGCAAAACGCTCCGTTTTTTAAACGAATGTTAATTAGCGATGTAAAGTAGATTGTTTGCAATAATGTGGAACAAAAAAGATCGTGGAGCAGCAAACGTGATGAGCCGCCAAAAAGCACTTCTAAAGGAGATATTCACCAAAAGAAGATTTTACTATCTGTTTGGTAGGATTACAATGATATTGTATTTTTTGAACTGCTTCAATGTAATCAAACGATTGATTCAGAATTATAGTGTCATCAATTGGACAAATTACACGAAGCAATCAAGCAGAAGCGTCCAGAACTGGTGAATCGTAAAGATGTTGTCTTTCACCATGACAACCTTAGACTACGTACATCGTTGGTTATCTGCCAGAAATTGTTGCTTGGGTGGGATATGTTACCACACCTACCATATTCACCTGACTTTGCACCATCAGATTACTATTTATTTCATTCCTTGCAAAATTCCTTGAAGGGAAAAAAATTAAATTCTGATAAAACTATCAAACGGTACTTGGATCAGTTTTTCGCCGATAAGGACTAGAAGTTCTATAGGCTGAAATTATCAAGCTACCAAACAGATGGCAAAAGGTCATTGAATTAAACGGATAATATATCACAGAATAAGGTTTTTGCTTTGTATGAAAAAATCGCTTTTCATTTACATAAAAAAAAACGGCATGACTTTCACCAGTTTGATAGATATAGAAAAACATTTTTAATCGCTGGAAAAAGTAAAAGAATGGAAAAATTTATGCAACATATACATAACTCAAAAGAAAAGTAAAGTGTCAATTAAAGTCGTTTTCCTATTTTTAAATCTTTTAAAAACTATGTTGACTGGTAATTTAATCTTTGGATATTCCAGAAAAATTATACTTTCTTGACTACAAAGTACTTTACCACAAAAAAATGCATCTATTGTGTTTTACTCTTATCAAATAATCCAAGAACTTCATGATTTTTGTAGTCTGCAAATACATTCAAATCTTTTTTACCTTGTTTGTCATTAATTCTCATCTTTTTCGTTTGCCGCAAGATTGATTAAGATGCTAACTATAACATATAAATATTAAATTGTGGGAATTAATATAGAACTACGTAAAAAAAGATCAAAATGTATATCAGAAGTTTTCTTCTACTAGGAAAAAAATATATACTAAAAGATACAAGATATCTCACAGGAAATTGCTGAAACTAAACGATTGGTTCTTCTCTCCATGACTTTAGAACAAGTCTTAGAGTTAATGGTCATCTACCTGAGGGTCCGCAGTTTTGTTTTGATTGTAGTAAAAGCAAGTCTGTATACGTCAAAACGAGTCATCTGACGGAAGAAAAGGTCTATCCTATCGAGTGCTTCTTTTCTAGAGAAAAAGTTTATAGTAGTGTTTATAGGGAGTTTCGTAATAAATACAGAACACATAAAATTATGAGCAAAAACAATGAAAAAGTTAGAATTCATTAATTGTTTAAACTTAGGTATTACTGCATTTTTTAGCAATAAATCTATATTAAAATAATATTTTGTTGTTTTTAACAAAATTATCAATAATTTTATGTAATATAGAACTATTCAAGATCGTAAACAAGATCTGCTAGGTCCTTCTGTATCTCTAGCTGTAAAAGAAAATATTGGGTTGGCAACTAAGCGATTGCGGATTTTAAATAAGAATGAAAATTTTAAATTTGCTTTTTTAAATTTTTTTCAATGCATGTATGCGATACATTGAGCTTCTCTGCAATATCATGTGTTGTGCTATGACGATCTGAATCGATAATGGCTTTGATATGGGTCTCATCGACTTCAACTGGACGGCCAGATCGTTGAGCATTTTTCAATGAAAAATCACCAGAACGAAATCTGGCAAACCAATTTTGACACTGCCTTTCTTTCAAGGCTTCATTCCCATATACGGCACATAACTTCTTGTGTGCTTGCGATGCGTTCTTGCCTTTTCGGAAATAATACAATAAAATATGTCTGAAGTGCACGTCTTGCTCTTCCATTTTTAAATTGGAATAAAAACAAAACTAAAGAACTAATCGATATAATTTTTGTACTAAATGAAAGGTAGAAGTCCAAACAATAAGAAAAAAATATAGGTTAGGTACTTTGAACACGTTAACGAAACAAAAGAAAGTGTAAAATCCATCTATCGACAAAATCCGCAATCACTTAGTTGCCAACCCAATATTAAAGAAATTAAGAATTACTTTGAGCAAAATCTAAATGTTTCCAAAAAGCTGTCCAAGCCTTTCAAATACAAATACCTTTCAAAAAACAATAATATATAGGATGCATCCGTATAAAATAACATCTTATTAACTATCAAATGCGCTATGACAAAACATATGGAATTTTGCAAGACAATAAATGGAACGTTTGAAAATGGAGATTTTTATGAAAAATTGATAATTTATATAGACAATGCACATTTCTGGCTAAATGGTAATGTGAATAAGCAAAATTATCGATTTCGAAAATCGGAAAATTCTAATGTTACTTTAGCTAAACTTTTACATCCACAAAAAGTAACAGCATGGGCTGTGATTTCGATAAAAGGAATTTATTTATACTTTTTCGAATCATCGGTCATTGGTAAAAGAATTGAGTTTTATGCAAATTCAGATAGTGCATACTTCGAAAATGTTTATCACTAGCTTATTTCATCATTAGCATTTTTCATCATTCTTCATCACGAAAATAAACTGGAACAGTAACATTCCTAAAAATTTTATTTATACCCATTAAAAACTGCAGACTTTTCTATTTTTAACACAATTTTTGTTTTTACAATAACTGAATACATTTGAAAATGACAGCGTATCAGTTTCAGCAACTTCTCATGGGAAGTTTTCATAGGACACCCTGTATATATATTTCAGCTTTGTCTACATGATAGTTTCCATGCGTCAACACGATCACACCATATTCCCAGAAAAGAAAAAGAAACAATGGATGCAGTGAGAAATTATTAATAACCCTACATGTGCCATTGCCAATAATTTGGGTCACATGAAAGTACATAGAATTATAAAATATAACCTTAGATGGCATCCTTTCAAAATATATACGTCCCAGCGATTATTTCCTGCAGATTTCCTTCGCTGAGAGGCATTCTGTAATTTAATTTTGAAGCAAGTAAGTTCCAGAGGCATAAAGTGATGTGTTTAAGAAACAATAAACATATAATTATCATATTATTTCATTATAATATTATATCCGCATAATATGTATAATATATGTATATAATATATGCATAATGTGTGTGTGCGTGCGTGTGTGTGTGTGTGTGTGTGTGTGTGTGTGTGTGTGTGCGCGTGCGTGCATGCGTGCGTGCGTGTGTGTGTACACACACATATACAGAGTGTTAGAAAAGTCTGGAAACGGTCAAATATCTCGAAAACGAAACGTTTCTGAGAAAAATGTTTTGAACCAAAGTTTTAAAAGTGTAAGGTTTTAAAAGTTCTATTGAATGATCATATCCGTTTGACCTTGAGTGGAGGGGTCTAGGCGAGGTCAAGGCCAACATGATTTTTTTAAATAAAACACCCCATTTTTTATCACACAGCGTTAAAGATGACACCGAGTCATAGTGTTTTCAAAACACTATGATGACTTATTTTTGTTAAAAATCATCTGAGTTATGAACTTTAGAATTTACGGTGCCGCCAGCATTAGTATTATCCAGGATATACCGCGTGGAGGTTGCATGGTCGGACTTTGCACCCTTTTCTAACATCCTGTATATACATACATATATACACATACATATAAATATATTACATCTACTTATATATACTTCAAAATATTATACATACTTACATAATTAATTATAAGAAATGTTCATACTATCCACCGTTTTGCTCAACACACAACATTACTCGACGTAGAAAACTTTGGCACACTGTGCTCAACACTGCCGACGATATATTTATAGCAGCATTTCTTATGGGATTCATCAAATCATTTCTATGGGGCAAAGTTTCATATATACATCTTTTTATGTAACCGCATAGGAAAAAATCAAGCAGCGTCAGATTTAGTGACCATGGCGGCCACCAAATCC